GGCTATCAGATGTGAGATAATTCCAAGTAGCGCAAAGCCGATCAGAAATGCAGTCAGTTCGAGCCACCACAATGGTAAGAAAACCGCGCTCCGGTAGTTAATGTCTATCTCATGACCACCTTGCTTTCCAGCTTGTCGAGGCGTTGCGGAAGGCTTCCGTGGTGGTGATGGTGGATGAGGCTCCAAGTCTGCGGAGGGTCCAGGGCCCAAATCGCCACATCCCAGTGGGCCGGAGATGCGGGCCCGAGTCATTACTTGCTAGTAGGAGCTGGTTGACGATGGCCACCCTCGTCCGTGAGCCATGCGCTTGGTGTGCGGACGCGCCGAGATCGCCTCGGCAGTTGTCTCATATGACATTTCGCGAGGCCGATGACGGCGCGCATGGTGGATTATATCAAAGAATCTGGTCCCGTTGGAAGCGCGCTCTATGAGTCTTCTGGTTCTCGCTCTCCTTCTACCACTTACATCCCTTCGTATCTCTCAGGATCCGTCTGGTTTACTCAAGCCCTGGACCAACTCTTGACCTGTCTGCTCGGGGGAAGGAAGTGACGCATCGGACACTATCAGTGAGACCGCCAAGCTCGCTTCGGACCACAGCAATCATGGGCGACACGACGGAAGTGAGCAGCAACCAGGCCGCTTCAGGCATAACGGACGCCGAGAAGCAGGCCAGGAAAGACGCCGGCAGCGAAGAGGCGGCACCGGCCTACGCGCCTGCAACGACGGAGGAGAACAGCGTGCTGGCTGGCGAGGATGGTGAATTGATTGACTACAAGACCCTGACGTGGTGGTACGTTCCAAACGCCTCGGTCCGGGTGTGACCCATGCACCTACACAGCAAACCAGACAGCTGACCTTTCTGACGACAGGCAAGGCGGCATCGTCCTCATTGCCGAGACCGTGTCCCTCGGCATTCTCTCGCTGCCTTCCGTGCTGGCGACCGTCGGCCTCGTCCCGGGCATCGTCCTCATCCTCGTCATGAGCTTCCTATCGACTTACTCGGGCCTTGTCCTCGCCGAGTTCCGCAGCGAGTACCCCTTTGTGCAAAACTTCGGCGACGCCGTCGAGGTTATGGGCAAGTCCATCGGCATGGGCGCCGTCTTCCAGGAGGTGTTTGGCTGGGCCCAAGTCATCTTCCAGGTCTTCGTCATGGGCTCCCACCTGTTGACCTGGACCATCTGCATGAACACCCTCACCAACTCGTCCACTTGCACCATAGTGTGGGCCGTCGTCGGCTTGGCCGTCTTCGCCGTCCTCAACTTTCCAAGAACGCTCAAGTACACGAGCTATATGTCCATGGCCTGTGAGTCTTACATACCTCCCCGCCTGATTGGTGTCCTGAGGGGGGTTCATTTGTGCTGACCGTTGATATAAGCGTGTTTGTCCATCACCCTCGCGGTGCTCATGACCCTCGGTGACGTCGCCGTCAGCCGTCCCATTGGCACCGGCAGCATCGAAGTCGCCCGCCAGCTCGGATTCACCGGCGCGTTCCTGGCCGTGACCAACATTGCCATTGCGTTCTGTAAGTCGTGAACACCCCCTCCCCTTTGCCATCCCAATGGCATTTTGCTAACAGCTCACCCTCCAGCGAGCCACTCGTGCTTCTTCAGCGTCATTAGTGAGTTCAAGGAGCCCAAAGACTGGCCCAAGGCCCTCGCCCTCCTCCAGATCGCCGACACGACGCTGTACCTCCTGGCGGCCATCGTCATCTACGTCTTTGTCGGGTCCGACGTCCCCTCGCCCGCCCTCTCCGCCGCCGGCTCCAAGACAATGCGCAAGGCCATCTGGGGCGTCGCCATCCCGACTATCGTCATCGCGGGCGTCATCTACGGCCACGTGGCAGCAAAGTACATCTTCTCGCGCATGTTCCGCAACACCAAGCACATGATCCGCCGTACCAAGCTCTCGGGCATCGCGTGGATCGCCATCGTCACCGGTATCTGGGCCCTTTCCTTGGTCATCGCCGAGTCGATCCCCGTCTTCAACAGTCTCCTTGGCCTCATCTGCGCTCTCTTCGCCTCGTGGTTCTCATACGGCCTGCCCGGCATCTTCTGGCTGTGGATGCACTACGGTAACTGGTTCAAGGACGGCAAGCAGACATGCAAGTTCGTGGCCAACGTGTGCCTGTTCCTGACTGGCTTCCTCATCTGCGTGCTCGGTCTCTGGGCGTCCATCGAGAGCATTGCCACCGAGAAGGCAACTAAGCCGTGGTCGTGTGCGTCAAACGCTGCGCGGTGAGCTCGTGTGCGAGATAGATTCGCAGAGAGGGTAATGAGTATGTAATCAATATAATGTGACCTCGAATTTCTCCTACGTCCCTTGATGTGTTCTGCGCTGGAATAATAAGTTATTACGGATAATTACTTGAATCCCCGCAACAGCAGGATGCCGACCAGCTCGGGAATCGCAGCAGACGCTGGCCAGCTTTTACAATGGTTCGATTGTACGTGGACCTCTTCTGCTGCCATCGTCCGATAGCCGCAAGATGCCAGCTCTGGCAACGCCATTTGTCGTCATATTCCCGTGTACCCCGGCTGGAGTGTTGACGAAAGCCATTTGGGTCCAAAGTTTCGTGCCAAGGAAAAATATAGGCAACATCACGTGAGTCGGTCCCCGGCATCAGCTCGCTTACCTAATCTCACTCATACTTGTCTTGACTCACTGGGACAAGTACACAATAGCCAATCCCGACGAATGAGATAAGTTTATTTACAGGATTCTATACTACCGTATCCACTGAGTAAACCCGCCTTTAGCTACTGCACGAGCTAACGGCAAGGGGTATCGGGGCCGCCAAATAAGGGCTGGCGTGCTGGCAGAAACAGGGATCTAGAGGTGGCAAAAGCAGGGGTTAGTTATGTACGTTAGCAGCAAGTTAGGTGGCAAGGGCTAGTAAACAGACTTATGGTTGACATTGGATTTCCTCCCTCCCTCCTACTCTAGATCTCCTATGGCCTTGTTAAACTATTTCTGATGGGTTACTAGACGTCTTTAGCTAAAGATATATACTCTTAGTAGTTGTTATTTATATTAACGTTAGATATCTCTTCTTGTGTTATTTCCTTCTTTATATAGGTGTTATAGTTAAAGTTTTCTTACTTATCCTATAATATCTTCTTGTTTAGTATATCCTTAATCTAAATCTTGTTAATATTACTTCTATCTAGGTTACTACTAATCCTATACTAAAGAAAGGATTACTAGACTATTTTACTTCTTTTAGCTAGGTAATAGGTAGCTATTATAATAGTATAGGTAACTATTATACGTTTTATTAATATAGACTACTTAATAGGCTAGCTAGGTTAAATAGGTTAAATAGGTTAAAGTAGCTAGATAGGTTAAAGTAGCTAGATAGGCTAGCTAGGCTAGTAGGTAGTAGCTTGCTTTATTTACTATATATACTTGTTAGTTACCTTAGATAACTACTGCTTAAAGGGCTTATTAATAGTAGTATCTAGAGGTTAAAGGAGGAAGGTTATACTAGGCAGTATAAGGCTAAGTGTAATATAATAAAAGTAAAGTTATAATAGTATTATAGAGGTCTTATAAAAGGTTATAATATCTATAATAAAAAGGTATTTTTACTTTACTATAAAAGAGAAGAATTTATTAGTTAGTTACTACCTAAGGAGATATTTATTATTATAGGCTATATTATTATATTTAACTATTACTTCTTAACTATATAAGTTACTCTTATATACCTCTAGTTAGCTACTAAGGCTAGCTAGCTTACTATAAAAAATAAGCTTTAGTAGTAACTATTAAACCTTATTAGTAAAGATATAGAGCATAAGAGTAGCTTACTACTTACTTTAGCTACTGCAGTTAGTCTTGCTAGCTATAGTATAGGCCCCTTAGGCTGCCTAAGTTAAGCTATTAAGGTACTTAAAAGGGATAAAGGTCTTATTAAAGTTAATAATATAGTTAGGTAAAAATTAGAGGCTACTAATAGGCTACTAGGCAAGTAAAGGCTAGCTAACTTGTTAGTTAAAGTAAAGAAAGTTAGTAACAATAGTAAGGTATTTAGTAAGAAGCTTTAAGGCTTATTTTATAAGCTAGTAGTATAAAATATTCTATTATATAAAAAAACTACTAAACTAACCTATAGAGAATTAGAAAGGGTATATAAAAAGGTTACTAGTAATAAGGGTGTTAAAATAGTTAGCTATAAAAAGGGCTTAGGCCTCTTGCTTAAACTATCTAGTAGTAATAACCTTATTACTAGCTTATTATTATTAAAAATAACTATACAAGTTAGCTTTTATTACTAGCTATTTTAGTTAACAGTTATATACTAATAGGCTAATAATTATATCTTATTAGTTATACTAATCCTTAATAGTTTTTATAGGTATCTTAAAGTAGTTAGTAGCCTTTAGAAAGGTTAGGCAGTAGAGGCTGTTAGCAGAGTTAAGAGGGGTATTACTAGCCTGTTAACAATATTACTAGCCAAGGGAAAGTAGGTAACAGTAGTACTCAAGGTATAGTAGTATATTAACTTGCTTTTACTACCTATATAACCTTTAAACTTATTAAGTAGGTTTTTTTAGTGTATATTATTACTTAATAATAGGCATAGGTTTTTTGCTAAATTTCTTATGTAATAGTAGTATAATATTTAGGTTAATTTTGCCTAGCGGCAGGCAGTTAGGCATCGTGAATATTATAGTAGGTTAGTTAATAGGTTAGTGAAGTTAACTGTAGTAGATGGGCTGGCTGGCTGGCAAGCAAGTGGGCAAGTAGGCAAGTGGGCAAGTGGGCAAGTGGGCAAGTGGGCAAGTAGGTGGATATGTTGACTGCTTTCTATAATAGGCTTAGCGCCGTACGTGGCCACTATACCCCTTGCCGTTAGCTCGTGCAGTAGCTAAAGGCGGGTTTACTCAGTGGATACGGTACTGTATTCATCCTATCTAGGCTATAGTAAGCTTAATTAGGCTCGGCTATATACCGAGCTGTTGTATCTACAGGTTAATAAATAGCCAAAGATTAGGCCAAGACTTTGGAAACTCATCTGTCCTATATCGCGTTAAACCCCTCACAACAACCTTGATTTTGTCGTGCATTATTATCCCGCAAATACCAGATTATACACGAATATCATCATGTCTTCATGCACTCCCACCTACCTCCCGTCGCCGAACTGGGACATCCCCGCCGACAGCAACATCGTAGTCCTGGGCCGCCTAATCAAAGACCCCAAGAATCCACAGAGCAAAGTCCCCCGTAGCAGCGACAACCCCATCCCGCCACTCAGGATTTACGAGGGAGAAAAGACGGACTGGCAAACGACCGTCGAGCGCACCCGCTCGGGCAGCATCGGACTCTGGGCGAAATGCCTGCAATTTGTCGGCGGACAACTGAGCTTCGGCCAACTCAAGTCGGCGATGGAAGACCACAGGTTCGCCAATCTGGAGACGAGGTATTTCCTTCCAGACGATGACTACCTCGCTCAGGCGCTCGAAGATGCAGGCGTGCAGGCGTATTTCCACGTGAACAACCACCGGAAGCCCGTTTACCTGATCACCGGGATCAAGATTGCGAGGGGTGCCAGCGTCAGCACCCAGAGCAGCACTGAGAGATTGGTGCAGGCTGAGGTGAAGGCAGATGCGACGAGCGTGGGGGCGCCCGTCGAGGTGGGACCCGAGACAAGTTGGGAGTCGACGAAGAAGAGAGGGGTCTCGTACGGCGGGTCGACCGACTACATCTTTGCCTACCAGCTCACGAGGATGAAGCCGAAGAAAGGAGGCAGGGAATCAAAGAACCAGAGTTATGTGAAGGGTGCATTGTATGGGAAGCGTGAGGAGGGTGATGCTGCGGAAGTCAAGCTCCGTGACGTCTTTGAGATTGAGGAGGAGGCCAGTCATGGGTTCCCTGACACTTGGGAGCAGGTCGATGGGGATGAGGTTTAACCATGTTGCTCTCTTGGGCCAGCGTATTTGATTAACATCTTTTAATCCTCTTCTATCACTCTATCATTAAACGAATATGAGTCTGGGTCTGCCTCGTAGAGCTCATGAGAGAGTTGTGCCCCCTTTCAAAAGCTTGAATCCACCTGTATCATCGTGCTCCCTGATACCAACAACCACTCGAGGCAGACAACTCATGGGCTATGTGGCGCCCGTCAGCCAAAAAGTGAAACTCGTGTCAAGTTCCAACGTTACTCCCTACGCCACAAAATCCAGAGCACTCGACGCGATTAGAGGTCCAGCCTGGACAGAACACCATGATCCTACCCTTCCAGTAACGTGTCTGCTACGTCGCGTAAGATCTTCAAAGTAGCCGACTTCTTCTGCGTTAAACCCTGACACTGATGCTGGAGTATATTTACTGTTATTTTTGCGGTTGTTCTGTAGTGCCACGGAAATGGCTGCCGCCATCTGTGTCAGAACTTAGGGATCAAGTCCCACGCTGTTGAGATTGCGATGCCGGGCATCGCCAGCTATCGCCGATAACGAAGATTATCCCCGATGGAAAATTGCATCAGTGGTGAACGAGAGTATTATTACATAAGCAAACCACATTACCCCGACACCTGGGGTAAACATAGACTTATCAAAAACAAGCACGTGATTTATCGTCACTTTACATCGGACACTGGTCACTCATCGAAGTTCATCGCAATCTACACGGTAGAGAATTTAGATCACCGCAATGGCTGTCACCGAATCAACACGGGCCCAAGTTGTAGGGGCTCTGGCCTGTCAACGTAGCTCCTACCTACGGACACTGGAGGCCGAGGTCATCTCGTGTGAGAAACGGCCTCCTCCAACGGCCAGAAAGAATGGCAACAAGGACAAGTCCGCGGGGGATGCTGTTAGTGGAGGCAGCTCTGAAACTTGGCTGATCGAATTTGCCGACTCGGTCCTTTTTCCTGAAGGTGCTTCTCATCAAAAAACACACAGTCCGAAGATAGAAGGCTGACGGACCTGGGTGTTCCAGGCGGCGGACAACCATCCGACCACGGAACCATCACTCCCTTATCGAACCCAGAGGCAACTTCTATCCCGATTGAATTCGTTGAACGTGTTGGGCTACGCTGCGTTTACCACTCACCTCGGCCCCTGGTACCTGGCGAAACAGTCCGCCAGGAGGTCGACTTCCAGCGCAGGTGGGATCACATGCAACAGCACACCGGCCAGCACCTCCTCTCCGCCGTGATGAACGCCTACAACGATCTGAATACCCTCGGATGGGGTATGGGGAAAAGCGGCGCCATGAACTACGTCGATCTGCCCCGCAAACCCTCAGAGGCCGAACTGCAGGCTATCCAAGCCCGGTGTAACGACATCATCCGCTCGAGCTTGCCCATCACTGTCGAGACGCCAGATGATGCCAAGACTCACAAGATGCCGGAAGACTACGACCAGGCCAGGGGGGTTGTGCGAGTAATCCGCATTGGAGAAATTGACCGCAACACGTACAGAACCTCCCCCTCCCCGTCCGCCCCATGCTCATCGTGCTCCCCCGCTGACACACACATGGCAGGTGTTGTGGAACCCATCTCTCACAGACCTCGCACATCTCGCTCATTCTTGTCCATCACGGAGAGCCGGTCCACGGCAAGAACTTCCGCCTCTACTTCTCAGCGGGCGACAGAGCCATCAACCTCGCCGCGTCCTCCATCGGCGCGATGGGCACCATTTCCAAGCTGCTGTCCAGCAAGAACACCGCGGACGAGGTAGTCCAGAGCGTCAAGACCTTGCAGGCCTCGGCCGCGGATCTGAAGAAGAGGGAGAAGAAGCTGCTCTCCGACGTTGCCGAGTTCGAAGCAGAGGCAGCCAAGGCCAAGCTGCAGACCAGCAAGAGCGTGTGGATCCACCGCGCCGACGGCAACGCGGACTTTGTCAAATGGGTCGCGGCCAGCGTCAAAGACACCGTCATGGCGTGTGGCGGCGTGGTTGTCGTGGCGACTGGCGAAGAGAAGAAGGGCGGACAGCTTGTCGTGCTCGGAGAGAATAGCAGCGTAGATGCGGTGGTGCCGAAGATAAAGGACATAGTCAAGGGGGTGAAGGGAGGCGGCGCTGGAGATAAGTGGCAGGGCAAGGTTGGTGCATGGGAGAAGGACAGTTTGGAGACACTTAGAAAGCTAGCCGAAGGCTCCAGCGCTTGAGACGCGGTCGGAAGAGGTGATTAGAAGTTCGGTACCACACGTTCAAGTCCGTAGACTCAGCTCATAGAGAAAGGCTTGTGTGAACGAATCAGTTGCTGTCAGTAGGACCCCCTCCCCCCCCCCCCTTTTTTTTGGTTTGAAGCCTTCGCACAACATCACCATCCAAATCCTCGAACCCAAACATCCACGACCTCCGTCTGATTGGGCCTGCTTGAGTCCACCACCAGATACCAGCCGTACAAAGCCCCCGTGACACACGCATGGTTTGGGTATATGCTAATGGTCTGCCCAACCTCCAACGGAATCGGTGGTAGATCGGTTCCCTTTTCCGGGTCAGAGTCCCAGGAGAGGATGGAGTGTTCCTGGCTGATCCTCTCGACAACGAGTCTGCAGCCGTCTTCGGACCCAGGAAACGGCAGGCGACCGCTGACGCCCCAGCCGCTGTACGACGGGCAGGGCTCCCTCCCGAGACCGAGTGTCCCGACGGCGACCAAAGCCTCGGGCTTCTCCCGCTCGCCATCGTTGTAGACGCTGCAGACCTCCGCCACCACGGTTATGGCCACCTCGTCCTCGTAGCTGCCCAGGTCTGTCCTCGAGCGAGTGGACATCTGCTGCATGTCGAGGACAGAGTAGACGCCGGCATGAAGCTCAAGGCTCGATCGCAGCCCTCCGCGCGACACGGTCTTGGCCTTGGTAATCGCTTCGCGGAGGCGCTGCCCGCCGGGCCCGCCGGCTGCGCCCGCCGTCACGTTCTCGATTGCTGTGACTTGCGGGGTTGCGCCGACGCTGATGACGACCTCGCGCGGGCCCTTGCTCACGAGGAGGTCGGCGTTGGCGTGCAGAGCCTCCAAGCAGCCTTCGACCTCGGCGGCCAGGTTGTGCATTGCTTTATCGGCCGTTGTGTCCATGTAGCTCAAGCTGCTGTGAGAGTACACGCCCACGAAAGTGGCCCGGCTTTCTGCGTCAAGCTGGATGAGCTGTTCCAGTAGCCCTCCTTTGTTGAGCGCCGCCGGCGGCAAACCTGCGCGATGGTAGCCCGTGTCGACCTTCAGAAAGACATCAACGGGAAATCCGGTGAGTTCTTGCAGACGCTTGACTGACTCCAGCTGTGAAGGGTGGTCAGTCATGACGGTCAGGCCGTTCCTCCCAAGTTGCTTGCTCAAAGTAGCTAGTCGGTCGACCTGGGATCCGAGGAGCGGCACACCGTAGAGCACGTTGACATCACGGCCTGCATCCTTATAGTCTTGGAAAACGGACAGCAGATGTTCGATCTCTGCCACGGTAGACACGATGAAGTTGACTTGTTGGTGTTTCTCGCCAGCCTGGAGACGGGTGACTTCCTTCGTCTGGACCATGGATCAGCCTCGGACTGCAATCTGAGACCAACAGATGCGCTTCCCAGTGATGAATACCGCGAGCGGGTACCATCACAGCTCACCGCCGGCACGGGGACTTACTTTGTGAGTTTTGGCATGAGCCCGGAACCCGACTTCTAGCGCGTCCACGCCGTCTAACATCGACTGGCAATGCCGTCTAACCTTGGCCGCATCCAAGACCGCTGCAGGCTTGGGGACGCTGTGAACATCTCTCCCGACGTAAAATTTCCTGAGAGATTCCAGCGGCGGTGCTATACGTTGCGGAATAGACATGTTTGGCGCTGCTGTGTTGGTAGGCTGGGGTACGGTGTTGGGTTGGATCGATGTTGGAAAAGACGGACAAAGTCAGCTCCGTTCATGGCGCAGGGCAGCCACCGCTTATATGCACCGCGGGTACAACGTTTGTCCGCGCCTAATACTTCAACCGATATCTCATGCTGGGCTGGTTCGCGAAATTAGGAATTGCAAAGGAGAATCGAGTCATGACCCGATCGATATGACTGGCAGGAAATTGGGGTCTTTGGATTTGCTAAAGTACGACCTTTTAGTCAAGTTTTGAGGGCGTCAGGAATACAACGAGAATTGCGGCTCGTTTCCTTTGGAAGTGCCCCCCCTTTGTTGATAGGCATAGAATAGTTACCAGCCTTACTAAAGTAACCGTTGAAGAGTCCATGATCAGGAGTCATGTAGTCAACGTCGCAGTAGCCAATATATGCTCTATGTTAGTTTTATCATGAGCGACCATAATGATTAAGCACTGTGACATTCACATCGCGAAGAAGACACTTTTTACAGAAACTGAACTTGAGATTTTCCAAATCCCCAAAGCGTACATAAATCACGGAACGAACAACGCACGCCGTAAACGTTTGAACCCCCCTGGCAATTCTCACTTGCTAAGAGGACCGAACAGCATGCTCCGCCTTCGCCTTGATGTCCCGAGAGCTAAAGCCAACTCGGAACGCTATCGGCCCATTCGGAATAACCCAAGTCTGCGATGCCACGTCCCAGTAACTCAGGTCGCGCCGCAACACATCGAAAGCGACAGTGACAGACTCTCCCGATTCCAGAAACACTTTTTCGAACCCTCGCAGGACCTGCACAGGCGTGCCCTCGGGGACCGAGCCTTTGGGCAGCGAGACATAGAGCTGGGGCACCGTGGCGCCCGCAACAGGCCCGGTGTTCGTGACGCGGGCGGTCACGCGGACGACGGCGTCCCAGAGCTCTGGGTTGCCTCCCGGGGCGTTTGGTGTAGAGGGGTTTGGCGCGGCCGCGACGTTCTCGATCAGTTGCTTGACCTCCAGAGACGCGTCGATGCCGAACGTGGTGTAGCTCAGACCGAAGCCGAACTCGTAGAGCGGGTCAATGTTGTTGGCGTCCAGCTGCCGGTAGTCGATGAGAAGGCCCTCGGTGAAATCGGCCTGCCACGCCGTGGGGGAAGTGACCTCTGCCTCGGTGAGGTTGACGATGGGGATGTCGGTGTCCTTCGCATCGACGGGGATGGAGTACGGCAGCTTGCCCGACGGGTTCACTTCACCCCAGAGAACGTCGACGATGGAGTTGCCAGACTCCTGGCCCGGCAGATGAGCCGCCAAGATGGCTGTGACGTTCGGATTCCCAGCCCACGGCAAGGTGTTGATGCCGGCAGAGTGCGTCACGACGACGGTGTTGGGGCAGCGCCGCGCGACGTTCTCGACGGCCAGCGTCGAGTTCCAGTCCGCCTCGTGCTCCGTCCTGTCGTACGCCTCCGACGCAAACGTGTTGAGAAAGACGAGGCAGACCTCGGGGACGGGGTACATGCTGCTGAAGTCGCCGGCAGCCAGCACCTTGTTATTGAGGATGTACTGCACGCGTGCCCCCGTCTTGCGCGAATGTGCCTTGATGGCTTCGAGCGGCGAGACAAGGTACGTATGCCGACCGGTGCCAGACCCGCCGCCGATGGAGAGTGTGCCGATCTCGAAGCCGGCCCCAAAGACCAGTCCGTCGGTCGGGTCTGCCGCATCGTTGCCAAAGACGCCAATGTTGGCCGGGTTCTTGAGCGGGAGAGTCCCGTTGACGTTCTTGAGGAGGACCGTTGCCTCGGCGCCCAGCTTACGGATGATCTTGGCATGGTCGCGTCGGACATCACGGCTCGGAGGCGGCTCCAGGGGGAACAGGTCCAGCATGTTTGACTGAGCCGCCAGTGTATAAACAATGGACGGGTCGACGGTGGGATAGTCGGCGCTGTCCTGTTCGAGAAGGTAATATTGCGTCATGATCAGCCGGATCATCTGGTCCAGGCGCTCCTCGGAGATTGAGCCGTCCTTGATCATTGTCGTGATATTTGGCCCCCAGTACGTCTCACCCGTGAGATACTGGGCATGGCCAATCGGCCCGGGCATGTTCATGTCCAGCCCGCTGTTGATGGAATCCGCCCCGGAATGGGTCGCGAACCAGTCGGACATGACGTATCCCTCAAAAGCCAACTCCGTCTTGAGGATGCCGTTCAGCAAGCCTGAGTTCTCGCACGCGTAGGTCTGGTTCATACGGTTGTAGCTGCACATGAAGCTGGAGACCCCAGCACGGACCGAATTGGCAAAGGGCCAGAGATACAGCTCGTGAAGAGTGCGGTCGTCAATGTTGGATGAAATGGCGGCGATTTCCGTGCCGTTCGCAAGCCAGGAGTTGGTCCGCTGCGTTTCTTGCTCGTTGCCGATGAAGTGCTTGGCGCAGGCTTGCACGCCCGCTGATTGCATGCCCTCAATGGTGAGTTGCATGGCGATGCCCGTCAGATACGGATCGACCGAGAAACCCTCCCAGTTTCGGCCTCCCAAAGACTGACGCCCCAGCGGCCCAGCAACCGGGCTATGTTGAACATGTGAGCAATGACGAACCGGACGAGTATTGACGAGTGGGGAAGGGGAAAACATACCCGAGTCCGACGTGGACGCCTTTATCGTGGAACTCCTCGCCCAAGGCCTTGCCACGCAGGTACATGAGTTCCTTGTCCCAGCTGGCGGCGGTCGTCAGGCCGGCCGGGAAGACGCTGACGAGGTCGGCGCGGTTCAGCGCCGTGGGGCCGTCGAGCAAGCAGAGGCCGGGGAAGCCAACGCGCTCGATCGGCAGGATGTTGCCGATGCAAGCGCTGGCCTCAAGCCCGAGTTGGCCAGTGACCATCTGCGACTTTTCGGTCAGGTTGAGCTGCGCCACAAAGGCCGTCGCCTTCGAGACGGCTGCATCCCAGTTCCGGGCTGGATAGGCTCGAGGCGGTAGAGAGGCCGGAGAAGCAGCTAATTGTGCTTGATGATGGCGGGCTAGCCAGCTGCCGGCGCCGAAGAGCCTGCTGCCAGAGTAGGCCGAGATCAGGATGAGGCCCGTGAGGCACGACGCGACGGCGCCTGTAATCCATGACCTCGAACATTTTTGCAGAGGGTGGGCTGGTCCGGTCCGCTTAGTAGTAGGGTAGGTGTCGTAGTTGGAGTCTTGGTCCTTGGTAGCGCGATGAAATTGGCTCTCGTCGGGCATCATGTCGGTCGAGAAGCTGCAGGACGGGTCATTCAAAAGGATAGCGACCTTCTCATTGTCGGAAGCTCGGGGACGCATGGCATTGATGCGCGTTGGCTCCCGGGCCCTGGAGTCCATGGTGGGCGGGATCAAACGCTCGGGATGGACGTCCTTGATTGAGAGTGCACAGTCTGTCAACGAGGCGGTGCTTCAACACATGGCAGGGCAAAAGGCATCCAGGCGTGGCGCGCGGTCAACGGGTTTCAAGAATCCGGGGTAGAAGGATGACACGAACGTTCCATGCGCGAGGCCTTGAGTCTTCACCTTTAGGACGAGTACGTGGTTGGCAGGGCGCCGTGCCAGAGCAGATTTGTGAGAGAGAAGGTTTTCCGGATTGGATGGATGTTTTAGGTAGAACGAGGACAAGAAATGCGCCGCGCTTTATGAAGAATGGAAGTGCACGACACTCGAGGGTCAGTGTCCTTTGCTTTGCTTTGCTTTGCGTGACGTGACGTGACGCCCAACTGCCTACCGGTACTACCCTGTCACCTGTCTACCCTACCTCTCTCTTGCATTGCCTTGCCTCGTCCTTGGGATAATGGGCTCTGTGCCTTGTTCCTGGTGGGACGCTAGCGCTGAAAGGAGTTCGTGGAAGTGCCACATGGCGCGCCCATCCGGGCCATCCGGGGGGGGGGGGTCTTGGATCTCTCGCGGATTATCTATCAGGTTCGGATCCGGTCGAGGCATTCTTGGGCATTATCGACGCCATGCACGGTCTAGCGGCCTAGGTTACGCGCATCGAAGCGGCACGTGTACACCTTTACGCGTATCGAAGCGGCACGTGTACACCTCTACAGGGATTATAAGCTTTAGTGGTTTACTTACTAACCAGAAGGAGGGAGGGATCAGCAGGTCAGTATACACTAGGGACGGAATCTGTACCTAGTTGATGCGGCGAGGCCCTGAGATGGCGGGCAGCGGTAGAATGCCAGAGCGATTTGTTTAGCGGCCGGTGGTTGAGCCTATTTTGGAAGGCACTGCTACTACTGCCACCGCCGCTGTCCATAACCCATATATGTAAAAAAACGCCCTTTTTACCACAAATCCACTATTGCCAACAGACGCCCACGATGCCTGAGATAGAGCCCTCCTACTTAACCTTTGAAGAGTGCTAGCGACGCGTTATCTACAACTAGGCTAGTAATTGCCTACTTTAAGGCTACATGAGGAAACATATTACCTCTATTTTACCTTAAGTCGCCTAACTTTAAATTCCTTAAATCTAAGGAGTTTTTAACTTGACGTAACTTTCTAAATCCTGGCCTTCTTATTGGTTAGTTAAGCGAAATCTGAAATAGGCTTAACCTACTGGCCGCGGAACAAATCTCTCTGGCATTCTACCGCTACCTGAGATGGCTGACATGGCCCCTTGATGCAGGGAGAATGGACGTGTTGGGAGAGTATCATCATCCCTATGCTCTTTGCTTTTCCGGAGACTCATTTAGGTTATTGCCACATCCACCTGTCTCACAATGCCCTCACTCGACCGCGGTAAGTGGGAAACAGACGCGGCGGTGGCCTTTGATTTGAATCCCAATTGTTGGATGAAGCATACGGATACTTCTTCCGACTTTGATCCCGTACGTCCTGCAGTGCTCATCCAAGCAGTTCACTAATCTGAGCCGAACTGTTCCACCGACTAAGCCGGCAGGCATATATCGCCTGTAAGTGGCCCATCCCCAACGCCCTCACCGCCAATGCTGCCCGTCTGCCGCATATGCCAACCAAACAATGACGCAGTTGCCAGGCGGCCGTCCTGCATCGCCAGGTCTTTTAGAAACGGCTTTTCTCATAACCTTTCCGGGAAACCGGCACTCGGCGCAATCGTTCGGCTGTGAAGCATACGATCGGACGGTCGCAGCGCAACCGGGGACAGAGATTACACTCATTTCGCAACTCCACCATAGCCCCATCTCATAATATGTAGCACCACATCTGCCAACAACAGCCAATTGGTCGGTTAGCTCAGTTGGTTAGAGCGTGGTACTAATATTTCACCTGAAATGTTGTGTAATGCCAAGGCCGGGAGTTCAAGCCTCCCACTGATCATAGCGTTTTGCTGTTGGTGATGATGATGCGATAGCAACCAAGGCTTTATTTTTTATTTTTATTCTATTTTAATAATAAAAAAACCCCCCGAGACTTCTTAGACACACACTTACTTTTTACATCCTTCGCCGACAGGCATTCTGACAACGCACTGGTTCCCTCAGAAGATTGGTCACATAGGAATCGCATATTCTAAGCGTCGCTTCGGATCCCGTGAACAGTTGGCTGAGGGAACGAACCTTAGGGAGTGATTGGGACCGTCGGGCTTGACGAGCTCCTTTGGCGTTTGCAATCTATCAGGTCAATTTTTGTTCATTCAAGAGTATGCATTACAGATGTGGACTTCCCAGCTTCCCTCCTGTGCAATAACGGCAAAGACAAGTAGCCACAAGGGATGTATGGGTCGGAGTACCAAACACGAACTTGGCGAGCCGACGCAGCCATCGTTCTACAGAATGACCTTTTGAGTCCCAAACTCTGAGGCAGCTTTTTTGCCATAATTTTGAAGGTTCTTTCCTCTCATAGCTGCACGACTCGGACCTTGTCGCATAGGCCTGGGCCGTATCGATTTGATACGCGCTGTGTACGCCCGAGTCTGGTCACAAATCACATCCCTTCTCTCAGGGGTCATCGCGATGCGCTTGTTGCCAATCCTCACCGTTCAGCCCTGTCATTGACGCGTACTTGTAACCTTCCACTCATCATCATAGAAAGCATCGAATGCCTCGGGCGCCGGGCTTCCCGGATAGTTCCATTCTTGGAAGCGTTCGTTCTGCCAATGCTCGATGCGCAGGATCAGACAAACTGTTTGAACTGACAATAAACGGGTCGGCAACGGTATCAGTCTATGCTCCCGGGCTCGTGAGTTTCCGAGTCCTGCCTCGCGTTCTTCCCAGTCCGACTGGCTGGAAGGCTCAACGGTCGTGCATGCCGAGCAGAGTGATTCGGTTGGTTGCGGGGACTGGCAAACGGGCCACGATCTCGCAATGGTAACATCGGAACAGCGCTGGTATGCGCCATGCCGCCAAGAGACGAACATGTTTCTTGAGACGAGCCCCGTGGCAAGCAGGTGGCAGCCAACAGGAGGCCGTGGGTCTGTTCCCTCGGGGACGTGGGCTATAATAAGATTTGGTTTCAGCATCGGTGAAAACGCTGACCTTGCCAAGGAATGGAGGCCGTTGTTCCCGTAGTCCGAGCATTGTCCAAGCGTTCGCCGTCCGGTGGCGTTGCCTTTTGTATCCTTTGGACTTGCCACGCCACGTATGTTGGCGGGTTGGCTGTGCTGATTTTTGTAAGTGGACGGCAACAGTCCATTTGCCAACGGTTCGTCAGGAGGGCCAGCATGGGATCCGATTGTGAGGCCTGCCAACTGCTGGCCTGCGCTGACAAAGAACAGCATGAGATGCCGGAAGAGGAAAGTCGTTCGCGGCAGGGTAGGGCTTTGTATGCTGCGACTTTTCGGTCGCCGAAGAAGTCTCTACCAACGCTCGTCGACTGCGTCATGCCCAAGTGCGCAGACTATTGAAACACAAGACTACTGAGTCACGATGTTGAATATTACAGAGTTGCTCTAGGACCATGTTCCGCTTCATCCGAGCTGGTTTTCTCATGCTGAAGCCGTCTTTCCCATTTAGCCTTGTTTGGTCCTCAAGACTGACTTTGTTGGTTATGAAAACTTCATCCTCACTCAGCTTCCAGCCCAACAATCGTATCCTTTGCCTGCTCTGACTTGCGAACCCCCACAACAAGCACCGTCCCCTTGTCGAGGTTGTAGTTGAGCGCCACGAAAGGTACGCCCTTCCCTCGCTTCGTTGCGATACCGTGCTGCGCCGCGCCGTGTGTCCTTCACATCGTAGCTGCTGAATCAATCATCCTTGGACGGCGGGTTCTCGGCCATGTACTTGTCATACGAGTGAGAGGTGATGCCGACATCGTTACATTGGGCTTGAGATGTTGTTCAAAGGAAAATGTCCTACTTTTTCAGCTTATTTCGGGACCTTAGCACCCCCCTGTCATAATGCAATATGCTAACAGCTCTGGTAAACCCTCCGCTGACAAACTTGGATATGCCCCCGGCGACTGGTGACAGGCTCAAGGGTGAGTCAGACCTTGGACGAGGTAAATGTCCGTATAGTCTAAGCCTGCCCGGCCGAGACTGCCTCTTAGACTAATGACGGGCTGACGACAGGATGGGTGAAGCTGGTTGTCTTCAGGGGTGTGTTACAGTATAAGAAAACATTGTTACGGGGCTGACCGCCGGTCAAATGGCTCGTAATGGTCTCGCTTTCGCCGTCTACATATACTTCCGTTATATCAATGAAATCAACGCCGGGGTCGTGGAACGTCGGCAAAGGATTCTGCTGACTTGATCCCGCCATTTGCCAAAGCGATTGAGATGCAATGTTTTGTTAAAGGAGCTCAGCTTTGCTGCAGGATGCTCTTGCCAGATAATTCGGGGTCGACGCACTTGGGTTTGTTGAGATAGAAAACAGACACGTCAGAGAGCTGTTTGAATTTGATGTGTTCATGATCCTATACCCCGAGTCTATTCAGCTGTGCTGTGATTTTAGGCGTTTGGATTTCGTCCAGCTTGGGTGAAGCGGCCTTTTGAACCCAATCTATTCAAAGCTGCGAAGTGGAACTTGCAACCCTAGTTCTTCAAAAAATGAAATACAATGACTTGGTTGCTTAAGGATGTCAAACAGGCATTGTTAAAATGTCCATCAAGTCGGCCGTGATGCAAGCCCTGATAGTGGTTAAGTGGCATCGTGTGAATCGTAGTCAGCAAAGTGCCTACCACAAACAAAAAAAAAAAAAAAAAAAAAGAAGGGGGGGGGCACATGCGTATAAATGTCTTCTTCGATTGGATCACACCCCGTCATCATCATTCTCCGCCAGCGTCGGGTTCGTTCCAAGTGGTGCCGAATCATCCACCACGCTAGACACCTTGTAGGCTAGCCTATCAGAAATGACAAGACGGCTGCTTTAGGACCTCACACAACGGTGCCCTTGGACCTATGGCAAATGTGAAGAATGTATCTAGTTGTCACATGCAGACAATGAAACAGGAAGACCCAGATGCATCATAGCCCGAAAACATAATAGCCCGAGGTTTCTGTGGTGATAGACAGCTCAAGTGACGTCATAATGAGCGACTCATATTGAGCAATACGTTACCTTGGTCTGGGTACGCTATAACCCGCCACAGCCGTGACTTTTCTAATATCGACGTTCGCACTGGCTCACTGTTCTTCTAAAATCACCAAAAATACAAAAACTGCTGACTCTTTAAAATCGCAACTACACAAAGATGCCATCGCCAGTCGATCATAAGCTAAGCGAGCCTGTCGTGACCTCCATCCCCGAGGTTCCCGTCACTGTCCAACGCAAGCCTTTCCTGCAACCGGAGCATAAGCAGAAGCTTGCCCATACCGGTATGTCGCCAAACCAATGTCTGAGGGGCTGGCAACTGATCAAACTGTAGGCACTCCAAGAGCCAATATTGCTGCAACTTATGAAAAGCCCAATGGCACCACAGCGAATGGCTGGGCTCAGAGACATCGCCATCAAACTGTACCATCTAAATATCTACGATATGAGTATGTGGTGGTGAACTGACCGTGATATCGTGGCTTCTAGGTTCTCCAGCAGCATTGCGATTTCTTCGACACAGTAAGCTTATAGTGGCGCCAGGGCATACCATGAACGTTCTAACGGTACTTCAGGATAAAGATGGCGTGATCTATCCCACCGACACCTTCTGGGGTTTCCACAGGCTCGGATTCGGCATCTTCCTCTCCCTTCTCTCCGTCTTCATCATCCACAGCAACTTCTCATACCCAACCCTGCCCGGCTACCTCCCTGACCCTCTGTTCCGCATCTACACCGACAGGATCCACAAGGACAAGCATGGCAGTGATACCAACACCTACGACACCGAGGGCCGCTTCAACCCGCAAAAGTTTGAAGACATGTTCGCCAAGTATGCCCAAGGTCGGGATTTTATGACCATCTGGGACATTCTTGCCATGTTGAAAGGTCAAAGACTGGTTGCCGACCCCATTGGCTGGGGTGGCGCTTTCTTCGAATGTGAGTCTTGTTACAGTATCGGCTGTATCGCATGACTGACGCGGCTTCAGGGTTGGCTACCTATCTCATGCTATGGCCTGCTGATGGTCGCATGCAAAAGGAAGACATCCGTGGTGTTTATGACGGCAGCATATTCTACACCATTGCTGCTCGCAGGTCTCAAAAATGAGCATCTAAAATGACCAGTTCTATTGCCACGAGACTGTAAGGCTGTCCCTTTGGCCCTGATACCTCGCGTCCACATGGCAATAATACTTGATACGGTATTATGAGGTCTCGGGAAAGCTTACAGCGTATAAGAGAATATTAAAGTTGCGGAATTGGATATTATTTTACCTATAGTATCGTCGTAGAAGAAATAGATATCGATCAACAGTAATATTGAATGCTTGTGATGAACCCACAGCGTCTAGTTATTTAAGAGAGAAGTTGCTGTTCTTCCTTAGTCTACACACAAGAAGATTCCTAGGTAGAAATAACCTTGATTATATACGTCTATCTTTTCGTAGCGCTTACTACTAGTACAAGCTACATAAAGCTATACTAGCTTCACAACAAATCTGTATTTTTAGGTATTACACTTGCATGCCAGTTTGGGAAGAGACTTGAGATATACTTTACACATTTAACCCCTATAACTTGAAGAATCGTTCTATTGTTGGAATCTTTCAGAACATGCTTGCACGTCTCGGTCCGTTATACAGTTGCGTTTGCCTAGGATTGGATTACGTAATCTCCACACAGATCTAATAAAACAAAGCAGAAAGGAGCCTGATGTAGGAAGTCATTGAATCATGTATTATAATCCGAGTGGTCTAAAAGAATTACTTGCTTTCTGGTATATTGATGCCCAAGCGCCCCAACCCCGGTTTCATGTCATAAACGCGTCGTCAATAGATGGACTGCGGAGGAATCTCCGCCGCCGCCACCGGATCCTCCAAGTATGGGTCGACAGGATAATACTCCATGATGATGTACCACTGAATCACACTCGCAATCAAGAACCCGAGCCCGCTCATCAGCAAAAGCGAGGCGAGAGTAACCGCGTCGTTCTTGTGAAGAAGAGTGACGACGCCAACAGCCAGGAACCCGCTGGCGCCGACCAAATTCCAGAAGCCGTTTTGCCAGCTGGCGTCGAACAAGAGCGGGATGTACCACTTGTTCTGGGACAAGAAGATCATGAGGAGGCCTGCGAGGACGAAGAAGCTGCCGCCGATGAGCTGCGGCGAGGAGACGAAGAGGATGGAGGCGTTGGGGTGGGTGAGGTCGAGCACGCCGGGGAGCGCGCCGACGGCGGCGATGGTGAAGAACGACCCCGCGAGGAGCTGGAGGATGCCGGCGCGGAAGGCCGCGCTGGGCCAGAAGACACTGCTGAACTCGGCCCAGCTCGGGACCCAGACCCATTCGTCGCTGCAGAGGAGCGCCGGCTTGTACGCGTCGGGCGCGTCCTTCTTCGGGTCCAGGGCGGCGCGGTCGACGTTGAAGGCGGCGAGCAGGCTCATCCAGGCGCTGAGAGTCAGGAGCGAGCTGCCCAGGACGAAGGTTACCTGGGTGGCGGTCTCGCGGCCGGGGAAGTCCAGCTCGGGGTCGAGCAGGTGGACGAGGCTGAAGATGCCGCTGAGCGTGAAGGAGATGGACGCCATGAGAAAGGCCATTGTGACGAGCCACCCCATGTCCCGGTACGGGTAGATTGTGAGCATGGCGCCCAACCTCGAGAGGCCGCGCCTGGCGGTGCCGGACTTGACGGAGACGACGTCGGCGTCTCGTTCGGGCTTGGCCGACCTCTCGGCATCGCATGCCGCCTTGTACGCGGCGTAATCGACATGGTTGAAGGTGCGGTGCCAGACGGCGGACGCGAACCTCTCGTCGATGCTCCTCTCGGATGCTGGATACCCGATGGAGCTGAGCGAGGGGTACGGCGACGACACCGACGCCCAGGAATCGCGCACCTCGAAGACCGTGGTGGGCGGCCTCAGGTACGACACCCGGCGGGGGTTGAAGGTGTTCATGTTGACCGATTTGTTGATGTGGTTCTCGTGATGTACAGGAGGACGTCTTCTTGTCCCATGGTAGCCTGCCAACTCCTGATAGATGTGAGCAGAGTCCGTTCAATCCAGCTCGTCGGGAGGAACCCAAAGGGCAGGGGGGAGGCCCTTATTTACGCATCGCCTCGCCGTCGCATCCCTTCTCACCGGGAACGTCATAGTCACATCGCCGTTCTAGCTTCGAACGTTTCTGCAAGCCAAGCCCCTCTGGCGGCCCGAGCATCAATGTTAGCGTGTACGTCGTTTCAGTCGTGCGCATTAGATGGAGGAGGAGGAGGGTAGCCACGATACTCCGTGGGGTATACTCAAAGCTTCTGGGCCGCTGCAGCCTCCAGGGCACACAAGGTTCCTGAGCAGACAAGGGAACGCCCAGTTCCGGCTTGTTGGCAATATCTGGGATGATCAGCTCGCTTTCTTCCGCAGTTGGGATTTCCCCTCTTGCCCTCACAAACGGCCACGACCCCTGAGCTTCGGACGACGTGGCTGTCCTGTTTTTTTTTTTTTTTCTTTTTTCTGCGCTCGTCCGCGGCAGGTTTCGCTCTTGGCTGTCCTCGTATCCAGGTCTGACTTCCGCAGTGTAGCTTCCTGAGACGTGTGTTGCCTTGGGTCCGGTCCAATGGCTGTCATCCAGAACTTTACGATTGAGGCTGAGGGTGGATGGCCGTCAGCGGAGATTGGCTACGGCCGATGAACTTTACCCGGTGTGAAACAAACCTTCGGCCCTGTCACCTTTGGACTCTCTTCTTCTCTCCTCCTCCTCCTCCATCTTACCCCCCCAGTGCCGTGATCCGCAATGTCATGCCAGGATGATCGCGCTGGGGCCGCAGAGACTGTGCAACCACGTCCCCGACGACTTGGGCCACGCTCGCCAGGACGCCGTCATGTTGCCCATCACCTGCACCAAACAGCTGAAAGAATGCCATCCCTCTGGTGGCGGTTGCATTGCAGCTTGACCGGTGCTGCTCGGACTCTGGCGGATTCCCGAGCATCGTCGGCGTCGAGGGCAGGCCCAAAATATACACGAATACTCCGATGTCTCTCCAGAAACTCTTATCGACGAGGCCTACAGCGAATACCATAAACGGTCCGAGATTGCCGTCCCTCGCAAAGACTCGTCGTAGGATCCGAATTGGTGCCGTTTTGTCTCCCAAGAAACACGACGGTTGAAGATCCGAATGATCGTTAGCCTCGAAGCTACGCGTCATCCTAAGATTTCGCCCCCCCCCCCTCCCCCCCCCTCGAACTTTGGAGTCAAAGCTTCCCAAGTATTTGGAGAGACAATCTTGTTTCCCTGTGTTTGGACGTTTTAGTAGCCTCCTCTCTGACTACATCCTTGCTGCGCCCTTTTCCAGATTCGTCGCCAAGATGATACGCGCGGACAGCGCACGGCGCACGGCACCAAGTCGGGGTTGTGCTTTGATATAGACCTTGTCCGCCCTATATCCTTGACTCACTCAGCCAAAGGGGGGGAGGTGAACGCCGACGCTGGGCAGTCTTCGCCGAGTTGCCTGTCTGATGCCTTAGAACTTGCACACTCACACTGTCGGCTGCCTCCGCGATTAGATCAAAAGGTGGGCAAACCGTGGGCGGGCGTTGGCAGAACAAGATTAAACATCAAGGTGCAACTCTGTTGCCTCGGCCTCGGGTGGCTCCGAACGCAGAAAAAAAACAAAAATCCAGGAGAAGACAAGTGATGTAACAAAACCCATTCCACGGCTCCCACCGGCACCGCAGCATATGCGAGAGGAGCCGTGGATCCGGTTCAGTCGCTCTGGTCGTGTGTCGCGAGCCCGCTCGTCACCGAGTGAACAGCCACAATCGTTGTCGTCGAGCTGCGGGTTCCGCGCTCGGAGAACGGAGGGACAAGGTTGTTTATAGGTTTATAGATGGCTAATAGCCGAGCCCTTGGCTCTGCCAAGCAATGTCAAGTTTCTGACAAGCCCCCATTCCCAAAATCCCAACACCCTCCTCGACCACAGTACGGCGTGTTGGAGGGTCGAGTATGCGTGGGAAGCCGTCAAACACACACAAAGTGCAGAGCCAAGACGGGTCAACACGCTTGGCGTCCACATGTCAGCCAGGGCCCTTAGTCGGCAGCCGGGAGGGACCAAGTTGAACAAGCCTTCGTTGAGACCAAAGGCACCTCAGAGCCGTTGTTAAACTACATCGTGTGTCTCCCCCCCGTCCGCTCTGCCAGGGTCCCCCAAGGGTCGATCTACTGCCGCAGGAGGGGTGGGGAGCAGGACGGGGGATCCCCTGTGGGCTCTAGGGCCGAGGGGAAAAGCTTATGTGGTTGAGATTGCGCACTCGTTTCCAGATCCTCGCGCTTCACGGGCAAGGAGGGGGGATGCGGTTAAACAGGCTAGCCTTTTTGTTTAATGTCGGTACTAGAGTTCCGAGGAAACGCTCTCTCGTCCGAGGACTTTTATCGTTCAGGGCAGAAGAATAAAGACACAAACAAGCTCACAAGCTCGCAAGCTCGCAAGCTCGCAAGCTAGTGAAAGTGATAAAAAAGAGATGGAGCTGAGCGGGGTTCCTGGAGAGGAATAAGATTGACTGGCTTTGAGACCATGGCAGCTTAGCTTCTCGGCCGCGAGCTCCCGAGGGCCAGTTTGGGTGGTAGAGCGGCCGTTGGAGTTTCCAATCCGTGCCGGCGAGCCTCTGCCCTTTCCCGAGATATATCAAATGTTTCGTCGGAGTGGCGAGTGGGGGACAATCCTGGGCTTGCGTCGACTGGTCGGACCGGGATTGATGGGCGATCACACGCTCGGGTCTGACCGCGCCTGTCTCCCCGATTCGTGCGGGCAGCTTGACAAGTATCAGGCGACAGCGTAGCTTGCCTCGGATGTGCGGCCTTGCTTCCCGTCAATCACGAGAACGAGGAAAGACGAGGCATTGGTGGGCAAGGTAGAGTTGCTCTTGTAGGGCCGTTTATACGCTGCATATAAGTAGAAGCGCGCGTCGTCTTCACGATGTGCTGGCTTGCGTCCGTCAACCAAGGGGACACGCGCAACACGGTGCACTTGGAAGGACTTTAGCGATTCGTACTCAGTCACGCACACTCGGATTATGGCTTCGGATCCGGGTATCTCGTTCAAGTGGAACTGTTGTGTCTGTGTCGAGAGAAGGGAAGGGGGGTGCATAACGGCAAACTGTAAATCGCTACCACCTGCCCTTCCAAGGCCATTCCATTTTCTGCCAGAGGATCTACCTTTGTTCGTCCGAAGGCAATCTTACCTTATGGATCCCTGACAAAACAGGGACTGCCGGTTCGGCGATTGCGGCCCGATGAGCTCTGCCTTGACTCGACATCGCGTTCGCAGCCGACCGCTGAGCACGACAAGGGCGCAAGACATCAAGTGCATACAGGTCAAACAGAGGAATAGAGACAAGATATGAAGTCGTTACTGGGGCTTTAGTGGTCCACCGAATGGCGGGATATTGCACTCTCCTAGAACCCAAGGTGAGGTATGGTGAGGCGACGCGGGAACCGAGCATTCCTCGAGGACTTCACCTCACCTTCACCACAAACCTCGCTCTGATAATGAACACTCATCGCTTTCCGACCCCCGTTCCTTTTGGTGAATCCCCCCTCGTGGGCCTTGGTAGACTTCCTGACCAAACCGCGCCGGGATAATCTCTTCGACCTCCCCGACCGCTTCCTGCGCCGAGTACCGTCTAAACATTCCCCGCGTTTCGTTTTGTATGCCCAACTCGTCAAGAGACCCAAGCACAGTCGCGCAACGGGCCCGAGTTAAGCGACCTTGATGCGGTGGATGGACTACTATCCGGCCCCCAAAGGCAAGCAGCCACGGATACCCATCGACGACGACGGGCCGACCGAGATGCCTGGCGCATACCCCCAGGTTCGTTCCATCGTCCCCCCCCTCCCCTCCCGGCGCCCGTAACACGCCAAGCCGTGAGAGAAAGAAAGACAAGCTAACCGGGTTCGTCTCTCCTCGCACCCGTAGACGAGCCAGATCCAGTGGCCCGACGTCCGCCACGCGAGCGCCCCGCCGCAGCAGCCAGCGCCCCGCGCCGCCGGCGACCCGGCCGTGGGGAGGCTCCTCGAGTGGAGCGCCGGCATCGACAGGAGCATAGCCGAGATCAACCGGAAGCTGGACTTCCTCCTCCTCGAGACTAAGGACTTCCGCGGCATGGAGGCGCACTACAGGGCGCTGCTGCGGGAGCAGACGTCGGCGGGCACGGCCCTGCCCAACGCGTGCCGACGGCTCGACGCCCATAGGCAGAGCGTCCTCGAGACCGTGCAGAGGCTCGACGGGACGGCGAAGCAGATCGAGGGTCTGGCGCTCGACCTCGAACGCCTGCGGGAGGGCAGCGAGGTCACCGTGTCCATCAAGCCTGGGAGGAAGTGAGTCGCCACCCACCCCTGCAGCCCACCATGCGGTCTGGCACCGGGGACGCGAGGGGGGGGGGACCGATTACTGACAGTGGCGCAGAGAACAGTAGGATATTGCTTGTGTGTATGCGGTTCATGCGATGTGGCGAGAAATTCTCTTCTTCTTTCCCTTTTGTATTGCTCGGGACACAATTTGTCCACGGAACTCTGCATTTCGGATGGGATCCTCGGTATTTCTCCTGCATTTTTTGGAATTCTCGAGGCATGCAATGCGATTGGAGGGTTTTGGACTGGGTACCAATGTGCACCGTGGCTGGCTGTCAAAGGGGGATGATACATTGGATCGGAAGACACACGTCGGCACCCTGCCGTGTGGCTTGTGGTCCTGCGACCCGGCACAGACAGGGCAGAGAGCGCTTCCGAGGCCGCTGGACATGGAGACGATGAATGTGGTTCAGAGCACGAGTGACTTTTGCATTTCGGAATGGCATAAAGAGCATGGCATAGCGGCGTGGGACATTTCTCAAGCAAAACCATTCCTTCACCTCGGCTGCCTGACGACGGAACACATCTGATAAGTTATAGAAAGCTGAAAGTCATACGGAGGGGACGGGGAGAGGGATGGTAACAGTCCCGTAGACCCTGCTTCCGTCTCTAGAGCCAGACCGATGTCCCAATTGCAGGGACGAGTATGCCCCTCGCGACCTTGAGGGCGATCCTCTTCCGAGATGCTATCACGTCCCCCATGACTACGTCTTGAACTGCTCTGCCTTTTCAGCCCCGGGGTCGGGACGTCAGGCATATCGTGCGCGAGAAAGGAGCAGATCCTCTCCCGGCCAAACCCGTCTCCGCATTTGACGACAAGCAGCTTCGCGGGCGAGTTCAGCTCCTTGACCGTCTTGTTACTGTAACACACCCGCCGTCGGCCTCATCGCGTGCTCCGGCGCCGGGAGTAGACGTGTATAAACACGGGGGGCTGCTAGTTCTCGTAGACCCTGGCGGCCTCGGCCTAGGCCCTCTGCTGGTCCGGTCCAACGTAGCCCATTTACACGACGTCGTGGAAGTTGCCGCTCAGTTCGCTCAAGTAGCACGTGAAGACGCCCACGGGGCCGACCAGCTGGAACATCTTAGCCACTGACCCCCGTCAGGTGTCGGGGTTCCGCTCGATGAGCACGAACCGGGCGCCCGGGTAGGCCATGGCGACGTCGCGGGAGCATTCAGCCGCGGATGTCAGCGATGGCGTCGTAGCCGCCGAGCCACTAGTCGCCAGGCCCCAGTCCCGGCCCCGGCTGCTTGTCACCACGGCGTCGTTCATCATGCGCATATCCGGCACGCCGCTCCGGAAGGCCTCGAGCTGGTGGTGCGGCCTGTAGCCCAGCGTCTTGAGGGCTTAGCAGAAGCCCAGGGTTGCTTTCCTATGGGGCGGTGGATTCGCGTCAGCTATACGCCCCATTGCCCCTGCCACCAGAGCGGCATGGGAGGAGGAGGCGGGGCCTATCGTCCGAAGCTCGGAAGGATGACCCTTCATCTCCCGAGGGTGCGGGTGAGCGGGCTGGCGGTCCATGTATCGCGACGTGCTTGCGCGGCGGCGGGTTTGCAGGGGCTCTTGGACCCTGTTTCTCGAATCGGTTCACCGCGACGACGGAACGGACCAGACAGAGGCTTGACGAAGCTCGCCCAGTGGTACCGCATTTTCAAAGCAAAACGCCGAAGGGAGGAGTCCAGCTTGACGCATCGTACTAGGCGGCTGCAGTTGATCATCGACACGCAGATCCATGCCGCGCCAAATATACATATATATATGTATATATATATATATTAAAAAAAAAATTAACTCGTATAGACGCGCGTGGTGTCTTGTCCTTTGTATTTATTTTATATCGTTCAATGGTCGTCACGTTCTTTATCCCCCTCCCATTGTTCCACAACCCCCCGCCTCTCTTTATTCCTCGAACGCAAAGACGCTCACGGCAGGCAGGTCAAGAAGTCGCCGAGCCTGTCGATGACGAACTGCTGCTGGGCCTTGTTGGCGGTGGTCTTGAAGCTCGCCTCGCCGACGCTGACGGAGATGTAGCAGCCGGGCGTGTCGACGACCTTGACGTCATCGGGCAGCTTGCCCTTGTTGTCGCAGATGGTCGCGTCGTCGTGGAAGAGGGTCGGGTTGATGCGGCTGAGCACCCACTTGAACTGGTCCGCGTCGTTGCACTCGTCGGTGACGTCGGGCATGTTGACGTTCAGGAAGGTGTAGAAGGGCAGGTAGGGGGTGCCGGCGTCGACGAGCTTGGTGACGAGGCGGGTGGCGAGCTCGGCGTAGACGGTGCTATGGGCCGGCACGGGTTCCGTGTTCCACGCGTTCCTTTGGTCTGTGAGGCCGGAGAAGGAGATGGCGGGGATGCCCTTCTTGCCGGCGGCGTAGGCGGCGGCGCCGACGGTGCCGGAGAACTGCACCTGCAGGAAGAGGTTGGAGCCGACGTTGGGGCCGGCGACGGCGAGGTCGGGGACCGAGCCGTTGAAGAACTCCGGGGCGAACTGCTCGAGGCCGAAGCGCATCGAGGTCACGGGGTACGAGTTGACCCAGCGGAGGTCCAGGCTCGTCTCGTTGACGCCGACGGGGCCGCTGTTGGCGGGACAGCTGTCATACTCGCAGGGCGTGGTACGCAGGCTCGGTTCGGAATCGAGGGAGCCTGCGAGGTGGCATGGTCAGCGGGTGTTATCCTGCAGAGCGGGAGGAGGAAGGGTTAGGGGTGACGGACCTCTGCCGGACTTGTTCTCGGCCGGAGCGGAAAGGAGGACGCTGTGGCCCAAGGCCTTCAAGGAGTCGTGGAAGACGCGGGCATTGAGCTCGGCCCAGCCATCGTCGTTGGACTGAATGATGTTCAAGCCCTGCACGGCGAGGACCTGGGCGAGCAGGGCGAAGGTGGCGTCGGCGCGCATTGTGTCAAGGTTGAGCGAGTGTGAGCGAGCCCGGGGGGGGGGGGGGGGGACGACGGTGGAGACGAGGAGGGCGAGGGAGCCGGAGGAGTGGGAAAAGAGCGTAAGGCGAAAAGAGCGAACGGGGGTGTCTTTTCCAAACCTCTTCCCTGGTGATCGACGCGGAAGCTGGCGACCTTTTAAGTAAAGAAGCAGAAGACGCAGCAAGGCCGACCGATCAACCATCATCACCATCACCCCCGGCCAGCCATCCATCCCCATGCCATCCTATATCAGGCTATCCCCGTCCATGTTGACATCCCTCCCTCGCCCCCCCAGTATCATGAACCGCCTCGCCCACGAACCACAGCCGTCACGCGAAAGTGGAAGGGGCGCGTAGTGGGACAATAGTGGACAAGAGAATAAACAGGCCGGAAAGGTAAAAAGGGACCCCATGACGGCAGGCCGTAAGAAGATGTAAGATGATGGACCAAAAGGTCCTCGCTCACTGGCCATGCATGAACCCGCGCCCCCCCTGCAACATACCCTGCCATCCAATAACAACTGACAACGTCTAAGCTCCCCTGAACCAGGGCGACCCAGGGGTCTATGGTAAACTACCTACCGAAGTGAGCTTTCTCCGGGGCCGAACAGACGAACGGAGAAGCTGTGCATACATACTAGTAGCATATTGCGGCTTTCCTCCTTCCTTTCGCCATCCTCCCCACCCCACCAGTACGTGCTTTGCATTGCGGTACCAGTAATCCAACCTGTCGAAAGAGGCTGTGCCGAGGAACCGGAATAGGGAATGCAGTGGCCGCCGTGGGCGGAAGAGCCGGTGCCGGGGCCGGGGTAGGACCTGTTCCCATCTCGATAAACTATCGACGGGCAATAGATGCCAAACGTAGAAGGCAATCTTAACACTATACGTAGTACTACGTAGAACATTCGGTGTGTGGAGAAAAGAAGAATGGGGCAGTCGCAGGGGCAGCCGACCCTTCTATAACCGAAGTCGTCCCGATGCATCGTCGCAAGTGCTTAGCGGAGGCCGCCGCCAGACAGTCTGTAGACATCGTGTACATAGTAAGCTCTGAGGTATCGTGTAGGTAGGCAAGTAGGGTATCGGACATGACGCTTTTACCGTGGTTTCTATGACTGCGGCCAATAAGCCCGACAACTTGACAGCTCGGCAGCCGAACCTTCTTGTCCGCCGTCGTCCAATGAATGGTTGGCTCACTCACTTACCAGGTGTTTCTTCATGCTCTCTCTCTCTCTCTCTCTCTCTCTCTCTCTCTCGCCGTTTCTCTCTCTGTGTGTCCCTCGCTCCTCCTCGTCGACACAATCTTTGACTCGTGACCAAGGTTCCATTCGGCCACCCCGTCGACCAAAGTGCGCAATTGGGCCCCACGAGGCTGAGGGGGGTAACCCTGTGGAAATGCAGGGGAATGCATGAGACGAACGGATACAATAAGCCTCCCCTCCTCTCTCGGCTGGGTAGCGGTAGAATGCCAGTGTGATTTGGTCGGCGGCCTGTGAGTTAAACCTATTTCGGAATACATTATGTCAGCGCCAGCAAAAACAGTATTCCGGCTTAACTGACCAATGAGAAGGTCAGGATTCAGAAAGTTACATAAAGTTAAAAACTCTTTAGATTTAAGTAATTCAAAGTCAAGGCAAAATAGAGGCAACAGCTACAATTAATTTAAAAATCTGTTATATCACGTGACCTGTTTGATTAAAGGGTAAAACCCTTATTGCGATAGTAAAGTCGTATGCGTTGCCGTTGCTCTTTGAAGGTTGGATATGAGGGCTTAATCTTGGGCATCGTGGGCGTCTGTTGGCGATGGTGGATTTGCGGCAAAAAGGGCGTTTTTTGCATGGGTTATGGACGTGGGCAGTGGCGGTGGTGGCAGTGCCTTCCTAAATAGGCTTAACTCACCGGCCGCCGACCAAATCGCACTGGCATTCTACCGCTGCCCCTCTCGGCTACTCTGCACACAGCGCAGCTTCCGGCCTGTGCGGCCTTCGCCAACCCCATGCGAGACAGATGCGCCACAAAAAAGCCCCCTCCCGATGTCGCCCACTCCAGGCGTCGCATCGCGTCAGCGGTAGGGGGGTTACATGACGGCGGCGGTTGGCTGGGAGGTCGTAGTCCGCCACAAGGGGCTGGTTACCTCGTGAGGCTGACTGATGATGGATGTTTGATGCTGATGATGGTGATGGCTGTTTGATGATGCTGATGATGATGATGATGATGCTGATGATGCTGCTGATGTTGATCAAAAGAGTTCTGTCTGCATCCAAGCACTCCGGTGACAAAAGAAACAGCGCCCGTTTTGCCGATGCCGTATCATTTCACCAAAGCACAACGAACACCATCCGTCGCTTGAGAAGGCCCACATTGGATGGCAAGAAACCCCGTCTTGTTCCCGTCTTCTGTGCTTCGGCTTTATTGAATGCCAAGCAGCTCTCCTAACGCGCGGCGGTGGTGATAAGACAGGAAACGGCCCCCTTTTTTGTTTCTTCTTCGTCACCCCAAGTGCCAAGTCAATAAATGTAACGCCGTGGCAACGACGTGACCGACGGGCATGGCTGGTCCTGAACGCAAACCAAACACACACGCACGCACACACATACGCGTCCCGCCGCCGGCTCTAAACGGCGGCTGCGTCGCTGGTGACACCTGTTTTTTTTTCGACATATCTCGACAAGAGACGGAAGCCGATGCCGGGTCCTTCATTCGGGAGACAAAAAGAGAAAGAAAAAAACAAGAAAAAAGGAAGGAAGGAAAAAAAACAAAAAAAACGCTTTGGTCGCCTACTGGAGCTCGCAGGCAACAGTAGGATTTGGTGGTCCTTGAAATAGAATATCCGGCGACTGACTCGCTACAAAAGGTTGTGGGTGGGGGAGGGCGACTTGGACCCCACGGTCCAGGACCGGTTTCATCACTTTGTGGATAAACGAAACGTTTGGAGGCACGACAAACACGACGCTGCCATTTTGTGTGTTTTGCTCGTGTGCGCAGTCGCACCCTTACTACTACTGTACATGGTATTGCGATGAAGAAGAAGACGAAACTGCTGACGAGACATGACATGACATGACAGAAAGAGAGAGAGAGAGCCTGGGATTCCATCATTGCAAGAAATCGGCCGGCAGCTCGGGCCCTGGAAAGCGGTCAGCACGACTATTCACAACACGGAGCAGAGAGGGGAGGGGAGGTGAAACTTGCCCCAGACGTGCAGGTTGTCCGGCGACGCGGGGTTGTGGTGCGTCTCCTCCGAGTCGTCGAGGAGGTCGCCGTCAACGTAGTGCTCCATGATGAAGCCCGAAGGGTCGAACCTGTCGCCATCAAGTCAGCTAGGGCTCTACTGATGTCCGGCCGAGGGGAAACCCTCCCCCTCCGCCTGTTGGGACGCCCTTACCAGTAGTCAAAGATCTGGCTGCCCATGATGTGCCGGCCGACGCCCCAGCAGCTCTTGTGGCCCTGGTGCCGCAGCCAGTCGTGGCCGAGGACCTGCGTGTCAAAGTCGTGCGTCTCGAACGACGAGTGGTGCACGTGGAACTTGGGGCCCTCGAAGAAGAAGAAGCAGTGGTGGTCGACGTACTCCTTTCCACGCGCGAGGCGGAAGAAGACCGTCACCTTCTTGTCCTTGTCGTCCGGCGCGTGCACGAGCTGTGTTTTTTTTCACAACCACTTTGGTCAGCTAGGCCGTCTGCGTGTGCGTTTGCGTATATGTGTAAGTTGTGACGCGGGTTTTACTCACCTCGCTGGGATAGAGGTTGAAGTTGCTGGTATAGAACTCGTACGCCTTGTCAAAGTTGGTCAGGCACACGCCAAAGTGCCCCAGCTTGTGCACCGGCGCCGGCCGCTTCGTGAAGCGCTGCTTCTGGTTGACGTCGCGGTGCTTCTCTGTCGGCTATCGCTGACGTGTTAGCAGAAACATTGTGCCCACACATGTCTAAAAGTCACCCCCCTCCCGTCATTGTGGCTGGCTCACAAAGTTGAACTTGAGATTGGGGAAGCCCGGGTCCCTCTTCTCGACGGGCGTCTGGCCGTGGACGAGGTGGAACGACCAGCCGTCGACCGGGTCCTTGAAGGTGACGCACTTGCCGCCGCCCGGCACGTCCTCGAGGTCGTAGATGGCCGTCGCGCCCGGCAGCGTCTTGGACGCCTGCTCGAGGTCCGCCATGGACTCGACGACAAAGGCCGGACCTCCGAACTCGTCTTCGGCGGCCTCCTCGGCGCACAACACGAAGGGCTCGGTGCCGTAGCCGCGGTAGAACGTCCTGTTGCCCCTGCGCTCGATTTCGAAGAACCCAAAGTCGTCGTAGAACCGTCGGGCGTCGTCAATGTTCTTGTGCTTGTAGAACACGTGCGCGAGGCGGACGAGCTGGATCTGTCGTTCGGGCATGACGGGCGCGCGTTTTGGGACGTGGTCCTCTGGGATAGATGGATGATGGTGAGAGTCGCGGCAGACCTGGCTAGACTGCGGTGGTAGCAAAACTTGAAAACGGCGAAGAGTCCGTGTGACGGTTAAAGGGTCGTAGTCGTCCTATATTTACAGCTGGGTAGCGATCCACGCTTGCAAGTGCTGTAGGAGTCCTGCCCGCTGCTTATGGAGGGGGGGAGGATCCCTCGAGTTTATCTCCCCGCATTACCCCACCAACGTCCATCGGGTGATGCATGTTACGCTCGGTACTTGCACTGGATATCAGAGTCCGGTGAGAAGAAAGAATGGCGGTGGAGGTGGCGGCGGCGGCGGCGGCGGCGGCGGCGGTGGATGTGTAGAGTTGTGGGAGGTGTTCCCCTGAGATGATCCATGGAGGAGGGCGAGACGAGTGCCAATTGGATCGAAACAAACAATGTGATTGTGCTAATTGGTGCTGTTTGTTCAGCTGCTGAACGCACTCGAAATTGCCTTATCTCCTACCCTATTCTCTATTTTCAAGTTAAGGGGGCGCCGTTGTGTAACATCAACATGGCGTGGTGCCGAAACCAAGACAGCGCTGCTCGGCGTTGCAGCGCTTTGACTAAAGGGGCCCCCTGGCACTGGGCAACTTGAGGGCTGCATGTTAGTCCGTCTTCGCCATTCCTGGCCCGCCCGAGACGTGCAGTGAGTGCACCATCGTCTCAGCAGGGCGAGCGGCGACGCCTTGTACACGCGGAAGCATCTTCACAGACGTCAGTCGGGCTGCCGAGTGAGTCTCCCGAGCGACCATCTCTAACGTGCGGGCCCTCCTCGGCGTAAACGAGAAACGCATGAAAGACGAGGGTGTGACACGCAGCGCACGCAAGCTTTCCGGCCAGTGGCTGGTCCATAGCTTTCGGGCCCAAAAAATGGGGGCCGAATCGACACAGCAAACACCAGGGATTCGTTGGAACTGGGGAGTGAAGTCGATTGCCTCAAAACTCAATTTACCCGCCTGTTTGTTTGATCCGCCGTCGTCACCAAACCGCGGGGTATCGCCCGACATCGTTGGCCCCGAGAAGGCGGGGAGGGGGCGCCAAGAAACCCGAAAGTCCGTAAATCCGTACCGCCGTTGGTTTTGGCCCGATGTGACTTGACAGACAGATGGACAGAAGGTTCGGCAGATGGCGGTCGGACGAGACGAGCACTGTTCCATCGAACCAAACTATCGAACCAAACTGACCGCCGCCCGCGGTTCGCTCAGGGTCCCATCGGATCGGAATAGAACGATCGAGGAAGAATGGCACGGCAGGTGGGCCAGCGGGCGGGAGGATTAGCGGAACCCCGCGAACGCGATGCATCCAGGAAGACTGTGCCGGGAAACCGCTCATTTCTCTACTTCACCGCCCCGGCCGGGACATCTCGGCCCCGCCTCCAATAGCAGAGGATACCGCTCTGTGTCCCCGATAGCCTGGGGCGCTCACTCCTCCTTGGTTTTGCAGGGAGCTCATTCTCAGCATCCCCGCTCCAGAGCGGATTCCTCAACCCGGCGTTGTGGCAGAGTGGTCTAATGCGCAAGACTAGAAATCTTGTTCCTTCGGGAGCGTCTGTTCGAATCAGGCCAACGTCGACTTGTTCTTTTTGTCCGTTTCCAATGCTAGCTGGCTGTTACGGTATACATCGTTTCGGTTCGAACCTCGTGGTGGTGGTGGTGGCAGCAGGACGTGGTTGGTTAAGATGTTGTCCGTTTTCGTGCCCGTTAAGTATGAAGAACAGAAGTCTTGTGATTTCGTTTTCCTTCCTGGTTCAATTGACGTGCTTTGCCGGAGTCGAAGGGAACCTCGGAGGATGGGATTTCTGTTTTCTCGATGTTTTTTTTTTCCTTTTTTCCTTTTTTTTTTCTTCCACTTTCATCTTGTTTCCCCACCAGCCACAGGTACGTACTCCAGATACGTACCCTCCCTCCCTGTCTGTCTGGCCAGTGCTCTGCGGGCAGTGACGAAGCTCTGCCGCCTTCCTTTGCCCCTCCACCAGATAATCCCATTCCAGATTCCATCCAATTCGCTCATCCACCCTGCGCCTGACGGCCGTCTCGATTTCTCATATTATTCCCCCCCTCTCCATACGAGACCGATTCCGAAGCGAGCCTCCTCCCTCCCTAGAGACTTCCCTAACCGCCACGATGCCCAAGAAACTCTCCAAGAACCCGCACGGCAGCAGCACGCCCTCGACCTCGACCTCGACGACCAGCTCCTCCGCCGCCGCCCTCTCCCTCCCGCGCATCCTCACCGACGGCCTCCCCCTGCCGGCCCTCGTCGTCTTCGACCTCGACTACACCCTCTGGCCCTTCTGGGTCGACACCCACGTCGCGCCCCCGCTCAAGGCCAACGCCGCCCACGCCGCCGTCGCCGACCGCCACGGCGAGTCCTTCGCCTTCTACCCGGACGTCCCCCGCGTCCTATACACCCTGCCCCTCGCCGGCGTCCGCATCGCCGTCGCCTCCCGCACCTCGGCCCCCGACCTCGCCCGCGACATGCTCAAGCTGCTGCACGTGCCGCCGCCCGGCGCCGACGAGCTCGGCGGCGGCGGCGGCAAGAAGGACAAGGCCAAGAGAGCGCTCGACTGCTTCGACGGTCCCCTCGAGATCTACCCGAGCAGCAAGATCAAGCACTTTGAGGCCATCGCCCGCAAGACGGGCGTCGCCTACACCGACATGCTCTTCTTCGACGACGAGAGCCGGAACCGCGAGACGGAGAGCCTCGGCGTGACGATGCACCTCGTGCGCGACGGCGTCTCGTGGGCCGAGATGGAAAAGGGCGTGATGGAGTGGCGCAAGAGGAGGGGATACTTGGGATAGGCGGCGGTGGCAGCGGCGGTGGCAGCGGCGGTGGCAGCGGCGCCGTTGCGTGGGTTGGGCGTTGCCGTGCACCCACACTCGTATTGTACATATACACGCATGCACATACACACACACACATACACACACACTCACACACACGGAGAAAGATGGGATGATGGAACCTACACTACACTGTGGACGCCAATCAGGGTATCCTCCATAGATGAGATGATTTAGCGTCATGATACCAAGCTTTTCGGATTAGAAGAGAGGGGGAAAAAAGTAAACAAAAACAAAACAAATGCCTTGTTTGATCGTGGTCATCTAACTCCAGCCCCATGTTGCCTTGCCTCGTCCCGGAAAAATCGTGTCCTCGGGGTATTTGATGATAGCCGTGTCCAAATCACAAAATAGACGGATCAGATGCTGTTGTGCAAAAAAGAGAAAAAAAATTGCAAAAAAAAAAAAAGGTTGCACTACACCGACCCCCCCCCCCCCCCGTTACACGCACCCAAGCGCGCGCGTGCACCCCTCATGAACCCAATTCGACGGAAAAGTAAAAAAGAGAAAAGGGTTCACGCCGCCACCTCTGTCGGAGGCGAGGCCGTGCTGCCCTCGGTGTGCTTCTCGGCAACCTCCTTGGTATCGGAGAGGGACAGCTTCTGCAGCTCCGGCGCCGGCGAAAGCTCGACGGGCTCCGTCTGGGTGCCCTCGGCGACGCTGCCCTCCTTGGTCGCGGGCGTGGCGGCGGGGGTGGGCTCGGCGGCGGCGGGGCCCTGCGAGGGGGGCCAGGTCTTGGGGACGGAGCAGATGAGCTCGTTCTGCTCGACGCCGCCGACGCTGCCGAGGCCGACGCACTCCATGCGCGCGCCGTCGGGGGTCTCGCGCCACACGGCGGGGCGCGACCGGAAGCGGTCGTGGCCGGGCTCCCACCTCACGACGCCTTCCCAGGCCGGGTCGACGGTCGGCTGGTCGCCGAAGGCGAACTCGAGCTCGCCGCCGTACTGCTTCGGGATGTTGCGCGGCTCGATGAACTGCTCGAGGGTCGGGCGCACCTCGTGCGGGCTGAGGATGAAGATCTTGGAGACGGTGATGGGGTCGAACCAGCGCTTGACCCAGCCCCAGACGGTAGAGAAGAAGACGGGCGCGCCGATGATGAAGATGCCTGCGAGTGATTCTTGTCAGCCAGGATTGGTTCCATGATATGGGGGGGAAGAGGGAAAGAGACGACAAAGAAAGAGGTGGGGGGGGGGGGGGGGGGAGAAGGGGTGCTCACGGTCAAGCGTCTCGGGGTAATGGGCCGTCGCAAGCTGGCTAGCAGCCTGCATGTGGCTCTTGAGGTTCCAGAACTGCTTCAGGCTGACGCCCGAGATGTCGACAATGTTGGTGCTGAGGGTGATGGGGGTCTCGCTGTGCTGGCGGTCCTGCAGCTGGGTGGAGAAGGGCTGGTTGAAGCGCGTCAGGTTCTCGTAGAGGGCGAACAGGCGCAGCATGCCGGCGGGGGTCTTGCCGTCGAACTTTGCCTTGCTGAAGCTCGAGTCGCGGCCGGTCTTCTCGTAGTTGGCGATGGTCTTGGCGTCGAGGGTCTTGACCTCGAACAGGTAGACGGGGATGCCGCGGCGGTCGCGGCGGCCGAGCCACTGCGGGTACAGCCGGCGGCTCTGCTCAAAGGCGTCGAGCTCGATGGTGCGGTAGAGCACGTCGATGTCGTTGGCGGCGCGCCACTCCTCCGTGTCCTTGAACTGCGTGAGGGCGTCCTCGGGGACCCATCTCCGGGCGCGCAGGTATCGGCTGCGGGCGGTCGAAGAGGTCAGAATCCGCTCGGGCTCTTTTCCCGGTACCAAAAAACAAAAACAAAAAACAAAAAAAAAAAAAAAAAAGGGAAGAAGAAGAAGAAGAAGAGAGGATTTCTACTCACAGCAGAGTCGGGTCGTCGTGGGACGCAGGCGGGCCGGGCTTGTACAGCCCCTTGTCCTCGAGGAGCTTCCTGAAGGCGGCCAACTGGGCCTCTTCGTGCTCGGTAAGGTGGCCCAGATGACCGTGAGGGTAGCCGACGTTGGACGCGGTTGAGGCGTGGGACTCGACCCCGGCCGCGGGATCGGAGGCGGCGGCGGTGTCGGTCGTCATGGTGGTATATGGTACACGCACAGCGCTCGTCGGTTTGCTTGTGTGCGGGGGTTTATTTTTCCCGGTCGTTTAGGTCTGGTCGACGTTGACGGGCCTTTATTCCGAGGGTGAGATTCTTGTCGGGTGGGCGGCGGTGTATGAGAGGCGGCGGTCCTCTTAGCTACGGAAAGGAGGGGGGCGAAAAATAGAAGGTAAAAAAAATAAAAGGAAGAGGTCTTACTCGTCAGCACGACGTTGTGAGAAGTGAGATCTCGTCCCCTTTTCGGGGTCGGGAAGCATACCGGTAAGCGGCATGACGGGCAGATCCAGTAACGGAGTCACAGTCGCGACTAGTACAACTAGGTAGGCAGAGACTACTTAAGGTAGCAAGTACTTGCTACTACGTCAGTACGTAGGCACTACTGGCGGGATCAGCGTGATTCATCTGCTGTCCCCAGGTCAGTTGTCGCTGTCACTGTCGCTGTAGCGTCTCGCTTGTCGCCTTATCGCCGCTGCATCTACCCGGCCCGGCCAACCAGCGCCCGGTAATTTACGGACTTTTCGGACGGATTACGTCATGCAGCGTGGAGTCCCAGTCGCGCCCGAGGTGGGTAATATGTGTGTACTTGTACCTGGTACATGGCACATGGTACCTATAGGCAGAAAAACTCCATCTTGGGCTTTTGGGAATAACCTCAGTCCGTCAAGCCCAAACAATCTTGCCCGAGCAATATGCGTGTCGACATCACGCGTGTGCCCGATGCCTCCACTGTCGGACATTCTCGCATGGCGCCAATCTCAACAATTCCTTCTTCCCGACGCAGCCGGCCCCTATTCGGGCTGCTGGTCCCTTGGCCCTACATGGTTTATGTCACAACATGGCTATCCGGCGGTGCCGCGCCACCGGATCCTGCGGCGCGAGGCGAACCAATGGCCGAAGCGACGGCGTGCGGAGTCATGGTGGAGACACAAATGAACCAACCTCTGAGTCGAACCGCGCGCTTCGCTTCTCGAACGCAAAAAAACACCAAATTGCCCACGCCAACTTTGCACCGCGACCACACCTTCTTCCATGGCTGCCCCGTGCTTGTTTGTTTGCTTGTTGCCCACGCGCCTTAGACGTGACCTGTTGACCTGATTCCATTTGAACATGCCGTGTGTCTCTGTTACGGGGCCTCCTTGTTCATGCATCTGGAGGGCTTTATCTCCCGTCTGGGGAATTGTCCACCTCTCCCCCACTCGCCAATCAGAAACTGTTGAGGGAACCCCGGTTCGCCTAATCGGGCAACCTGATGTCCGGCTTCCGAGATACGCGGATAACCGGACGGCCGTCTTGCCTATCTGCCCGCCTGCCTGTCATTGCAAGGCGTGGGTATACAAGGCTGAAACTTTAGAGAAAACCCAATACCTATAAGAGTGTAACATGAGGCAACCACGAGCAGAGCGCGAGGCTTTTTCCCACATCACAAATTCCTCGTATCTCTTCGTCCCGGCGATACTCCAGTATAGATGTATGGTGAGCATATATTTGCCTATGTTCGAGGAACCAGGAGCGCATCTCGGTGGCCTGTTTTACGCGTTGATACGTGGCCAGGGTGTGACGCGATTAGGGGGGTCATGACCAAGACGCATCGTTTCAAAAGTTGTCTGGATACTCGGGAATATATGCGCTACGAAAGTTCAAAGACGCAACTCTTAAGATTTAGGGCCTGATCGGCAAAACCGATAACAGTCCGATATCAGCTGTACTCTAATAAGAAAATACATAGGGTTAGGGTTAACGAGAGTTTAATGCAAGGCGAAAGGTTAATTCAATGAATGTACTGCTAGAGCCCCTCCAACAGCTGTGGCCAGCTGCAGCCTACTGGCACCACTATTGCCAGCGCCTACCCACTATTGCCAGCACCCGCCTACTATTGCTAGCGCCTGCCTACTGTTGCCTACTGTTGCTAGAGATATTAGTCTATTTCTGACACTTAACCTAAGTCTAGAGGCTAGTAATAATTTATATAGGGGAAGTAGGGGATTTAGTAGATCTACTAATAGAAATGTTATATTTCCTAGTAGTATATAGCCTACTTTAATATCATCAGAGTTCTGTAATATAGAACTAAAATCATGATGTATACTCCTGTTTTTGGCCTAGTGTAGCATAATTTAAGTTTTTTGGTACTTGTGGCTAGTGCTTAGTCTGTGATATTGGTCCTTATTTGAAGTGTCAAGTGATATCGGAGTGTTAAATGACATCGGCGGAGCCGATCAGGCCCTTACTTGTATTTTGACTTTGTACGGTGATTCGGCGCTTTGGGTCAGCATTTCGACCGTGATAAGACAGTCTGAATGGAGCCGGACCAGAAATGATGCTGAACTTTGTCAGTTCTCATTCGTTGGAATACGGAATCGTCGCTAGAAGCCCACTCGTGCTGATGAACGGATCCGTGGATTGATCGCAATGTAGCAAGTGTGCCGTATCTAAACATAGCTGGAGCGGACTAGAAGGTCACCACCAGAACCTAAGCCGACAAAGCTAGCTCAGGATGAATTACGGCCTGTGCAGACGCACAGAGCAAGCATAGAGAGCAGTCCGCTTCAGACGTGTACTTCAGCACTAATATCAGATCCAGTAGTACAGACTACAAGAGAGTTACTCCGGTAGGAGGAGCCTAGACCGGTACAAATGCGGGTATAGAAGATGAGTGGAATTCGTCGCTAGATATCGATAGCAACTACGTTAGTATCGCTGCCTTCTCAGGCAACGGCACGCAAGAGTTCATCCAGGGCTCCTGCGAGTTGCGCATCCGCAGAATGACCGACATGCGCTTAGCGGATAAAGTCGAGTCGAGACTGACGAAGCCGGAAAATAAAGGACTGTTTGACTGGGATACGATAGTTGAGAATGATGCTCGATCGACTGACTGTATTAGCCGATGGACGCATAGCCGGGTGTTCGCATTGATCCGTTTTCACGATTACACAATAAAGATCAAGGTCCGATATAGTGTAACGTACCTTCGTTACAAAATAGAGACCACACTTCTGAGCGGGTGTGGGCAATCAGTTACAAGGCTAATCGAGAAGATAGTTCCCCCCCTCGAGCACATGTTAGAATTGGTTGCGAAATGCTGCAGAAAGGCTTTCTTTGTCGCTGCAATCCGCGTGCTGATCTATGGCCCGGGATTGACGGTCACGGTGCCGAAAAAAGAAAAAGAAAGAAAAAATGACAGAGAGACGATTCCCAGGGAGCTGGGCACGAGAAATCGCATCTAATGCAAAGCGGGGGAGCACCAGCCTAGTATTATCTGCGGGATCCTGCATCACATCACGCAGCACTGACTGGGAATTCCTCATGATCGGAATCCGTGGCAAAGGAAACTTGCCGAAGGGGGGGGGGGGGGGGGGAGGGTCTAGATCTTTGTTGTCAGTCCCGCCGACGGCGATTGGATCATGCGTTTTGCGGCTGGCTTGGCTGTGATGATCGTGGAGCCGCAAACGGCCTCACGGACATGGGCACCCGCGTCATCTATAAGCAGGTGTGTGTGTGTGTGTGTGTGTGTTTACCGGCATAGATGGACGAATCCGACGACGACGGATGTGGCACCCGGGCCTGTCGTATGTCACGGAGCGACAGCCCTAGACCAAGTTCGTCCAGCAACAAAGGCGAGCCGGATTGATGGATTATCAGCACATGCAATGGGGAAAAGACATCAATTAGCGAGCACACTCCCATCCCCCCATGGCCTGGAATAAACCGATTTGCTGTTGAATCACCAGGTCTTCAAGAGTATCGAGTCTGATTGCGAGGCATCCGTCGCCTATCAGGATGAAGTATACCATCGAATCTCGGCTAGCATACAGGCGCAAGCCGTGTTGCGTTCTCGGTCCGGCGCGTTCTCTATTCCCGGGAATGCTCTCAATGCTTCGCAGTGGCATGGGTGGAAGCGCGATTATTCATTCGTTCATTCGTCTTCCTAGCGCTGCCCCATACTTGGCCTTCTAGTTACCTGCCGACTAAACAAGGTTCAGCCGGGGCTTGTAGATCCCCCGCCAGGGATCAGCATGTAAACTGGACCGAGTGAATCGCGCGCCGTCGGAGCCGCTTCCCGCCTGATTGGATATCTTTGATATTCCTTGTACAAGGGTGGTTCGTACCGGTGATCGGGTGGGATCTGGCGAAGCAATGAGACAAGGGAAACCCCCCTATAAGAGATCCAACAGAATCGACGTGTCTCAGAGCACTGCTATCTGGTGTCTTCACTTCCATTGCCCCCTACCCCGGCAACAAACAAAGCAGTGCAATCGTAGTCGACATGACTGCCAGGTACAGCCGGCTCCGGCCTAGTGCAGCCGATGAGCCATCCCGGCCTTTGCCCTTGGCCGTGCGATCTGACGGCGTCAGGGCAGCCAGTCCGTTCCGAGATGCTCCCTCGACCGTCCTTGGGACCAAAAAACGCTGCACAGCATTGCCAAGCCGTCTGGGCAAGCCCCCCTCTCCCTACACTCCCGGCTTCGGCTGTAAGGATTACCGCGTTGCGTGCCTCAAGGACCCGAGCCTGTCTGAGCACTAACATTACGTTGCGTCTCCGGAACCACCGACTAGCTAGCAGCCCGTCTCGTCCCGGCGGGCGGGTGGCTTGCCGCTGGGCGTGCAGCTCGGCTCTGCCTGGCTGCCCTCACGTTTGCATTCCCACTCTCTTTCAACCGACACAGCACATCAATCTAGAACCCGTCCATCCGTTCCTCTGCCTCTGGGATAGTCTCGAGCCCAACGATGCCGCCGATGCTTTGTCTGCCGAAGGGTCCTACTGCATGACAAGTCCGCGGCCATTTCTAGGGGTGCGCCTAGCCCATCTGCCATATGCGTCACAATCGTAAAGCGATATGCTTCGCGGCGGAATCGCCATCGCTGCCCGTCCCGCCGTCTTGGGCGATGACAGATTGAGTGTCCTTGCCACTGCACACCCTTTGCTTGACCTGCACAATCGAAGAGGGCTAGTGTCTCAATCGCCCATTTCCCATTGCGTACAGTTTGGGCTCTCCCAGGCGGTAAGCTGTAGCCTTTTGCGCCGTCGCTAGCCCGCCTGTGGAAAGGTCGAGGCGGTCCTCGATGCGATCACGGTGAGATCTAGATCTTTACGGTGCGGTATAATATAGAACTGACATCGCCCAGATTCCCGAACAAAATGACCCCCCTGCGCCCCATATCAAGGTCGTCCCTGGGACAGAACCCGAGAAAATCAACGAGTTTTTCTCTAAACCCTTTGTCCGGAAACCCCATCGTCTTTGCTTCGGGTCCCTTGGTCCCTTCAAGCTCTACTACGGCCGACTTCATCACTCGTCCACGTTGCTCATCGCCAACCACATCACGATGCGTTGGCCTTCCGTGTTCCTGGCCACCATCGCCGGGTTAGAAGTGGCCCAGGCCCACGGGGACGGGCCGCACGTCAATGTGGTGATGCCGCGTCGTCGGAGCCTGGAAGAGCTGCGGCAGAGGCGGGACTCATACGAGGCGTGGAACCCTCCAGCGGTGGAGAACGAGCCCCGAGACGGCGACGAACAGATTCTGGGGGCTCGGCAAGCAACAACCACCGCCGGCGTCGCCAACACTACCATTCCCCTCGGGGACAATTCGCAGTGCGGGCCCGGGTACGGGAGGTGTGACGACGGGTACTGCTGCTCGCCTTCGGGGTAAGTGGCTCGGAAGGTCCCGAGTGCCTTATACGCCAAACAAATGTTGACAAAACTTGCTTGCCAGATACTGCGGCCAAGGCTCGGATTACTGCAACTCGCCCGATTGCCAAATCAGCTACGGCCCGGCCTGCGACGGCAACCAAAGGCCCACCGGCCGGGATACGTCCAACGATCCGAGACCCTTGCTTGGCAGCATCCCCTATGGCGGCGTCGGTATCTACGACTGTGTTAATGACGGCGACATCGCCATCACCTACGATGACGGCCCGTATATCTACACGGATGCCATGCTGGATAACTTCAAGGCCCACGGCGCTGTTGCCACCTTCTTCATCACCGGGAATAACATCGGCAAGGGCATGATTAACATACAATACCCCGCCCTCATCCAGGTAAGCCTCCTGGCGTTGCATCTGGGAAACACCTCTAACCGACCCAGCGCATGATTGCCGAGGGCCATCAGGTTGCCAGCCATACCTGGTCACATGAAAATCTGGACTCCCTGACACAAGAACAACGCCAAAATCAGATGATTTACAATGAAATCGCCTTCACTGATATCCTCGGTTTCTACCCCACCTATATGCGGCCCCCTTACTCTATCTGCGGTGCCGACTGCCAGAACCAAATGGTCCAGCTTGGATACCACATCACATACTTCGATCTGGACACCCAGGGATACCTCAACACCGACCCCAGCCAGATTAACAATAGCATAGCTATATGGGACGCAGCCATGTTAGCTCGCTCGCCCTGTAACGGTAGCTACCTGCACATTGAGCACGACATCCACCAGCAGATAGCGACGACACTTACCAGCCACATCCTGGACTCCGTAGTCGCCAACGGATGGAACCCCGTCACCGTCGGCACTTGCCTCGGGGACCCCCCGGCCAACTGGTACCGGAACACGAACTACAACTACAACTTCAACATCACCCCCGTCAGCGCTCCGGTCTGCGCACCAACACCCACCCTTAACTCGGCCATCTCCACGGACGGGTCGTGCGGTGCCGACAACGGAAAAGTGTGCCTCGGCTCGATCTACGGCAACTGCTGCTCCCAATACGGCTATTGCGGTAGCGACGCGGATCACTGCGGCGACGGATGTCAGACTGCTTATGGCAACTGCACCGTCTCCAGTGCCGTCCTCACCAGCCCCGTCGCCAACGCCGTCCTCGCCAGCTCCGCCACCGGCGCCGTTCTTTCCAGCCCCTCCGGCACTAATACTGCCGCACCTGTTGTCCTCACCTCACTCAATGGGCTTTGTGGAACCCAGAATGGCAATACCGGCTGTCTTGGCTCGGCTTTTGGTAACTGTTGCTCTCAGTACGGTTACTGCGGTAGCACCGTGAATCACTGCGGCACCGGATGTCAGACTGCTTATGGCAACTGCACCGTCTCCAGCGCCGTTCTCGCCAGTTCCGCCGCCAACGCCGTCCTCGCCAGCCCCTCCGGCACTAACACTGCCGCACCTGTTGTCCTCACCTCACTCAATGGGCTTTGTGGAACCCAGAATGGCAATACCGGCTGTCTCGGCTCGGCTTTTGGTAACTGTTGCTCTCAGTACGGTTACTGCGGTAGCACCGTGAACCACTGCGGCACTGGATGCCAGGCTGGCTTTGGCAACTGTACTGTTACCAATTCTGCCCCCGCTTCCAGCTCCGTCTCCCGCTCCGTCTCCAGCTCCGTTCTCGCCAGTTCTGTTTCCAGTGTTGTCCGCGCCAGCTCTGTTTCCAGCGCTGTCGGCGCCAGCTCTGTCTCTAGTTCCGTCCGAGCCAGTTCTAGCGCCACTAGTAGTGTACCTGTTCCTGTTGTCCTCACCTCGCTCAATGGGCTTTGCGGAACCCAGAATGGCAATACCGGCTGCCTCGGCTCGGCCTTTGGCAACTGTTGCTCTCAGTACGGTTACTGTGGTTCCACGACCGGTCATTGCGGCACCGGATGCCAGTCCAGGTTTGGATCATGCGGTGAGTACAGCCCAGGGTGGTGCCGTTGTGCGCGTGAGGCAGCGTGTTTGACTTACTATCACCTGTCGATTATGTTGCTAACCGTCATATTCAGCAGGTCAATCTTCGGCATCCACGGCCTCTGGGGCAGCGCCTACTTCATCATCGAGATCTATCTTGAATCAGTCCATCAAAGTTTCGTCTGCTTCGTCTTCTGCAACCAAGTCTTCCTCTTTGTCGAGAACTACATCCGCCTCGACTTCTAGGACTGCGTCCACTTCCTCCAACCTGTCGAACCCGCTCTTTAGGACTTCACCCGCTTCGTCCTCCTCGTCTGGGACCAAGTCTGCAACGACATCAAGATCGACATCTACTTCATCTTCTAGAGCTACGTCTACTTTGACAACCAGGTCGACGTCTGTTTCATCTTATACTGGTTTCTTGAATCAGCTTCTGAGCGCCTCATCCATTTCATCGTCCTCGTCAGCAACTGGGTCTATCTCGATATCTGGGTCGACGGCCACTTCAACAACTGGGTCAACGTCTGTTTCATCTTCTGCTACTCTTTCAAGTCAGCTTCTCAGTGCTTCATCTATTTCCTCGTCCTCGGCAGGAACTACGTCTACCCCGACATCTGGGTCGACGTCTGCTTCCTCTGCTTCATCGTCTTCACCTGGCACTACATCTTCTTCGTCTACTATCCTTGCGTCTACTTCTTCTCCTACAGACTTCTTGAATCAGCTGGCCGGAGTTGCATCCTCGCTGTCTTCCGCAGCAGAATCCTCCTCTTCATCGCCGTCTACTTCCTCTCTCGGAACTAGCTCTACATCGTCTACTATCAATCTCTTGAATCAGCTCTCTGGTACTGGGTCCTCCTCGTCATCTGGAACTGTGTCAGCTTCATCTTCCACAGCTTCATCTTCTACAGCTTCATCTTCTACAGCTTCATCTTCTACAGCTTCATCTTCTACAGCTTCATCTTCTACAGCTTCATCTTCTACAGCTTCATCTTCTACAGCTTCATCTTCTACAGCTTCATCTTCCACAGCTTCATCTTCTACAGCTTCATCTTCTACAGCTTCATCTTCCACAGCTTCATCTTCTACAGCTTCATCTTCTACAGATACACCTTCCTCATCATCTACCGCTACTTCCGCCTCATCCTCTACAACTACATCTTCTACGACGTCTGAGACGATGTCCGCCTCATCTTCAGGCGCTCTATTGAATCTATTGAATCAGATCAATGGGGTCTCGTCCTCTCCAACTTCTGCAGCTACGTCGGCCTCAAGCTCTAGCACTACATCTTCGTCTGACACACCTTCTGCATCGTCTTCTAGCACAACGTCTTCCGATTCGAGCAGCACATCGCCATCCTCATTATCGACTACATTTAGTTCATCTTCGTCAACTGTCTTGTCGTCTTCATCGTCTTCCAGTAGCTCCTCCTCCTCCTCCCTGAGCAGCTCATCCTCCTCTTCCTCTTCCGGAACTTCTTCGTCATCGTTTTCCAGCACATCTTCCACGTCCTCAGCGGCATCACCTAGCGTCAGCATTTCCAAGAACGGGGATTTTTGCGGAAGGCTGTGGGGCTCAAAGTGCTCCCCAGACAAGTGCTGTACTGCCGGCGGGTTTTGTCTCTCAAACCGTGGGCTAGGTGGCGGAATTAGTGTGCTATGTATGGGTTGCCAGACAGACTACGGTGGTCCCTGTTCCTAATGCCGACGGCACAAGGAAGAAATAGTGCGGAAGAAAAGAAAATAGAAGAAGAAAAGGGGTTCACGGTTAGGGTTTCAAACTTCGCAGCAGAGACGTCATCTTTGAATGTCTGGTCCGCTGAGGAGTTTCGGGGAAGGGTGAAAGAATTAGCGTCCAATTTTGGTGTAGCAAGCGCAATATAGTTCATAATGTAATCAAAATATGCAAAAGAATGAACAAATATTTATTCTATCTTATAGAAACAAGTAAGAAAAAAAAGAAAAAAACCGCTGTAGAACTGTCACTTAAGTGTTTCTCGTGTGCCGTTCCAAGCTTTGACAGTACCGGTCTCTATTAAAACCTATCAATTGTCCTTGACATATACGCCGATGCCGTTCCATGACTCGGCTGCGTGTCTAATTTCTTCTGGCAAACTGTAAACGAGTATCTTCCCACCCACCGAGTTCAATGGCGCAGATGTTGCCTGCAACCTCGTCGCCCGTGGTCCCTGGCTTGAGGATGCGGGAGTGGAATGCGAAGTGGCTGGCGCTCTACACTAACAATAAAGCCACAATCTGTCTGTACGCCACAACAAGGACGTGGACGGCACGGGAGGGGGGCGGGGGGTTCCGTGTTCATAATGTTCATCGCCTGGCGCCGTCATCGTTCCAGTAGTCGGCAGACCAGGCTGTCATACCAGATCAGAAACTTGCCTAGCTGTATCCGTATTGAGGGAATGTTCAGAAGCAAAATCCGTACACACCCGTAGCGGGCGTACGACAAGAGTCTTAAAGTCTCACCCCTCCCCCTAAATTGACGGCCTGATTCACCCACCGAGGACGTTGGTGTGGTATGCGCTCGCGTCGTGATTGGCCGAAGCTCCGATATCGAATGTGTCATGGGTCCCCCACCCCGGAGCTAAGACAACCCCGGCCTGCCGCATCGACCTTGTCCGCCCCCCCCCCCCCCCCACCCCGTCCCTCGGCTTCTCCCTATCTCGCCCTCTCTCCCCCTTTCAACAATCCATCATCCCAATCCATAGACCTCCGACATCGTTGGAGACACACCCATCGACCCCCCTTTTAGCCACCTTACGCCTATACACTGGGGGAACAGCCTGCCATTTCCCACTCGTCCCGGACTTCCTTCGGTCTTTATCACGAGCCTCCCTCTCTCACCCCGCGATCCCCGTGCTTATCGCTCCCCTTATCGGACAGCCCTGAACCCTACCTACCTTTTGCCACGCTCCCTCCCTCGTCGATAGCAACTTCAGCTTCCCGTCGCAGCCGCCGGCCGAATTCGTCGTGCAAAACGAACCCAACTCCTCGAAGACCCTCCTCCAACAATGGCAATCTACGGCGCCGTCCCTCCTCCGGAAGACGTCGACCACCCGGTCGCCGCACACACCGACGTTCCGCCGCCGCAGTCTCAGACCCCGGTCGCCACCTACCTCGCCGCCCAGAACGCGACGACGACGACGACGACGACGACGACGGCCCCGATCGACATCGAGGCATGGACCGTCTCCGCCCTCGAGTCCCTCAGCGTCAGCCCCATCGCCCGCGGCACCGGCGCGCCGCTGCTAGCCATCGACCTCGACCAACAACAGACCAAGAAGGCCGCCGCTGCCGACAACGCGCCGTCCGCTCAAAATCCCCCGATCCGTCGGCCACTGAGCCGGAGGGACAGCCAGAAGAAGAGGGACGCGCTGCTGAAGGGCAGCGAGGGCAGCCGGCAGCGTCGGCGATGGGAAAACGGTTCGTCATCTTTACCCTCCCCGCCTTTTGGTTCCCTCAGTGTCAATGCTGACCCTCTCCCCTTCGCTACAACCCAGACCGTCTCGTCGGCGTCCCCAATGCCCAGCCCCCCCTCCCCAGCGACTGGGAAGTCCGTCCCACTTACCCGGTCCAGGTCGTCCCCTACCAGGTCGCCCAGTTCTGGGACACCGGCCTCCGCCAGCGCATCGAGGACAAGACCTCCCGGCTGCAGGCCCAGCGCAAGAAGCAGCAGCGCAAGGACGGCTCCGCCACCGGCCTCGGCGTCGGCGAGGTGCCCCGCGACCTCCGCGACACCGCCAAGCGCACGCCCGCCGTCCGCGGCTGGGTCCGCGTGCTCGAGGAGCCCGTCCGCGCCTTCCTCGCCGAGCGCAACGAGGCCAGCGACGCCGAGGGCGACAGCGAAGACGAGGAGATTGTCTTTGTCGGCCGTCGCCAGGGTACGGCGGCCACCGGCGGCGGCGTCGGGTGGAAGAAGGCCCGCAGGGAGGTGGGCAGCGAGCCTATCGACACCGGCATGGTCTTTGACGCGCTCGGCGCCGACGATGAGAGCGCCTCCTTCAAGTACGCTCTCCCCATCCCCCACCCCCAAAGCAGCCAGCGGCGGCGATGATGATGATGCCGTGTTCCCCTTGCTGACTTGCCACCGCAGGCGATGGCTGACGCACTCCATCTCGGACTACTACGGCCTCCAGTCCCACTCCGTCACGACGGGCGAGCCTGCGCGCAAGGTCGTCTACGTCACGGTGCGCGACCCCGATACCTCCCGCGCGGGGCCGAAGAAGCGTACGGGCCTCCCGCGGCCGCTGTGGGAGATGTGCTGAACCCGACCGACCGCCGTGAACGTTGTCTTGCCACTCCCTTTTCCGTTCCCGTTTCCCTTTCTCTTTCTGTAACATCCCCTTTCACCTTCTTTCCTTTCTGCGCGTCGTAGACTTTGGGACCGTGGTTGGCTTGGCTAGATGGGCGTGCATCAGGAAACCGCATGATAGACTTGACTGTTGCCGTAATGCTTTTTTTTTTCTTAGAGGGACTGTTTCCCAGGCTCACTGACACCAGGGAGGGCGGAGGGACAATATAATAGGTCTACTCGGTAAATTTGGTGCCATGGAACCGCGATAACCGCGGTGATGGCTCCGATATGTGATAAAGATGCCGGCTTCTGTTGCTGGCGCTTTCCAGTGGAGATGCCTATAGCACCTTGTCGTGGCTTTCCGGCCATCCTGCGCACCGTGTCTTGCTGATGTCGATGCTCTCCCTGCGGGCGAATAAGTGCATGAGATTAGGGGCTTGCCGGGGACCTGGGCCTTCGCCTGAAATGGCGACGCCAGACGTGGTGTGGAATCGGCGTACCGACGCGTTGTTCGCCCAGGACACTGACAGATATGGTATTTGCACAGCAAGTTCCGAGCTTTCGGACATTTGACCTTGATCACGATTGACGACTTCCTACCCCATTATAGAAGTAAACCCATTAAATAACCTAACAAAATTTGCATTGCTTATCCGTGACATGCTACTTTTTGAAAGTCCACAAGAATGAAGACGAAAATCAAAACGGCACAGCCTGCGTCTTAATCATCCGCGGTGTTGTAGTTCTTGTGCGGGTCACCGATGCCGCCGGGGCGTAGCAGGGGCCTCGTCTCCCTTTCAACTTGCCGCTCCTCTCTGTCCTGTAAGCGCTCAAGCTCCTCCTCGGTGTCTGCGTACCGCTCGGGGTGGGCTGTGTAGGGGCCGGGGAGACCTTGTTCCCAGCCCTCTGAGTAGGTCCTAACGGGGTTGGGCCGTCTGGTGTCGTCAACGAATAAGGGCGACTGCGGCTCTCCGTGGTGCTGCTGGAACTCGTAGTAGATGGCCATGACTAGCAGAACGCCCTGCATGAAAGCCGTGAGGACGAATATACCCCATGTGCTCCACCCCTCCCAGCCGAGCCTCACAAAAAGGCTGGCGGCGAAGAGAAAGCCACCCGGAGTCTGTATACACATCATTGGGATGCTCAAGCTGCCAACGTGCTTGATGTGGTACGTCGTCCAGATCTGGGGGACGTATTGCACGGCCGCAAGGGCTCCCGCCATGACGCCAAGAAAATTGGCCCAGATGTCGAGGAGGTCGCGAAGTGCCACGATGAAGACGACGGTCAGTATGATGACGAGCAGGGCGTGAACGAAGCAGAGCGCGCCGACCATGATGGCGGTATGCCACGAGGGCGGGTTGTCGACGAGCTCTTCTTCGGGGATGTTCGCATCGTCGTATCGGAAGAAGATGAGAAATAGAACAAGGCTGCGGGCAATCAGCATGATGTTGGTCCAAGTCAAGGATGCGAAAGAGGCCTACATCAAGGCAAAGGAGATCCACTGCATGCCTAGCTGAGCGATTCCCAAAAGGCCTGCAGCGCACTCGAAGGTGCCCAGCTCGCTACAGCAGGCGATATCGCGTCGCGAAGGAGGAACAGTCAAGATATTGGCGAACCCGGAGGTGGCCGATGTAACTCCTAGTAGGACGAACCATGGTGAGATACCCTCGGAGGTACCTCTGGCGATGATGCGATAGTGTTGCGGCAGATATGAGACGACGAGGCCGATGAGTATAATGCTTCGAGAAAGACATCAGCTGGTGTTGGGGCATGCGGAAAGCGTGGGAGAAAATTTGACTCACATGGAGACTATCAGGTTCGCATAGCCAGGGGCGCGCAGCTCGGCGCAGCGGTCGTCGAAGATTGTAGCAACCATGCTCGGACAGGTGCTGGTACGGAGGAAGGTGACTGCTGACGTTGGCTCACGAGATGTGTTTGGACGGGAATAAGTTGCAACAAAACAGACTCGGCTGTCAACGTGGTTATGCCTGTTCGTTCGGGGTCCGCCGTGCGCAGGAGGTCCGTATTCGCGTGTCGAGTGTAGAAAGACGGAGGGTTCCGAGGCCACAGGCGAAGCAAGCGGTAGGGTGGGAAAAGAAACAGGGCTAGCTCAGCATTGCGTAATCATGGGAAGCAGCACGGAACCAGCAGTCGAAGGATATGGGACCGTCTCGCTTGAGGTCTGTCCCCTGGACGGGGATAGAGCCGAGATGATGGAGATTGTCGAAGAAGGGGATGATTGCTGTATTAACTGGGACGAGTGCGGCGCCCGAGTTCCGAGTCCCTGATTGTCAAGGTAACTGCAGCGAGTGAGTGATTAGTGCGGGCGTGGCAGAGGAGGAAATAAAATCTCCAAAGCTCACCTTTCAGATGTTACAGACTGACTGACTGTCAGGTAGACGGACGTTGATTGTCCAGCGAGTCGTCGAGTGACAGCCGAGGCGCGCGGTGTGTACTTCTATGGTGTGATGCGTTGTGCTTGGTGGATTTAAATCCGGATACGGCGGGGTCGGAGATTGGACCTCTGCTACGTTAGGTACTAGTCAGCTAGTGTAGGTAGGTAGGTAAGTGGGTAGGTTCACCTCAGCGCTAGGACCAGGAACATGCATCGCTAGCGGCGCCATGACGTCGCCATTTGTGCCTCTGCTGGAACGGAAGGCACTGGCTGTGGTGGAAGTGGAAGTACGGAGTACCGGTTGTGGAAGAGGAAGCTGAAGCTGGCTGGCAGGAACATTTTCCGAGGGGAAGGGACCAACCGATCCTTCTCCTTCTCCTTTTCCTTCTCATTCAGCCCTTCCTTCCACCTCTGACTGCGTGCGACACGGGGCCACACCCTGAAAGGTACGTATCCAATAACCCCACCGTATCCACTCACCGTTCCGTCCACGGTGAGTTTGACGGTGAACCGATTAGGCAGAGAGAGGGTGGGGGCCGGCAGTTGGCTGCGTTGCGTGCCTCATCGAGAAAAGAAAAGCAGGCGCAGGTGCAGCATAAGCATAAGCGTAGTGACCTTTCCGTTTTTTCCACCTTGGACTTGAACTCAACTGCATGCAACGCCACGTCCAAGGCATCACCATCTCGTCGTTGATTGAAACCCAACGATTGATTCCGCACTCTGCAGGGTTGCAACTCATCTTCACCATTTCACCCCGACCTTGAAACTTATCAACCGCAGCCATTCTCCTCCCTCTTCCCCTCCGCGCCACTCTCACTCTCTTGCCTCTAGGTTTACCTTCGAAGTGATCCTCAAAGCTGCAGATTCTTGATTTCAACCGACCTTCACATGTCGGCCTTTCTATTGCAGCGTCAATAGCGGTCAGCAACGAGTAATGCTAGCGTACACCTCTCACCACCAATCTCTATGCCCGCGATGCATCCCTCGGAGAACAACGATGCAGACCCTCTGCCGCATCACCAGATGACCAACTGGGCCAAGGACCCCTATGCCCCTCTAATGCATCTCGTTGCTACCACCGAGATAACCACCACACATTCTGCCGCACAATTGAGACCGACAAGCTTCTTCCGTCGCCTCCAATGGACTGCCGACGGCACAGCCCTTGTCGCCTCCACCTCTGATAACCGCTTGTCGACCTACGTCTTACCTGCAGACCTTCTCGACAAGAACGGCTCGCCGCGAACTTTGACGCCGCAGGGGCAGTTGCACCTACCAGAACCCTTCTACTCGGCCGCTATCTCACCTTACTTTTCCTTGCCCGAGCCTCAGACTCAACTAGCCTTGCTCGCCTGCAAAGATCACCCCATCCAGCTGCACCATGTCTTCTCCGACTCGCCCTCTTCCACTCCGCTATGCTCCTACAAGCTGATTCGCAGCGAGACTGAGGAGTACATCTGTCCCGAATCTATTCTGTGGTCTTGGCCCGGCACCCATTTCCTAACCGGCTCGATAAATCGTCTCGATCACTTTGATATGTCCAGACCCGGTTCTGATGGCCCCGTCCTGACCATCCCCACCATCCCTTCCAAACGACACCTCCTGAAAGGCGGCGGCGTTGGTATGAAGGGCATGGTATCCGCCTTATCATGCCAGTGTCCGGACGATCCCGGCACCTCCATCGTCGCCGCCGGCACATGGTCCCGGTGGATGGGCCTCTACGATGTGACGCGTACGAACAAGCCTGTAGCGAATTGGAGTATCCATGGCGTCACCAAGGCTCACTTTGGCCGGGAAATTGGGGGCAACGGGGTAGTTCAGACCATTTGGAGTCCATGCGGTCGCTATCTGGCCATCAATGAGCGCCGGGCCAGCGGCATCCTCGTCTACGATGTACGCGGGACTGGCCAGCCGCTGAACCTGCTCGTCGGCCGAAATACAAACACGCAGCAACGGCTGACGTGTGACGTGTTTCCCGGCACTGGGGATGTCTCCGGCGGTTTCGAACTCTGGGCCGGTACAGAGTTTGGGAGTGTTCTCGTCTATGAGAACGTCGGCGCCTGTGACGGGGTTCTGGACAAGTCATGGGACTGGGCCGCCCATTCATCGCCCGTGGGCAGCGCTGCCCTCCACCACACTGGTTCGGTAGCCGCCACTTGCTCTGGCGCGTGGACCAGTCACGCGGACCACGAATTGGACAATGAGCTTGGTTGTGCTGACGGCAACGGCCAACCTCGCCTGGCGTCGACACGTATCACCCCTGATTCCTCCCTTAAAGTCTGGACCCTCGCGACGGACATAGCAGACCCCTTGACTGAGGATCAACCAGACTCATGAGCTCGCCGCCAGTCTCATATGAACGGCAGATCAACGCATCCTCGGCAAATGTCACGATGCGACATGATTCCGATGACGACTGCAGCGAGGTCATGGTGCATATTTGCCTGCATCGCCCGTGTTCTGCAGCGTCGGTCCTGCCGACCATCAATCGAGATTGGAAGTTCTTTCAGGGGGCGTCTCACATCCTTTCTTCTCCATATCACTCAGCCCCACGGCTCGGGTGCCAAGCATCAGACGGAAGCCGGGCGAGTGGGTTTTGGTCGTCGAAACTGGCTCGGGCCGTGTTCTTGGAATCAGATTCCCGAGGTGCAAGCTGCAGCTATCGACTCGAGGCTCACTTAGAGTTGATGGGTGCAGCTTCTGCCTCGCATACCCGAGCTCTAAGCAGCGTCGCGATCTCTCGCCTGCAGAGGCCGGATGTGCTTCACACGTCGTACTCCGGTTGTGCAGAGGCCGGATGTGCTTCACACGTCGTACTCCGGTTATGCAGACTATTCAGCCGAACAGTTAAAATCATCTTACGTCAATAGGCCAAGTGTCGTCACCGCCGACTGAAGGCCGACCAAAAACAAGGCTGAGCACGCTTCTTCTGCAGGCCGACATCACCATTTCACTCAAGCCAGAGGCCGTATATCGGTCGTTGAGCCATTTGAGCTGGTCTATGGTTTCTGACAAGCCTTGACACGGACCTTTGGGTACGCCCCCCCTAAACACGCTCTCCAGCTAAGACCTTAAACGGCGCTGTCACGACCAAGCGTTTCTACGCTCTTTCCTTTTCTGGGCGTCCTCGTTCCTGACTAGTATTCTTCAAGAAAAAGTCTCGACCCAACGATACGAGACTCCGGATGAGTGGCAGAGGCCAAGCCGCACGGACATTTCCGTGTCGGAGTCGCGAGCGTCCCCGATGGCTATTTGTACCAACACTTACGCTAGAGGCCATGCCCCTCACCCAAGTCAGTCATGTTCATTCTGGGGCGATAAGGATTCCATGGTGTTCATCTCCGGATTGCATGGAAAAGAATGCGACCTGCAAGTTTGACTCACTGGCCGCGTCGATCTAGGCAACCTTGCTGCTACGCCTGCGATGTATGACTCCGTTTCTGGCGAGGCCGCAAGCTCAATATTCCTCAAGAATGAGAACTCATCGTTTGCTACCTCCACAGCGTCGCTGCCGACTCTATGCGATGCTCTCAGTAAAAATACAGAGAATTTGCTGTAAGCAATGAAATTGCTTTGATCATCTCCGTAACGCACGTCTCGGCGATGTGTAACATGGACGGACTTGAGCGACCAGTGTGTGCAGCCGCTCCATTAACATCTCTCGCACGTCAAGTCAAGCCTGAGATCGTGACTATCCAAGCGGCCGGCAGTCCATGAGCCGGAAGCTAAAGAAGCCTAATAGAATATTCTGTAGCAGCCATTTCTCGACTCATCTCACATAAATACGTGTAGCGGTGCCAGGGGCTGTCCGGGTGCATTTCAAGCTAGCATCTTACCTCTCGCTTCTCGCTTGTCTTCTTTCGCTTCTATTGATAGCAGTCCTAACCTTTGGGTAGGGTCGGATTTGTTTCGTTATTTTCGACTCTATATTCCTTTCGTTTTTTTGTTGTTCTCCATCTTGCCAAATCGCAACCATGAAGACTGCCTCCCTCATCGGCGGCCTTGTGGCAGGTGTTGCGTTCGCTCATCCTGGTATGGATATGAAGAAGCTGATTGCTGATGCTGAGCTCCAAACTCGCCAATTCGGCGGTGGCCCCTCGACGGAGCTGATCGGTGACCTCGTTGAGCTACGAGAACACGAACTCACCCAGACCGGAGCAGCGATTAGGGATATCTTGATCGCCGAGGCTCCCGGCGAGGACTTGGAATCCTTTTACGACGAGTCTGAGCTCTCCCACAGGGACTCTGATGAATGCGCCAGCGATGAATGCTGCATCTGGAAGCACATTGCCAACGACATGGCCAGGCAAATGGTGGGAAACGCCGGTCGATGTAACAGCGTCGCCCGCGGCGCCGTCCGTCTCGGCTTCCACGACGCCGCATCTTGGTCCAAGGCGACGGGCGGCACCGGCGCCGATGGCTCCATCATTCTTGCCAACGAGTGCAAGACACGGTCTGACAACAAGGGTCTCGAGGAGATATGCGACATCATGTCGGGCTGGTATGCCAGGTACAAGAAATACGGCATCAGCATGGCCGACTTGATTCAGACAGCCGCCAATGTTGGCACCGTTTCTTGCCCCCTGGGCCCTCGCGTTCGCACTTTCATCGGCCGCAAGGACACAACCAGACCTGCAGTCAAGGACCTCCTCCCTAAACCAACGGACAGCTCGGAAAAGCTCTTCAAGATCTTCGCCGAGAAGTCGTTCACGCCCGCCGGTCTCGTGGCCCTCCTGGGTGCCCACAGCACCAGCCAGCAGCGCTTTGTTGATCCCGCACGCGCCGAGTCGCCCCAGGACAGCACGCCGGGAACTTGGGACATCGCCTTCTACCAGCAGACGCTCAACCCAAACGCGCCTCCCGCTGTCTTCAAGTTCCAGAGCGACATCAACGTGTCTTTGGACCCGCAGACCAACGATGTGTGGAGGCTCTTCTCGTCGGGATCGCGCGGCCAGACCGCGTGGGGCAAGGTAAGCTTTTCCCCCGTGACACGTTCGTCCCATCTTATAACCTTATTATACCGACTAACACTGTAACGCTCAGGCCTACTCTGTCGAGTACGTCCGCATGTCCCTCCTCGGCGTCAACAACATCAACGATTTGACCGAGTGCACAAAAGTCCTGCCACCTTTCCGTCCCGACTTCCAACAGCCTGACCAGGATCTCCTAGACAAGGTCATGGGGAGCGTTCTCAGCTCCGACATCGTCAAGCAGGCCCTCGAGAGGGGCGACAAGATCCCCCCCTCTGCGTTGTCGACTCCCTAGTTACATGTGGTCCTGAACACCTTTGCATCATTGAAAAAGCAATAGGTATTTTTGCTTTGCTTATAAACATTTGCCCTCCCATTTGCATCGTCTGTTATGTTTTGTGTACAATAATATGTTACATGTTACCCGGGGAACCAAGGCGTTGGAAGCGTCTGTCCCATGCAGAGGACGTAATTAGAGGAAGAAGTCGCAAGAAAGCTACGGGCCGAGGCTGGCCGGAGCCTGGCGAGAGAAGAGTTGAAGTAAGGGGGAGGGGGAGGGAGGCTTTGCGGACGTAATTGTTCTTTGGATTTTTCTTTCTTCTTCCCTCAAGCCTTTCGAGTGCCAGTCACCTCGTGAGATCTTTACTTCCTTCCTTGTCGTCCCCTCCCTCTCTCTACCCATGTTTTCCATGTTTCAGTAAATAAATAGAGAAAGAAAAAAAAGAAGAAAAAAATAGACAAGAAATCGAACGAGTTGAGTGATTTCGGAAAGGAACCCCCCCCCCCCATCATCCGGTCTTTTCTCCTCGGGATCACGAGTGAAGGCTGCAGGAATAAGAAAACGTTCATCGGTTCGTTGCGGCTCACTTCTCCCCGAGGAACCCCCCCCCTCTGCGTTCTCTCTCTCTCTTTATACAGGCTGGCCGAAAATGGGACGCTAAAGTCCGATTCGAGATCACCTGACGCCCCCCTCCCCCCCTCGCAAACTTACCGAGCCTGGGCCCGGTCCGGGGCACGTCCCACTCTGCAACGAAGCCAAGAGGCCGACGAAAGAGGGACGGGGTGCAATACCCTGCGCGTGCGCGCGTGGAATGGGGGACAGGGACGCAAGGTACGTGCAGGCGCCTCTCCCTGTCCTCTATCACATTCTACTCTGATCCGTCCGAACATGGTGCCGCCGACCGGCTCTCCAGGCCCCAGGAAGCTCTCGCAGCCTCATCCCAAACGTGCATTGACTCTGTCGACCAGATTCCGGCCGCCATCACCACCTTCACCCCCGAGGAAACCCCGCAGCAGGCTCGCTCTCTCTTTGGGGCCCATACCGAGGAGCCGCACGAGGGTGCTGTCTCCTTCGTCGTCCGGGTACGCGCCCTTGACGACCGCTAGCGCGACCTGGGCAGCGTACATGTTGAACCCCGCCCGTCGGAGGAACACCTCCCACTCCGTCTCCTCGGCCATGAGTATCTGCTGCACGTCGGGGGCGGCTTCCCTGGCGTGCATTGCGACGAGGGCGCACGCCCAGCGGGCCAGCGTCTGGCTCCCCCCGGCCACGTACATCACGCGGAGGCTGCAGCCGCTGCTTCTGCCAAGGGAAAAGCCGAAAGCGACAAAGGAGGTATAGGCCTCGGCGTCAGTGGCGTTGAGCGGCTCGACCTGCTCCCCCACAGGGTTTCCTTCCGAGACGAGGACCACGACTCGCTCGTAGAGAGGGGCAACTCGCGCCAACCGCTGGCGGACTTGAGAGAGCTTGTCCTTCGATCCCGGTAGCGGCTTCTGTCGCACTTTCAGGATCGTGGTGATCACGATGCCCGTGGCCGGGGAGGGGATGATGTCAGCCTCGTAGGAGAGCGGGGACTGAACCTCTGTGGGTCTCGCGCTCCCCGGAGACCGGAACCACGTGTTGTGCCTTGCGAAGTCGCGGTCTACCAGGTCGATGCCCGGGAATGTGGCCTGGAGCGCCGAGATGACGCATCGAGGGAGGCTGACCGAGATGACGATGCGTGGAGCTTCTTTCGGCACGTCGATGGGCGGGCATGGGGCTTCGGCGTAGGCGGTTTGTCTCTCTGGTTGAGGGGTTCGTGGCTTGGGTGCATTCTGCGTGGCCCTCTCCAGCATGGGCGGGTTAGACACACCCACGGTGCTCGTCGTCGGTGCCAGAATGGAGGAGCCCGTTGAAGTTTTCTGTCTTTTTGCTCCACGCAGGTCCATGTAGCTGGCTAACATCTTTCCAGCTGGGTCGGCTTCTTTTTCACCGAGGAGCAAGCCCCCTCCCAGGAAATGCGTCGCAGTTCCGTGGTTGGCCGTTTGCGGGGACCTTAAACCTCTCGTGGAAGATGTCGTTTCTAGTGGCCTTTCTTTGGCGGTTTGCGCTAATCTATACTTTCTGATCAAGTCCATGATGTCGTCTCCAGAGTTGTAGAGACCGAGTTCTTGTGCTTCGTCCTCGCAAGGACCTGGTAGCTCTTCTTCGTCTTCTGGGCTGAGAATCTTGAGGGAACAAGTTGGATGCACATAGTCGGCACTGGTTGGCAATGACCCTGGCCGGCGGGTCCCAAATAATTGTTCCAACACGCGGCTGTCTCCAACTGACTCCTTTACATCAACTGCCTTGGCCAGTGACACCGGGAACGGGACCCATCTGAGGTCTCTCTGCTCTTGTGGGTTCTTCGGCCACTGAGAAGACTGAAATTGGTATTTATGATTGCGGCGGATCCATGAGAGCATCGCAGACGGATCTGGCGATGTTCCCTGCCACTCTGCTGGGGGCGTGCTAAAATCAAGGACCGGAGGTTGCATCCGAGCGACGGCATCAGCAGTCTCGATCTGCTCCTGCTCTAGCCTTCTTGTCATGCCGTCTACTTTGGCTTTCATGAGGATACTAAATTCTCCATCGAAAATAGAATCGGTCTCATCTATCGCTGTCCCCGCCTGATCAACCCCTTTCTTTGCGACATTAAAGTCCGGAACACTCTCGACTAACACCCGGAAAGCCTGTTTCTCTTGGCTGTTGGTAATTTCATCGTCTGATTTAGGGAAGAGCGGGACCTCCAGATCTATTTCTTGATGTTTTGGCGTGGCTTTCTCGAAGCTTGGTGTGTCGGATGGAAAACCAACGATGTCGGATGTAGATACGTCTGGTAGCTGTGGGTCATCGTAGATGTTGTTGAGGATTCTCCTGGCTAGTTCGAGATCTTCGCTAAGGAGGCTTGCTGGCTCGGAAAGATTGTCGATCTCGCAGACCTCGGCGTCCGGAACGAACACCTCATCCTCGTCAGATTCGCTGAGCGAGGGCGCAACCAAAGGTGGGGTCATGGTCCCGATGCGTTTCTGGAACGGAAGTCAGCATGGATATTGACAACACTACCATGAGGGGGTACTCACAATAGTGGATTCTATCTCCTGATTAATCAGATGTCTGAGATCCTCATCGGCCGACTCATTGTACAGTGACTCGGCAACGTACAACAAATCTTCCTCGGAAAAGTCAAGGTCGTCGGGCTCGACACCCTGGGTAAGTTGACCGTGGAAGTGCACGGCGGAAGAAGGCATCCCGATTCCTTCATCTTTCCTGTCGTCGACGGGCTCTAGAGGCAAAGTGCTCGGCCTAAAAAAGAAGCCGTGGAGCTTTGCTTCCCCAACGATACGGGCCAGAGCCTTCAGGTCCTGCCTTGGATCGCTCCTCAGCGACGGGAGGTCGAGCTTGGGAGCTGCTTGCAGGAACCGGACATTGGTAAAGCTCGATTCCAGCGCCAGCTTGAAGGCTTCTTCCTGATTACAGGTTCCTACGACGCTTTCGATGATTTCTCCGGCGGCAGTTGTTTGAATGTCATGCTCGGAAGGAAACACTGGGTCGGGAATAACGAGCGAGTGTGAGCCTGCAGGGTCGGCTAGGTCAAACGTGGACGAGATACACGTTGACTGCAGCAACACTCTGGCAATGCAGTCTAGGTCCCCGGAATAATGAGCATCTGGGTCGACGAACAAGGACTCCAGCAAGGCGTAGTCTGCTGGTCCGGTATCTTCGGCGGCCATGGGTGTTGCATCGACTGGCATCAAGAGAGTGCGGTGTTACAGATAAGACAGCTCGGGGGGTGAATGTAGACGATGCTGGTGATTGAAGATGTAACAAATTGGTGGCATCATATTACAGGTGTTATTCATTGTCACCCACACACTGGTAGATTGCAAGATCCGAGGAAAGGAACTTCCGGTGAATGGCGAGACTCACGCGGCAGGAACCCCCTCCGGTTCACCAGACGTCGTTGAGGCAAGACCCCGTTTGGTACGTACCTAGCTTCTTTGGGTGCATTCATAAGAACGAACGCCTTGGGCAAGAGCGGACGGCGCGTAGAGCGCCTGCTGTCTCTCAGCACCCCGGCGCGGGGCCGTAGTTAGTCCGGAATGCCGCCCCCCCCCCGGAAGACAAACGGCAGCACAATCCGTTTCAACCATCACTGTCCAAGTCCATCCCGGTCCAAGCGACTTTGGCCACCGCACCCGGAATACCAAATATCTACTCAACTCATCGTTTTCCCTTTCATCAGTCGCCCATCTCCAGAGCGGAGGCTGCAGGACATCACGAGGGTTGTGCCTGTGGTCCATTGTGTAGTGCACTCCGGAGCACCGCACTTGACAGTACGGAAGCAATATTCGGCCCCCGTTAAAACACATGTCGGGCTGACATTGGATGAAAGGCGTCCAGCGCATCAGGAAACTGGAGACGGATGTAAGCTTTTCATGTGGGACTCCCTTCTGAAACTCTCCCACTTATAAATAACCTCAAACAAGCTGCTTCCACGAACACCAGAATCATTCTCCGGCAATCTCTCAGTCTAAACGCTGATTTCGAAGACTTGGGCCAACGCAAAATCTCACAATGACAGCTCTTGGCTCCAAAAAGTCCATCCGCATCGGTGTCATGCTCGAGGCCGTACAGCTGAGCGACATCGTGGGCATCGACATGTTCGGCAATCTTTCCCGCAAGTACTACAATAAGGTCAAGGATTATGATCCCGAGTTCGCCAAGTGGGCCGACCACCCCATTGATATGGATTTCTTCTACATCTCCTCGACCCTCGCGCCCGCCGAGATGACGCCTGGGCTGAAGTTCGTCCCCAACGTCACTTACGACGACTGCCCCCGAGACCTCGACCTCGTCTTTACCGGAGGTCCTATGCTTGACCACCGTCCTCCTTCAGCCGACCGGTTCATGAAAGAGGCCTTTCCCAAGACCAGGGTGTGGCTGACGACCTGCATTGGTAGCCTTTGGCTGGCCAGCGCCGGCGTCCTGAAGGGCAAGATAGCAACAACCAACAGAGAGTTACTTAAGTTTGCCAGGGAGACCCACCCCGAGACCGAGTGGCTCGACCAACGGTGGGTAGTGGAGGAGAAAGAGTACGAAGGCGAGGGCAAGGGCGAGCTCTGGACTGCCGGCGGAGCAGGCGCCGGTAAGTGTGCTCCCTATTGATGTGCCACTCTCGCCAAAATTTGATGCTTACACGTTCAAGGCCTCTCCATGATCATCACATACTTGAACAAAAACTTTGATCCGGGGTTCGTCCAGAAGCTGGGAATCGATGTGGTTGCTTTTGAGGAGCTGGCCCTGAACCAGTTTTACAAGACCTCGAGGTAGATGTAAACGTGACACAATGCATAGAGCTTCGGTACTTGACACAATGAATTCACGGCTCTCTCTTGCTATTGAAATTGCTATTAATATTAATTTCGATTTGCTTATGTCGTGTCGCGTACAACGACGGACTGAGCATGGCTGTAGTCTAGACCTACACATATCGAATGCTGAACTCGGGAGAGTCGTACCGGTCCCAGCTCTCCGGTAAGGCCCTGTCAGCCATGAGCTTCAAAGCGAAAATACTCAGCTGGTACCGTCCGGCAGGCGCCCATGAACCATCCGCCAGTTCTCCGCCCCATTTACTGAACCGGCCAATGGGCTTCATAAACGTCTCCGGATACCCAGCAATATTGCCCAGAGTGACGACGCCAAGCCCGTTATCTTTTGCGTTCGGCTCGGGCTCGGACCCGGGAGAGGCAATTGGAACGGCCTCGAGCCGGACCTCGGCGCTACCCATGACTAGCCACACATGTTGAGAGGGAAGGGCGCCCGCCGGCAAAACCAGGTCCGACGTGTTGAGTAAGGGCTGTGCCCAGTCCGGGCGGCCGGCGGGGACAGGAACCTGGAAGGTCGTGTTGGCGGGCACGGTCGGGTTCCTCGGGTCGTCGCTGCGGGACAAGGAAAGACGGCTGGCGGCGAGGACTGTGACGTTCTTCATGGAGCCGGCGACGCCGAGGTACGGGACGGAGAGGGCGATGTCGCCGTCCGCGTTGGTGCCGTTGATGGCGACCCACCCGGAGTACACCGGCAACGACGCTGCGTCGAGCCCCCCCGGGGGCGTGACGGCCACGCGAATCTCGGCGCTGGCGTTCGGCTCCAGAGTAAACGTGGCCGGCTCGAACTTCAGCGTCGCGTATGACGTGAAGAGCTCTGGCGAGCTCATGCGGTAGATGCCGCCGAGCGTAGTGGCGGTCAGGGCCGGAACGTGCGAGACGTTGTACACCGCCGTCGTGTCCCCGACGTTCGTGACGGTGAAGGTCTTCTCGGACGCGAGGTTGTCGGTGTCGTTGAAGGCGATGCCGGCGACGCTGACGATGGAGCTTGTATAAGCCGCGTCGTACGCCTGGATCATGCCGGCACCTTGCTGGGGAACCGGTCCCAGGCCGCCACTGAAGTCCGAGTCGAAGTAGTTCTGCGAAAAGTTTGGCTTGGCTGTCGACGCAAGAAGTCTCTTGATCAAGTCCGGGTCTCGGGTCCCACGCACCTATCAAACGTTAGAACAAGCTTGTCTTGGTATCAGCAACCTGGAGAGGAGACGTACTTGAGAGACGAGAGCGACAATACTAGCGGCAAGAGGGGTCGCCATCGAGGTACCAGATGATACGGCGTAGCTCCCAAGAGCAACAGGCCATGTGCTTAAGATCTCAGCCCCTGGGGCGCCGAAGCTGGGCGCCAGCGTGAGTTCGAAAGTAGGTCCCCAGCTGGTATAAGACGACACCTTTCCAGGTTCGTCCGCCGCTGTGCTCTGGTACGAGGAGATGGACATGACGCCGTCACCGGTGCTGGGGTTGCTGAGGCCGAACAGGCCCTCGGTGCCGCCTTCCTCATTGCCCGCGGCAAAGGTGCAGGGCACGCCGGCGTCCACGATCCTCGAGACCGCCACGGAGAAGGCCTCTTCGGCCCACCCGTTGTAGCCGCCGATGGACCCCGTGATGATGTCGCTGCCGTCCTCGAACGCCCGGATGACGCCCGCGAGCAGGATGTCGCTCGTCGTAACGCCGCTGCAGCCGAACGTGCGGTACATGCCCAGCCTGACGCCGGGCGACGCGCCGGTGAAGCCCATGGTGTTGGGCATCGCCGCGATGATGCCGGACACATGGGTGCCGTGGCCGGTGCAGTTATCCATCGGGTCCTCGTCGGGCTCGGGTGCGCTCGACCCGTCAAAAGCGTCGCCGACGAAGTCGTACCCGTACTCGACCAGGCACCCGGAGCCGAAGCAGCCGCCGAGGGCCGGGTGCGTGTAGTCGACGCCCGTATCGACGACGCCGATGCGCAGGCCCGCGCCGGTGAAGCCGTTGGCGCGAAGCTTGTCGACCTGCGTCTGGACGTGCGGCGGCCAGTTGGTCGAGTTCGCCTGGCGCTTGTGCTTGGGGTCCTTGCCCGTCCAAGACACCTTGAGATCGGGAACCTTGATGAGGGAGACGGGCCAGAGCCTCCTGACCTGGGGGAGAGCGGCAATTCTGCCGGCCGTCTCATTGCTGTGGTCCTCGATGCTGAAGGATGCGCCCTTGAAGATCTTGGAATCCAGGGTGAGGCGGTGGGATACCTTCGAGAGGCCGGTCTCTTCCTCGACTTGGCTTAAAAGCCCGGCGGCATCCTGCTCCAGGCATTAGAAGATCGCACTTTCGCGCAGAGGGATAAAAGAAAAAGACGCCAACTCACATGGTTGTCGGCAAATTCGACAATGAAGGCGCCTGGGACATTGATCTGCTCGATTACAGGCGCAGCATCGTCCCTCCTGGCGGCCGAGGCAACAGTGACAGTCGCGATGCCAGCGAGAGCCGCGGCAGAGTATTTCCAAGCAACCATTGCGAACGGGCTTTCCTCACTATGAAGGGCTTGAGAACGAGGACCCTTCTCGGACTTCTTGTACTACATCATACATGCACTCGATCATATATACGTTATCACGACAAAGAGAGGGCATGAGCGTACGTAGGTGGAAATTGGAATGGCAGTCAACGTTGCACCGGCTCCTTCAATGTTGCAACGAAAGCTACGTCTCCCCGCTGAAGACCAGCTAAACATGACCTGAGAACGGATAGCCGACAGCTTCGTTGCGGGGCAAACCCGCGGTGATTTGAGGCTAATTGAGCAAGATAGGTATAAGTGAGCAAGATAAGTGTAGTATTACGATAACCACACCCAGTGGGCTGCTCTTCCAAAGTTGAAGACTGATTGATCGCGTCCCTTTGGAGGGCGATTTCCTCTCATACTGCGGCGTTGGGGGGGTTTGACAATCTCACGGCGGCCACTCGCACCAAGGAAGAAGCTCACAACGGACGTAAGCGCATAAAGGAAGGTGGTATTTCAGGGTATCCTTGCTGTTCCTGCGCGCGGCGCGGATGCAACGATTTCTTGGCGCATAGCGTGGGCTTGTTTGTCTGCGTTCTGTGGGAAAAAACATAAACAACGCTCAACTCCGAGGCCTTCCCCTCAACCTTGAACTTGGTAGGATACGAGACTGGGCTGGAGCCCGACTCTGGGAAGTATGGCGGTCCGAAAAGTCCAAGGTAAAGCTCCCCCGAAAACAATGTGGTTGCAGTTCTGAATGTCCATGTTCTATCTGTCACGATGCCCTCCCTTCTGTCCGGTGATTCCGGTATTTTCTTTTCCCTTCTACTCTTCCATATACATCCGGATGCTGCAAAGATGAACGGTAGGGAAGACTAGTTCCAGCGACAAAGATAAGAAGACGCACGCAAGAGTATGATACCAGCGGCAATTTTTGCTATCAATGCATGCCACGCAGATAGATATGGGGCTAAATAAAAAATACCTCTCAGCCAAAAATGCTGAGTGCCATGTCGGGACTGGATCGGCACCTCAAAGCTTCGCGTAGGCGTTGCCTCCTTTTCCCTTGCAGGCCGTATCTACGCAGCTCATGACCTCGACCAACTTCTCGTCCCGCAATCTCGGCACGACCACCTGGACACTCAACGGGGTGCCGAGATAAATCTTCCTATCAATCTTGCCCTCGTCCCACAGCTCACGGTTTCTCGCGTCCCAGCTGCCCAGGACCGTGCCGCCCTGCGGCCGGCCCAGCTGCAGATCGCTCTCCTTGACGTCGCGGACGGGCACCGTCCCCGCGGGATAATCCAGCAGCACCCAGCTGCTGGTCATCCCGACGGCGTTGTAGCCGTCAATGGGCGGCACGGGATGCGGCGCGACGGGACACACGATGGCGTCGAGCTTCTGCCGCCGCCGGCCGTGCGCATCGTCCTCGACCCATATCTTCAGCATCTCCCGCTCCAACTCGGTGCGTTGCGCCTGCAGCTCGGCCACGCGCGTGAGAGGCTGCGGCTTCCCCTTTTTGAAACGCGTCACATGCCACGGCACCAGGGGCTCGCCTGTCGCGTCGAGCATCTCAGCCATGGTGACGGCACCCTCGACCCCCATCAGCTTGTTCATGACGGACTGCGCTTTCGTCCACGCCCTCGGGCACTCCAGTTCGACGACCTTGACGTTGGGAGTCGTCGCGAGGAAATACGCGACTTCGTCCATCATGTTTGCTATGGGCGGGTGTAAGCTGCAGTTCCCATCGGAGCGCAGCACGCCGATCACCAGCTCGCCGTATTTGCCGCTGCCGGAGACCGGTGATCCGTACGGGCCGGGTGACCACGAGGCGGGCATGCAGTCCTCTCCCCACAGCGCAGCTCGAGGAACGAGCTCGCGCATGAGTGTATCGATGTCCTCGACGCTCCGGCCAATCGGACCTGCCACAGCCTGCACTGACGTGCGGCTCATCCCCTCGGGTCCGGTCAGAGCCATGCCGCCGTACGGCAAGCGCCCGTTGGAGGGCTTGAAGCCGTAGATGCCGTTGCACATGGCGGGCACGCGGATGCTGCCGCCGATGTCGGTTCCGATGCCAATCATGCTGCCCTTCATTGCGACGAGCACGCCCTCGCCACCAGAGGACCCGCCAGCGGTGCACAACCGGTTAATTGGGTTCATCGTACGGCCGAACACATTGTTTACCGAGTCGAGGCTCCCGAGTGTCTGCGGGACGTTCGTCTTGGCTATGATGACGCATCCCAGGGAGAGGAGAAGGTCGACCAAGGGCGCGTTCTGCGCGGCAGGCTTGTGGCACAGGTAGGCAAGGCCCATAGAAGTGTCGACGCCGGCGATGTTAAAGGAATCCTTGACCGAGACCGGTAGGCCATGCAAAGGTCCTAATGGGGTGCCGTGTTCTCGGAGATACTCATCCAAGTACCGCGCGCGCTCCAGAGCCGTGTCAAAGAGAGGCTCAGTCAAGCAGTTTGTGAGCTGGTGGGCGACGGCTGCGCGGTGGCAGTATGCTTCGACAACCTCTGCCGCGGACAGAATGCGCGATGAAACGGCCTCTAGCAACAGCGGGATGCTGTATGACTCGGTAATGGAGAGCTCCGCCTGCGTGAGGAACTGACGTGGCGTATCAAGGATGTTCTGAGGTCCATCCTGAGGCCTTGGCGGGTCTTTTGGAATGGCGTCGGTTGGTATGTGCCATTTCGAAGGGATACGCGCCGCCCGCTCATCTTGCTTGCGGCGTGCGATGGCCTTCCACGACGCTTCTCTTGGCTGAGACGACATAGTGAGAGGCAGTAATAGTTGATTGAAGAGCCTGCTTGAAGTAATCGACTTTGCTTCTCAAGATGAGATACGGCTTTGTGACGATTTTCTCAGTGAAATGGTCTCTCTCTTGAAGAGGGGCGGAATGGATGTCTCAGCTAACTTCAGCATGCGGTCAAACAAGGGAAGTCAGAGCGGCTTTCATCGACGGGGATTTCCCCGAAGTGTGCGTTGGTTTTAGCTCTGCACCATGCGGGGAAGCTTTGCAATCTCACCCCCAAACTGATCTGCAGCGAGATTTAGCTCGGCGCTCGTTTTACGCTTCGGAATCGCACGAAAGTTCTTGCAGAAACCCAAGCCACGTGGGAGCGTCATCAATGTGGGACTTCATCACCTCGATCCTTGTCTGGTCCATTTGGTCTAGCACTAGTGCAACCTTTGATGGTAATGCAAGGCAGAGGCTGTGTAACACGCTCATTCTTTGGTCAAGGGTTCTCGAAGCATACCGCAAGTATACAACGTGGGGTATGCCATATGATGTCATCTACAACTGCCAAAATTGGCATCTTCACAGAATTCCAATGGAAGTAATAGAGGAGGAAGATGACTGAGATTCAGGGCCGTGTTGAAATATCCAGCTGTCCCTTTACAGCCGTCTCGATGTATACTGATTAGGCGCAAGTCCAAACGGAATAAAAGAGACAATCAAGAGCTAAGAAGAAATTAGTTGACAGAGTGAACTTTTTCCATAACCGAGGAACGTTGATGGAATAAAGAGTCGATCAGTATTGAGGTGGCTCTTGCTCCCGCATATCGACACCATGTAGAAGCATAGCAAAAGGGAGGGCAAATCATCGTAATTGTCCAAACCTTTATGGCAAACATATCGAGAAACTCCAGTCTGTAAACTGGAATTTCAAACGTGGTTGGGACTTGCCCAGATTATAACGTCCTTTATTATCTGCGTCATTCTCTTCCTTGTCTCTGATTCCTCCATCATCGCCATTTCTCTGGGCATCCTGCTGTCGAAACCAGAGATATTGGGGCACACAGGAGCAAACCAGGTCAGGGCCTTGAGCAGGAACAATGTAGGAGACAGCAGGGAAAGCTACGGGGGTTGCATACTCTAGGACAACGCTGAGCAGCCTCAGCTCTGATGTCACTGAAGATGAAGGATCACTAGGCATAAACAATCCTGGTCTTAACACCCTACCACGAGACCAAAACGACACTTGAATTCCGTCGCACTTTGCTTGGAGCAAACGTTTGGAAAAAGGACCACTTCTTAGCTGCCAAGTCGACAGTGTGACTTCAACAGGAAACAATCATTACCCGCCTGCTCTCTTCGGGTCGTGTGCCAAGTGCTAAACCGGCCGTTAGATCTCACCCCTTGCTGCTGTTATTCACCGCGCAGCGGCTGGAGAGCGGCTGCCCGCGGAGTCCCAGTGCATTCTATATACATAGTAGCATTGGAGTGCGTCCTCGCCGCAGGTGAGGATGCCCTTTCGTCCAATCAGCCGCGCTCAAGGAAATTGTCTCTTCCAACAAATGGAGATAGCAAACAAACTATTTTGAACCGCACCAGCCACCGTCAAATCATGGATTCCGCCAAATCCCACAAATCAGAACCCAATCCTTGACTGCAATCACAAAGTGGCCTTGCAGTATTAACCTTCAAGCCCCCAAGATTCAGTTGCTTTGGCGTTAACAGTGGCAGTCCCGGTTCCGCATAGCATGTCTTCTAGATTGAGGTTATGCCGCTACGAATCGCCGATCCAAAGCCACAAGGCTGACAAGCAATCAGAAACCCAGTTGCATCGAGAACGACTTGGGTCACTTAGTTAGCAGGGCTACACTAGGTAAGAAATGATGTCACAGATCGATGCTTCCGCTCCGGCAAGCATGCCACACACTTTTTCGAAGGCTGCTGCATTAGGGGCTATGGGGTCATTTCGATGCATGGATGATATGCGGGTGCAATAGCGAATTCTACGCAACCAGCACAAAATAGGCATTTAGAAGTACACGGCCAAGGCGGCAAGTGATGTTGACTCCCAGCTCGTCCACGAAAGGCAACTCTCCACCGAAATGAAATACTTCTACCTAGGCATCAGTCAATGTTGATTGCGCGTAGCTCACATGCGACAGTCCATCTGATACATGATTGAATATAAAAGCTCCTGGAGATGAAGCGGTTCAAATAGCTCCTTCTTAGTTATTCCAGCAGATACGTGGCTCATTGGTTGAACAATGAGTATGCTTTCCTCGATCTCTGGCACCCCTCATATCAATGAGATCATTGAGTTTTTCCATCATGATCTCGTAATCTGGGCTTTCAAGCTTGTAGTCTTCGGTTTTTCATTCCTTCTCACTTATCTCCTAACTTACATCCGGTTTGTTATTCAAACGTGGAGTCTGCAGGTCTCTGGAATATATCCATCACCCGTTCCTCCGTATCTTGTACCTGGACTGGGGCATACATACTCCATTATCTTCAATGCCGAAAGGTTTCTTCGTCCTCTCCAGTGAGAACCTTTCCCTCGCTACCATTTAGTCAAGTTACTTACTGATATTATTAATAAAATGAAAGTTCAGAGCCATGTACTTTCGCTCTCCACGCCCCTGAGCCCAATTCTCCATGTTCTTCCTGGAGAAGGGGTGAGGTCACTGTTTAGGGCACCAAAAGACCTTGTGCCGGTTCGGGGGACATTCGACGCTCTGAAAGTCTTCTTTGGGTTGACGCCGGCGGACTACCATGTCTTCAACAATGAATATATATCGGCTTTGGAAGCGAAGAAAGGCAAACAATACTCGACCTCTCATGCAGACGCGTCGAGACCGATCATGGAGCTCCAGCGAAATGATTTTGTTACATTCTTGCATGGTCAAAACCTGAGGCTTGTCATGGACGGGTTTTCATTCAACCTCGGGCAACTGTTTCGATCTCATGATTCTCATGTTTCACCCTCAGAGCCGGTAAATCTTCCAGACTTGTACGTGTTCTTGCCGGATTCGATATTCCGAGCCGAGATCGAGGCACTCTACGGCAAGCACATATTCACTGTCTGTCCTTCGTTAAGTGAAGACTTTTGGGCTTTTTCATGAGGCGCTTCCTGTCATCTCGCGAGGTAGTCCCCGATGGCTCTATCCCGCACAGTACCAGTCTAGGGATAAGGTGCTTCACAACCTCGGCAAGTGGAGGAGATAGTGCAACTCCAGCCCCTACAAAGAAGACGAAGAGCTCGGAAACGCAGTTTCAAACCCCATCTGGGGCACGCATTACATGAAGAACATGGTGCGGCGATATGAAGATTTGGAGCTTTCAAATGCAGGAATTCCAAGTGTACTGCATGGCTTCTTATTCGTGTAAGTGCTTTGCACATCCTAATAGTCAACTATGTTTTCTCTAATGTCCATACTACAGGACAACGGCAAACTCGATACCAGCAGCCACGTGGATGGCCCTCCATATCCTCCTTGATAAACCTCTTGTTTCACGGTTGAGACAAGAGTTGCTGAAGGAGTCCGAGGCAAAAAATGCCCCGATAGATTACACTGCACTGTTGTTGGCTCCGCTACTTAATCCAGTCTACCGTGAAACGCTTCGTCTGTCTGCACATTGCGGGACCCATTGGCCGCAAGGTGTTGAGCGGGGGGGCCCGCCTCCGCGGAGGCTCGCTGCCGGCTCTCCAGTCAGGGGCCACCAGTTTGTCTGCCAATTGACTTGGAGGACTGAACGAGTCTGTGTGGAACACTGCCCGACAAATCAACGGGCGTACTGAGTATCCGGTCGAGTCTTTCTGGGCAGAGAGGTTCTTGGAATACACCGATGACCCTAGAAGTGGTCCACTCCGGAAGCCTCCATCAACCTACGCAAATACGATTGGTACCAGTCCAGTAAAGCCCTTTCGGGATGATTCAAAAGCTAGGTTGCCGGACCCTGCGGCTCTTCGGGGCCACTTCTTCCCTTTTGGCGGCGGTGCATGGAGATGCCCAGGTGAGATTCTGGCCAAGAAAACTATTTTGGTGACGGCTTTTTTACTGCCGAAAGAGTTGGATGTTTACATTTTCGACCCCATGGATGCGGCTAAGGCCAGTTCGCAGCATCGGATGATACCCTTTGGAACGCACGCCTTCGACAGGAAAGTTCCTATCCGGTGTTGGAAGAGATCACAAGTTTGAAGCGTATTATTCACCTCTTGTTTATCTTGTCAACTAGACATTACTGCAATACTTCCCGCTATCCTAGACTATAAATTACAATAGGTCTTGCTGGGTCTATGTTGTCATTGATTGATGTGGTCGCTTCCCACACATTGATGAAACATCAGCCATGGAGCTTCTAATTATGTGGCTGTTTTGTTGACGGCTGACAATGCTCCTTCAAGGTAAAGCTTGTCGATGGCTGCGGCAGCAGTGACATTGTCCACTTTGAGATTCAGCCAGAACTGGTTAGTGACGTTTCTGTCAAAAATCCACTCGTTCGAACCATTGGCATAGACGAAGTTACGGCCATTTTCGTTCCCGTATTCAAACACCTCGCCGAGGCCCTGCATTGCGTACAGAACCGTGAGAGGGTCCCACGACTCGCGAGGTCTGTAGAAGTTGTAGTAGATGTACGCTTGGCGAACTGGGTCCGATGCCGGACCCTCGGCGAGGAGCTTGCTGCCCGACAACACAACGCTTCCCAGCTCTGTGCCGCAGAAAACCATTCGGCCCTTCCAGTTGTTGACTACATGTGCCGTGCGAAGCGGGTTATCCCCGAAGAAGTTGAACTCTCTTCCCGACGGGTACCCACCTCCCATCACGACCAGTTCGGAGACTTTGCTCGCGATGAGCGCGGGTCCGGTAAGGTTGGAATACGCATCGGCGGTGGAGTTGAGCAGACCAGAAAGGTTTTCGAAAAAGCCGATCGAGACAATGGTGACGGGCTCATCTGCCTCGGCTAGAAGTTTACGGTAGAGGGAAACAGCATCCCAGGCGTCTTCTGCAGCCCCGAACGGAATAGAGCCCCCGGAGAAGTGGTAAGAGATCTTGCTTCCGTACTCTCCTAAATCGTACGAGAAGGTGTCGAGGAAGCTCTCGTTGGTCAATGGCCGGCGGGCTCCGATGGGAACTGAGGTCAGGCCATAATGAGCAAGGATAGCCGACGTTGTAGTGACGGAGTAGGTCGATGGATAGTTGACATTGACGCCTAGTATGTTTACGTCGCTAGAAGTTGCAGCGAGGAGCAACGCGCCAGTGTCACTAGAAAACGCTTTAATGTCAGAATCCCGCGACCTATGAGGAGTTTAGAAGTTCAGACTAACTCGCAATCGCTGAAAATGTCGGTATCAATTATGATGTTCTTGCGAGCTGCCAAAACAGATTGCAGTCCCAGTGCGGCCACAGTGGCTCTGATGATTGTTGAGGAGACCATCTTCGCAGAAGCCCTCAACCCGCGTCTTGAATGAGTGGTGATGAAGACCTGCCGAAAAAAGTCCGCATCATCGGTGGCAACCTTGCAATATTTATGGATTTTGTTTACTTATCGTTTCCTATCTCCGTCCCGTGCTAGCCTGTCAACGCTATACCTTGGCAATGGGGAGTTTTAGTGCAAATTTTATGATTAAATATTCTGCCCCACCCCACTATCTCCTAATATCGGAGTCGAATCCCGGCTTCCACAGCCCGGGACCCCTTCCCTCCGGCCTGCCGCGTCAAGATAAGAACATTGACTGCAGACGTTGGCATTGGTTCATCCAGTAATTATCTCTATAGGTATATATATTCTTATATACTTACTACTATTATTACCTTTACTATTTATTGAGCTCTTTGTTATTACTTACGTTGCTTTACTGCTTTACTGCTCTACTGTTACACTTTACCTTTACACTACGTCACTTTATGTCACTATTGCAGCCTGGCTCCTCCTGCTAGATCTGTAACGGCTAGTGGGAGGGCTGTGTTAATAACAAGTAATATAAGTATTCCTCTTTACTAGCTATTCAACCTTGGTTAGCTACTATAGTATTTACATAATTGTAAAATATCTGTATTATATAGTGTTTACTCCTGATACGCATATTTAGACCATTGACGGATAATGTTGCCGAATTTCCAAAGTACAACTGAAACTGGCATTAGGGCAAAACATATTCCTCCCAGGATGGAGCCACCGACACTGATACCCAAGCGGACTATTAACAGCTTTCCTAAGTACGGAAACCCGGCTGCAAATAAAGACCGAATGAAATTATTTATAGCCAAAGCGCTATTAGCATGCTGGAGATAAACCTCAGTCAGATAAAGAACGCCTGACATGAAACTCAAAATGGCGCCGGCTCCGATTAGCACGCCGGAACAGATCTGAGCGACCGCTGACACTTCAGGGAATGAAGTCCACGAGAACCAGAAAGTCCCTGTCTAGTGTCAGTATAACGAGCTTGGCCAAATTGATGGCTCTAATCTTCACGACGTACCTATAGGCAAGATGACAGAGCCCAACATCATAGGCGGTAGCCGCCTTTCCGGCACATGTTCTCCTGTCTCGGCGAAACGAGGCCCGACATGGCAAATGCTGTGTGCTCCTAGAGCGATGCATGCAACAATCACGCCAGCCAAGATGCCTAAAAAGGCCAGGCTCGCGTCGACAAGCGACCAGCCCCGAGCGACAACAAAAGCCTGGGGATACAGCTCAAAAGTCAAGTAGATGATGCCATAAACAAAGCTCATATAGATTGTCACCATCACAAGCTTCTGCTGGTCAGCAAAGTGCACGCCAGGGAGGTCGAGGATACGACTCACGATGGGCTCAGAACCAAACATTCGCAGTGGTTTTGTCAGGTACTTATCTGCAAACACTGACAGGCTGTATTCGTACTCTTGGCCAGGCGCAGAGATTGCTTCGTTTCCCGTTTCCTTACGAAGTCTCTGTGCCATACGCCGTAGTATGATAGTCTCCGACGTCTCTGGTGTAATAAGAAAGGCAGAGATTCCAACACCAACTGAGCTGATCAGTGTGATCCAGATGGCCCATCGCCATCCCAGGTGCGCTGTTACAACGTTACCAACGATGGGACCCGCCGCGGGGCCGCAAAAGACTGCCAGACTAAAAATGGCCGTCGCAATGCCACGTGACGTGGGTTCCGTGAGGAAATCCACAAACATGCCGCTCATAATGGCCAGGGTAGAAGACCCTGCGATGGCCTGAAGTAGCCTGGAGATGAGAAGTGACGGAGCGGACCGTGACACAGCGGAAACAGCTTGAAAGATGCAGAAGAACACGTATCCAGCCCACAGCGGCCGTGTCTTACCATACAGTTCAGAGGCCGGACCCCAAACCATAGGGCCGACTGAAAAGCCTAGGACATACAGACTAATGCCTAGAAGTGAAACGTCGGCCGACATTTCTAGTTCTGCCTGAACCTGTATGATAAAGCCGCTGAATACGCTGCTTGAGAAGGATACCATAAATGTAGCCAAAGAATTAGTGATGACAATAGCCCACTTCCTGACCGGCGACCAATTTCGTGGCCTAGCTCCGTCCTTTGGTCCGTTCCAACAGACAGTGACGGTGCCGGCGTTGATTTCAGTATCGACTGGGCGACTTTTGCGGTTCTTCAGACAGCGGATCATCCAAGTCCGCGTCTCCTTTTTCTCCGGATTCGTCATGAAGTACGAAATCATACAAGATAAGGTATAATGAGTGAGATTTCAGTAGGATGTTAACACAAGTATAAAACGAAGGAATCGTACTGGAAAGTGACCTTTACTCTTTGTAACCAACTACAAATGACAACGTTCCGAGAGAAATATACCTAGCTAAGACCGGTATAGACTAGTATATGTGATATTAGTGTGATAGAAAAGAGAGAGGGTAAGGCTAGAACTACCCAAACAAGCCAGATGTACGTAGAAAAGGTAGACGTCTATATGTGGTTAAAGAGAAGTAGTTTAAGTAATTTTTAAAGGTTACTCTACAATTCCATAGAAGATATAGGCACGTACTAGGGTTAAATTGTTTTCTGTATACCTCGTGATAGATAGAGATTTAACTTTTCTAGCTAGCTCAAAATTTAAATATATGTCTCAACTTTCATGACTTGTATCATACTGTATCCTCTCTGCGAATTAGCCTACCGCTAATTCTCAGTCTAACGACAAGGGGGAAAGCGGCTGCCCAGAGGCTAAGTCTATCATAGAAAGCCATTAACCCCCTATTCACCACACCTACTGCAACAATTAACTTTAAAAACCTCAACTAGCTGACTAACCCTGTTTCTGCTAGTACGTCTTTCCCTATCTGGTAGCCGCGATACTCCTTGCTGTTAGCCTGAGAATTAGCGGTAGGGCGATTCGTAGAGAGGATACAGTAGTGATTAATTAGGCGTCTTAGGGTGTGGTTGTTGAAGTGTGGCAATTGGACATATAGGTCAAAGCGGGGCGGCAGTGTTGCCGTCATTGATTGGATGGATTTCCCCACTCAAAAGTGGCAATTTGGATGACAAATACACTGGTTGAAAGGCCACGAATTCAAGGCCACAACCACGGCGAATTCGCGATAGATACACCATCAATATACGCCCAATTGAACAGGGATAACCGCCGTACCCACGCACTTCAATAGTGGTCGGCCGCTGCTCATGAGGAGTGATTAGTGGCCAGGGGGGACTTTTCGTTACTTGTGCTACCCTAACTTGATGCTTGCTGTACTGCCGAAGTGGCTTAGCCCGTGGCTAGCTTACCGCTTACTTAAATAGTCAAAGGTTTGCGATAGTGTATCTTCCTCCTCTAACCTATCAAGAAGGTCCTTTATAATTTGCCTTGTGTACCTAACACTGCAGAGTAGATATATATATGTTTACCTTTGTTATTATGTAGGAGCAGCAAAGTGAGGCAATACCGTTGTATTGGCGATAACTGTGATGTGAAGCTAACTAGGAGTGGGCTGCCCGCAGTGGGCAGAGGCTGGCCGAGAAGGAGGTAGAGGTGGGTCACGTGACCCATGGGCTCCTCCACCAACACTCCCCCTCAGGCTCTGCTAGCCTACTCCCGCATATCGTAACAATAGTAGCAAATAACTGCCTAACCTTAAATCCTCTAAATCTAAGGAGTTTTTAAAGTATACAATAACTTTAGTAAAAGGCTAGTAATTTACCTATTAGTCTAGTAATAATTTATCTATACACTAATAAGCCTACGTAATCTATATAACCTATTATCTATATAGTCTATCTATATACTTATATAACCTATTAATCTAATTTATCTACTATACCTAGTAGTCTAATAAAATCCTTATGTTTATTTAAGGCTAGTGCCTTTATAAGGCTGTTAGTAGCTATCTTAGTACTATAAATAAGTTAAAAGGTAATATTCTTATAGGTGTAAACCTCTTAGATTATCTATTTATATTAGACGTTAATACTTTAAGTTTATACTTTATTAAGGGGATTTATAACGTTAACTATTATATTAGTATTATTAGTAAAGAGGATAATTAGAGTATCTAGTAGTTAGCTAAGGAGTTATTTAGTATAGTAATAAATCTACTTTATAGTAATTACTACTAGCGTAAGGTTAATAAACTTTACCTTAGTAAAGCTTAAAGTAATAAAGGTCTATTACTTAGACTTTTAGGCTACTAGTAAGCTAGTAAAGTAGATAATATAACTACCTATAGATACCTATAATAAGTAATTATTAGTAAAAGAAGTATCTACTATAGCGTAAAGGCTAACGTTAGTAAAAGGGTTAAGTTTACTAAATAAGATACTATAATAAGTAGTGCCTTTAAGGTAGTAAAAAAGGTGCTTAATAGCTACCTAATAAGCAGGTAATAGGCTAGCATTAGCCTAAGAGAGCTTACTAACTACAAAAGTAATATCTAGGCGTATACTAGTAGCTAACTAGTTAAGGCAGCTAGTCTATTTAATATAGAGCTATTAGTTAGCTTTAGTGTAGTTATCCTTACTCTAAGTAACAGGAAGGTCCTAGTTAGTAGGTAATAGGGTCTTAACTAGCTAGAGGTTAGTATAACTAAAGTAATAAAGTATACCTTTAGTATACTTATGTTAATTAATATAAATCTTGTTAGTAGTAGAACGCTAGATCTAAAAGCTAAGAAACTAAGAGGCCTTGCTAAGGTCCTTTAGTAGGTAGACCTTAGTAAGTATATTATATATCTTCCTAGTTAACTTAGTAGTAGGTGTAGCTACTATATTATTGTTAATATATATTAAGGCGTAGGTATTAAGGTCCTTGTTATAGAAGAGGTAGATCTCCCCTTTAACTAGCTAAAAGCTAATCTTCTTTATTTTACCTTTAATAAGTATAAACTACTATAGTAGTAACTTATATAGACTATAGAGGGCCTTTTAGAGTAACTAGACCTTATTATTAACAGTAGTATAACTAGTAGGTTATTTAACGTAAACGTTAGTGCTAATAAGAACAGGGTAGTAAAAAAGGTAGTATTAAAGTTATATATCTTATACTTTAATTTATAAAGAGTAATAATAGTAAAAAAGAGGTAAATAGTAGTAGTAGTAGCTATAGCTATATATACCTCTTATAATAACTAATTACCTTACTTAAAGTTACTATAGACTACCTATTAGGCCTTAAAGTGTATAATTTTATTATTTATATTAGTTTTAATATTAAATACCTATTTACCTAGTAGCACTTTAGCTCTAGTTAGAGGGTTAACAAGGGTATACACCTCCTTATTATTAAACTACTAGATCTTAGTATTATAGGCCTATTTCTAATAGTGCTAGTGTAGGCCTTCTTTTACCTTCTTAAAGGTAGTAGGTATATTATAACTAGTAGGTAGTACCTTTAATAATATAGCTACTATAAGGGTACTAATAAAGTAACCTTAACTATCTTAGTGTACCTAAATATTAGCTAAAAGATATACTTTTTTTTATAGTTTTAGATGCCTACTATCTTATAATAGTAACTAGGTAGCTTTACTATACTAGTGTAACATAGGTAACTAGTAGTAATATACTTAGTAGTAAATATAGTAGTAGGGGCCTTAATAATAAGGTCTAGCTTATCTTCCTCTATAACAAGAGGAAGATAGTTAGCCTTTTGTTAAATAACCTTATAAAACTTATTATTAGTAAAAGTATTATCTTATTTATTTAGTTATTTATTTATAGGCTATTTATTAGTAAGTAATAAGGTAGGTATAGTAGTGTCCTCTAGGGGTAAAGTTATATAGGTAGTATTATTAATATATTTACTATTAATAGTACTACTATTAGTTTAGTTAGCCTACTAGTTTTATAAGGTCTTAGTAACTAGTAGGTAAGAATTAAGGACTTAGCTAGGAAACTAAATCTAGAGGTTAGGCTTATTAAAGAGTATATTATAGTTAGCATCTACTAGGATGTTTATATTAGTAATAAGGTAAAGAATAGTCTTCTTTTTCTCTTTATAAAAATAAACGTTATAGTAATAGATAACTTACTTTTAATTAAGGATATAGATATAGTAGATATAACTATATAAAGAGCTATAGCTAATAAGGTAACCTTTTATTATATAGGGTTCTATTTTTATAGAATAAGGGGGCACTTACTACTCTTCTTATATATATATATAATATAACTAAAGGTGTAAAGGTGTTTAATTTAAGGAGGTTCTTAGTTAGTAGCAAGGTTAAGCTTATAGGTAATAATCTTATAAAGGCTTATTTTACCCTTAGTTAACTATAGCAGGAGGTTAAGGATCTACACTGTAGTATTAAGCGTATAGTCCTAGAGATCCTTTAGTAAGCTATTATTAATAAGTAGAGTATAAGTAGCCTTTACAAAGGTGTAGCTAGTATATTTAATTACGCTATTTATTAATAAAGTATAAGCAGTAGTTAGGTAAAGTTAAGTGCCTTTAAAGAAAAAGTTATAGAGTACTTTCTTAAGCTTAGGTATATTATTATATATTTAACCTTTAATTAAGAGACCTATTATATTAGTAAATATAGCACTAAACTTCTTAATAGTATTAAGAATAACCTTATAGTAATAGATTTTTAATAAAGTAAGCTAGTAATAACTACTATAATAGTTAAGAAAGTAAAAGGTATATTATATACTAAGTTTAGAAAAAGGTTTAACCTTAATAAGGTCTAGATAGATTTCTTTACCTATAAGGGTAAAAGATAATAGAGTATTATAGCTAATAAGCTTTATAGATTTAGCTAAGTAGTAGGCCTTATAGTAAAAGTTATTAATCTTTACCTACGTAAATTATATACTTACTTAACAGTAGGCCTTAATAACCTATAATAGATAGGTGTAAATAAGTTAGTAATATATTATCTTAAGGGTTAGTTAGTACTTGCCTTTAACTATAGCTAATCTAAGGGTAGTTACTATAGGTATAGTTAGGCTATTAGTTATATAAAGGATATAGACATCTAAGATCTATTTAACAGTAGCTAAATAGGCCTTAGATTTAGTGTTAATAATATAAGTAGTAGTATAGTTATATTTAATACTTACTTTATATAACTTACCTAGGCTAAGAAGGTTAGTTAGGCTAAGAGGGCTATACTTAATATCTTTAATAGTTTAGTTAATAGTCTAAGTTAGGTTAGCTAGATCCTTTGTCTAGAAGAAAATAGTACTATTACCCTCTAGATATACCTAATTACTATTTACTATAGTAAAAGGTTAAAGGTTACTATAGACTATATAGGATATAAAGTAGGTTAATAAGTTAAATATAGGGTTAAAGTAGCCTAAATCTAGTATAATATTAGAGGTAGTAATAACCTTGTTGTTAATAGCTATATATACTGTATAGCTAGGCTTTATAGCTAGGCTAGTAATAGAAGAGCTACTAAGAGCACCTAAGGCTCCTTTAATAAAAATAGAGGTTAATAATAAGTTAAATAATCCTTCTTTATAATCCTTGTTATAGATATACTTAGTTATATAGGTAAAAAGGGTATTATAATAAGGATAATTAGTAAAAACTAGCTCTAGGTAAGTAGTCTAGTACTTTATAGTAGGGTAGTTTTTTTTATAATAAAGGCAAAAACTACTATAGGCAACGTTCTTAGTAGGAGTAGTGCCCTAGTTAGCACTAGAAAAGGTTACTATTAAATTAGTAGTGTTCTTATAGTATATAATAAGTCCTATTTTCTATTCTTTATCCTAGGCAAAAGTGTAAATAGTCTTAATAACCTTTGCCTAGGTAAGTGTCTTATTATTATTAGTGTAGTGCTTATAGGTATCTAGTAGTTATACCTTAAAGTAGTTAAGTATAAGAATAGCCTAATAGTAGTTAGAGTTTTTACTATAGAGGCTAGTAATATAGCTTTAGAGGTATTAAACCCTTATAAGGGTATTATAAAGGGTTTTATAGTCTTAGGTACTACCTTTACTAAACTTATTAATAAAGGTAGTAATAGTATCTTTAGATACCTTAGGGATAAACTTCTTAAGTGTTTTTATAAGAGTATATAGGTTACTATTATTAACTTATCCTATGTTAAGAAGCTTAATAATTATAAGGTTATAAGTGCTAATAATAATACTATAGGCAGTATTATATTTATTCTCCTAATTCTTATACTTATTAGTGTTAATTACTAGTTAAAGGACTTTATAGTTAATATATTTTTTAACTTTAGTAGTATAAAGTAATATATTAACTAGGACTTACTATTATAACTAGTTTAACTCCCCCTTTAGCTTAAAAATAAACTATATAACTATTTAGTAGTTAACCTTATTAGCTATAATAGTAGTTAATTACTTATATAAAGGAGGATAATGTAATATAGATAAAAGTCTCCCTTAGACTACAGGTAGCCTAATAATATATTAAACTTTATATATTTCTCTTATAGGATAAGGGGTATATTTAAATTATTATATAAATTACTACTTATTATTAAATATCTAAGTAAGAGAGGATATAGGTAGAGGTAAAAGTAAAGTAAGAGTAATATTTTAAGTTTATTACTTATTATTATTATAAGGCAACACAACTATAGTAGACAGGTAGTTAACAGTAATATAGGCAGCAACTATAACGTTTTATAGATATTACTATAGACTATTAAAAAAGTAAAAAAGAAGGGGCAAAGGCAGCTAATTAATTAATTATAAAGAAAATTAATTAGTATTAACCTAGGCTTTATAACCTATAGAAGCAGTAAAGTAAGGTAATACTGTTGTATTAGTAATAACTGTGATATAAAGCTAACTAGGAGTAGGCTGCCTACAGTGGGCAGAGGCTGGCTGAGAAGGAGGTGGAGGTGGGTCACGTGACCCATGGGCTCCTCTACTAATATATTACTAGTAAAGTGCTTATTAATAACAGCAGTAGTTCATAGCTAATACTGTAGATATAGTAGTAGCAGTAGTAGTTCTTACTACTACTACAAGAATCTTTTAGTAGTTATCTATAACTACTTGTTATTGTTATAGGATTTACCTTACTTTAAGCACTTGAGGCTGGCCACTAATCACGCTAGCCACTAATTCATAATGCCAAGATTAACAGCAGAAAAGCCTAATTTGAATAATGCTTTCCCTCTTTTGGTGGTAAGTTGCGATGGATTCAGAAAGATAAATTGCATAAATCTGACTTTCTAGTTGCAGCAAGCATCCGGGCTCGGATACCCCTCCGGAGGGGTTATGCACGCCGGAAATGCCCCCTGGCCACTAATCACTCCTCATGAGCAGCGGCCAACCACACCCTTAAAAGGCGTAGATAGCTAGATAGCTTTACAACAGAAGGATAATCTAAGAGTCACTTATTGTAGAGTGGATTACAAAGTTATCTACTAAAGAGCTATAGAAGGTAATCTATTTATCTAGAATCAATGTCATTATATCCTGTAGTTATAATGTTGTCGGTAATTAACAAAGTGGGCCTGAGGTGAGCTGCTTACTTGGTGACTATTCAGAGTAATCACCTTATCTCTTAATCACTTCTCTATTGTCACGTGACCTTCTCTGGTTCTTCTGTTCCGGCCCTTGTCTGTAAGCGCCGTGGTTATGTATACATCAGCTTGTCTATCCCCTGGTTCCGCCGTGGGCTTCGTTCTAGGTGGTTATGTTAACCAACACCCTTCTGGGTCGTAACACTAGTTGCATTATCGAAAAGCAGTCCGATGCCCTCGTATCTTGTGACACATCTCCAACTTTAAAGCTACGTAGACGCGCAAAAATGATCGGGAAAAGCACCGGAAAGTATGTATGAGTCATGATAACATATTTAATATCGTCCCACACAGATCTGTAATTATTTCTCAGACCATTCTCAACAAATCACTCCACTCCTCCCCTCTTGTCCTCAGACCATTCTCAACAGATCACTTCATTCCTCCCCTCTTGTTGTCAGCAGTGAGCATAAAACACTGCGTCTCAGGTGGCGTCCCTAAACACTGTTTTGTCGTTATGTAGTTATGTATATCGTCAACTTTACCCAGCCTAAAATTCTAATGAGATCCTGAACGCTGCCACTGGAGAGTACCTTTGGACCCCTCTTCGCCGTTTGAGTTGGTTCTGTCGATGTAGACTTATGGCTAACTATTTTGGAGCATAGATGCAGTCCTAAGGTTAGGGAGCCATGCTTGTGGAAAAGTGTGTTTCAATGTACCGGCATAATCATAGACCAGATCGGCAATTCCACCTCGACGAAAACACTCGGAATATCACAGTCGCGAGAAGAGGAGTCAAAAACTGCTTCCAAGGTAAAGGTTATCACGGCAGAAGGGTTTATGTGGCAGCTCAGTGGTCAACAACGATATCAAGCTTTCATTTGTTTCACTCATCAACTATCAATCGGCATTTACCACCCGGGGATCGTTCTAACATGCAGCTTCCACCCGTCCAAAATCTTAAAAAGTGTCAAAGCAAAGTTGTCGCCAATTTCGGTACCTTCATCTGAGCCATTCACCGGGTCCAGAGGCAAGAGCTCATAGCGGCCGATGTAGGCGCAGATGACACAAAGCAACTGGTCACGGGCGTACTGTTCGCCAATGCATCGCCTAGGCCCTCCCCCAAAAGTCATGAAGGAATACGGATGATCAGCGCCGCCAGTAGTAGGAGTTTTGACCCAGCGGTCCGGGTTGAAAATACGGGCGTCGCGGCCCCAGTGTCTGGGGTCACGGTTCAGGACCCATGGCGAGAAGACCATCGTTGTATTCTTGGGGATGGGTACACCAGCAATCGTGACAGGTTCGATACAGTCGCGCCAAAGAAGACCGTTGACAGAATGGTAGCGGAGGACCTCGTTGGCGACAGCGTTTAAGTATGGCAGGCTGCGCAGATCGGCCTGCCCTACCCGTTCGGTCCTAACATAATCATAGGGCGATGGTATGTTCGCCCTGATCTCGTCACGGAGACGTGATTGGACCTCCGGGTGTCTTGATAGAAGGTGCATCGCCCAGGTCGCAGTGCCTATCGACGTTTCGGTGCCCCCAGAGATCATATGGACGCCCTCTTCAATGAGGTCGGCATGTGACAGCACTCCGGATCGGACTGCGTGCGTGAGGATGTCTGTGGGCCCCTGCGCTTGCTTTTCACCTTCACCTTCAGCGCGCTCATGTTCTTCAACAATTTCCCGCATCATATCGTAGAATAGCCCCATAATGCTTTTAATGGTCCTAACCGCACGCAGTGGTATTTTAAGTGCAATCTTTGGCCCAATAATAGACGCTAATTCGAGTGTCAATTGGCCGTGGCGCGTTGTTTTGAACATGTGTAGGAATGCGCGGCCAAACCTCCTTCTTTTGTCCTTGGAATGTCGGGCATCAGACTGAAGCTTGCTTGATGCCATTATCTTGATGGTATCAAACTCCACATTGTATCCAAAGTGACCAATCATATCGATACTGGCTGCAGCTATCGGTATTTGAATCGATGTGGCACTGGCAAACGAGGCTTTCGGGCTGCCGGCCGGAGCAAGATTGTTATCGACAACAGTGTAAAGAGGAATTGTGTTGAGGGCTTTGATAGCGGTTTTCCACAAGGTAGGGAACCAGGCCCTCAGGTTGGCCTGGTTGAAGGCTGGATTTAGTCGTTTGCGGACTTGCTTGTGCTCCTCCCCTTCTAGTGTGAGCAGCCCACGCCCCGAAATGAGTTCCGATAGAATAGACTGGAGCTCGGGTTTAACGAATTTGTACGGTGCCACAGTCAAAAATTCTCTTGCGGCCTCTGGGCTCGTGATGAACACGCGTTCTCGGTTGTAAAGTCCATGATACTTGATGAGACCTTTGTTGGGAATTGTGTCGATCCAGTGCTCAATCTCGGGCAATCGGGGTTCGTGAAGCAGTCTGGTCCAGATAGCTCCTTGAGAGGGTGACGGAAGATTTCGGAAAGGGCTGAAGAGATGGCGTACGTGCAGATAATAATAAAGAGAAAATGCCACCAAGGCGGTCAATAGAGATATCAGCATCGTAAGCGACAGAGCAAGCATATCCGGTTGTTGAAGATGTGAATGATAATATAGAATATGAGAAATGGTTATTTTCAGAAAAGAAGAAAAGTGTTATGAAATGCCGAGTAGATACGGTAGATTGTAGTAGTAAGCCTAAGCAAAGATAGGAAAGAGGCGAGAGGTTACAGCTAGAAAGATAGGTCGTTCTACAGAGGAATCTTGGTGTCTAGAAATATCTTGAAAGTCAAGTACCTAAGTTGCTTCAACACTTTTATCTATACTGCTAACATATTGTTAGTTCGCTTGATATCTCAACTTACTCAGGGTGTGTAATAAGGTTTACAAAAGCCTAAAAAAGCATAAGACAATAGTGATATAGGGACTAGACATGATGAACTTACTATACGAAACAGAAACTACTTGTTGCCTCTCCAATCTTCAACGTAGTATTGGTTGCGAAATGCAAAATCACGCTCTGAAAAAAACTAAAAGAGTTTCTCCTCATGAACTCTAATTTGATTTGCTGCACGAAATGTAACCGTTGATACGTATCCAAAGCAGTCTAGACCCTCGTAAGGTCGCACAGGTACACGATAATACCTTTCAGAGCCGGGAAACATCCAGCATGACTACCATGGGCAAGATCCGCTTTCTCGCTCCACCTGCACATACGACCCGCCCTCGCCCCCTTACCCTCTACACAGATATGACTCAGTCCTTGGTATTTCTAGTATACTATAGGTAGAAAATTTACTGCGTAGATCGAAAGGTAGATAGATAGTGTGTTTGCGCTGTAAAGCGGAGACGTTGCCCTGCCGCGGCCCTCTCTTAAAGGAGACCTGGGCTAGTATAGATGGATAGACTCTGCGGACGCATTTTGCCCTAGGATTGACTTTCAGGCGTTAAATTGGTATCATCGGTCGTCTCACTAATAAAGTGTATCCTTTGAAAGAGAAAGAAGAAAGAGAGGCACTCAAGGGTAAATATATATCTTAGGAAAGGGAAAAAGTAAGAAAAGGAGGTATTTCCCAGTATTAACTCAACCACCCTGCTTACCGCACAACCCCGCACCCCATCCAACCCATCAGCACCACCATACCCGTCAACATCATCCATTCTTCCTCGTCCCTACCACCCACCCAGATGCAACTTTCTGCTTCACTAAATAATTCAGATGCGCTGGATTCGTCTGTGACATCCACTGCTTCGCCAGCCTCGATTTGCGCGCGTCGACTAGCCTCGATATTGGCGAACTTCGTGTTGGGACTTAGCTGGACCTTTTTCCTCTTGCTCTGTCGCCGCGTATCTAGCTAAGATCGCAGTTCCTGATTTTCATGCTCCAAGACTGCTAGTCTATAGGCCATTTCACTATATCCCTTTTAGACCTTTCTACATAGGTGGCAGCGAGTGTAGATGTCATGGGTATCTTGCACCAGTTAGTAATATAGGTGTATCTGATCCTCTAGATCAGCAGGCTTGCACAGGGTCAACCATAGGACTGCAGATACAGCTTCATCCCACTGCTGACTTCATAGCTGTCTGTCTGGCTGACTGGCTGGCTGGTTGGCAGGCCGTCTAGACGTCGCATTAGATACAAATGGACTAGATTACGTCTGTATTGTCACGATAACCTCATGTATTTCCACCTTCTGTAACAGCCCTGTCAGGTGCTGTTTCACGTGCTGTTTCACATTCACTTCCCTATATATAGGACCTCGCTTTCGTTACTTCCACTTACATAGAATTAAGCCTTTTGGACCTGAATCCTCATATGCCCTGCTGTGTGCTCTAACTCGTGACATGTATCACATTGACTGGCCGTAGCCCAGTTGAATTCCAGCCACTTCTTATGATCTAATTAATCAGGGCATTTAGACACGCCTTTCTATAGCAGTCTAAAAAGGCCCTTTTGCCAACGACGCTTGAATCGCTATATGGATCTAAATGCCCTAGACTTTTCCTATAGGCAGACTTCGAAGGTCTAAAGACTGACGGGTCTAGAGGCTGGAGGACGTGTGATGTGTGTGGCGGTAGAAATAGGAGGTGTATAATGTTCTGGAAACATCGCCATAGAAAGTCTGTTGTTGTATGGCTGTGATGGGCGTCCAGAACCAGCAGTCTGGCCTCGTTAGGCTGGCTGGGGGCATTCTGAGGGATTCAAACCTTATTCAGCTACTCAAGGGCAGTCTGATCAGTCGTCCAGCCATTATCTGTAGCTGTAAACTGCCATCCAGCATAGGGCTGGAGACTCAGAGGGAACCACTGCTGCTGGACTGACTTGCCCTTATAGATAACAAGGGGATGCAACGAGCTACCAGCAGTCGAGACGCATTCGATCAGCAATACCCATGCCCACGATCCAGGCTGATTTTTCTGGACATATCTGGCCTCTACAGAGCCCAAAACTAGCCCGTTTCTCCCTTTGCACTCGAGGATACCGGTCTCATCCATGTTCCATCTATTGGCTGGCTTGATGGCCTTGACTGCTGACAGTTCTAGGCAATGGAACCAATCCTGGATAATGTCAGTAGATGCCCCATTTATACGCCTTGAATCAATTGCCCTGCTTCTCTCGGTCTGGATAGATGGGTTTCTGCAGAGGAATCGCCACATCCACTTCCTCCCAAGCGGTTGTTGCACATCACCCAGCATACGCTCAGCCAACCCTTTGACTTGTTGATGGGTAAATGCCAATCCTAGGGCAGACTAGGTGCATATCTATCCAGCAAGTAAGTCTTTTTGGGTGCTAGAGAGCCGTTGCAGCCTGGCAAAGGCAGTATCCCTAGACTGCACGCCATTGAGACAATTGCAAAGGGTAGCCTCAGGGAACCCCCATTCGCGGCCAGCCTGCCGGATCCCATACCCATCTGCGATAGCCTTTAGGGCTTGTTGGGGCTCAAAATCGGTATACTGCTTCATCGCACGATAAATAGGATATCCTGAAAAGATGGCGCTGTTTAGAGTAGAATAGTAAATGTTGTGGTGGTTAGAAATGAGGGTTGTTAGTAGTGATGCGGAAGTTTCGGGATGCGCGGGGTGTTGGGTTGCGCGGTGAGTGGGGCGGCCGAGTTACTTATTAAGCTTATCAACTTCTTGGGGTTAAACACCAGGGGTAGGTAAAGAGAGAAACAGGGGGAAAGGTTAAGCTCTAAGTTCAAGTATAATAAGGGTGTTGCAATGTTGACCATCGCCAATCCATCGGAGCTACTGTGCTGTCGCAATGCCTTTACAACATTATACAGCCTTATAGGGATCTAAATAGAGCTAGAACATCTATTAGTCTAGTGCCTACCTCCTAGACCTACTATAGAGACCTACATATCTATAGGTTAGACCAGGCAGTTTAGAACGTAGATAGGCAAGCTGTTTTCCTATAACTTTGTATAATTAAATAAGTGTATCATAATAATAGTGTATTAAATACAGTATTATCTTGTCTAAATAGTAAAGACGTTGAGGGAGATCTAGAACCTAGATTATTATATACTAGACCATGTATTCTTTACACAAAGATATTCTAGGAAACTTGTTGCGGATCTAATTTAGTAAAATTAACTAATTTGTAATGAAATTATAGTTATAGCTAACTAGGTATAAAAGGCAAATTGCAACCTAATTTATAGACGCTTAGACATCCTAGTACGGCTAGGGTAATACCTGCTGCTCAGAGATCCGTGCTATGGAAAGCAGGTTGTAATTCAGCATGTCATTAGTACAGTAGGAGTTTCTTATTTAGAAGTCAATGAAGGGATTTAACTAAAAGCATTATGCCCCCAGCCTAAAGGATTCTCCATGCCCCCAACCTAAGTTTTGAGATATAGGGTTGTCAGAAGACTAGGACAACTTCTCATCATCATCCCATGTGAGAAGCCGGTCAACTCGGTTTAACTCTTCATTAATGAGCCGTTCTTGGTTCCAGTTTCTCCTTTCAAAAAGTCGGTTTGAATAGGCATGGTGCCTCAAAAGGAAGTCAGGACGCCATTCACTGTCCCCAATCGACTTTTCAACCACAACAGCAACCTTGAGCCTGACCGAAGTATCTCCCTTGTTGGAGACAAGCCATGCCAGTTTGTCCATGATTTCGCCAATCTCGATTTCCTTATTCACACATCGATCAAGCCGATCAATAATGATGTAAGTCGTACCTGGGTTCTCCAAGTTCAAGACCACGGCGTTCAGGAGCTTGATGAGCATTTCCAACTTCAGTTCCGTGGATTCGTTCTCACTGTAATTACGACTGTCGATTATACTTCGAAATTCATCGCTCTTTTTGCGACGGACGTCTGGTCTCTCGCCCAGAATTTGTGAAATGATTGATGCGATGACAGATGTTGCCTCGATATCTTGAGTTGTGTCGTCCGGTTGACAAGAAAAGAATGTAATATGCTCCTTCTGTTTTCGCATCCCTTCAGCGATGTATATGGCCGCTGGTGAAAGCCAAGAATGAGAAAAACCTGTCAGATAACGCCCTTCCCATACCGCTCTCCCACTCAGGAACAGGAGGCATGATTCTTACGCTCTTTTCCAATAATGGAATTCGGTACATGTCTCAAGGAGATGGGGGTGCATTGAACAGAACAAACTCCATGGCCAACTTGGTGAATAAGCTTGGCAGTTGGGGAACACTTCTTTTAGAGTCTTTTTGCATAGGGAAGCTTCAAGACTCTGAGGGCAGCGTTCGACCTAGAGGGCATCAGCGGGCCTTCGACCAAACGGATTATTTTCTCACTCTCAACAGCTTCTGAAACTTCCTTAGTCTGATTTCGTCTCTCTCCTCTTCCTCTTCTTGATGTTTGCGCTCCATTTCTTTAAGCTTGCGCTGCACTCCTGAGGAACATCGGGTTGGTTACTGTATTTCAAGACCTCAAACCTGAGCACGTAAAGCAGATCTTCAAATACTTCCTTGACCAACCGGGGCATGCCTTAATCAAGGAAAGAGCACATATCGACCAATATATTCACGTGGTCGCTCGCAACATTGGTCTCAATGGTCGACAGATTCGCAACGTGGTTTATGGGGCTGCAGCAAAAGCCAGGACTAACCTATGGAAGGATAAAGGCGATGGCAGACTGTCTCTCCAAAACTTGACAGACGTTTGCAACATGACTCCGGATTGCCAGGACCAACTAAAGGATTATGTGAGAAGCCAGAGGTCTAACAATGAAGCTCACGTGCAGTGATACAGAATTCTAGTAGTGGTTATAAATAGTAGGTCTTGTTGAATGGACTCTCGTACATGCATGTACTCTCAAACGTATAGGGTGAATCAACTTGTATTAGGTAGCTGAACAAGTCTACTCTAGTGTTGTCGTACAAGCAGTTATATACTGCCTTCGTATGACTCGAGTCATTCGGCTAACTACAAAGTATGAGCCCCTCCTGACAATGACTAAGGGCCGAGTATCCAGTCTGTGCCCTTTAAACCTGAATCATGAATCATTTATGGTTGACTAACTAGTTGTTGTATAATCATTAGTATTAGAATTCTAACAGGTCTTATATTTTATAGATGCTAAATCTTAAACAGTAAATCTTGTTTTAATTCCTTAGGCTATTACTAACTAAATAGACCTTGTTCCTTAAGACACTCCTTTACCAGTGTCGTTAGTAGGTGCTAACAGGAGCTTATAGGTAGCCAGTACTATCCTATAATACTAATAATATAATTTAGCGTCTTTTCTAGTAGCTTCTTGAAGAAGCTCTTATTAATATTATATCAGCTGTTAGGTACTATAGCAGGATAAGGTAAAATCTTAAAGAATAACTGGCATAGCCCTCCTGGCAGCCGTTGCGGATCTAACAGGTCGAATAGGTAGGCTGCAAGTTCTGGCGTGCAAAAGTCTACAGTAGCGTCGCAAAGCTATACAGCAAACAGATGTAGCGTAACAGAAAAACAGTGAAGCAAAACAAGAGAGCAAGTACGAGCGAATTAATACAAGCAGAATATGGGTATAAGTAAGTTAAGGTTAGGATTCTTGTCCCTCCTCATGTAAGTGCACAAGGAGGCCGTCTAATATACCTAAGCGCATGTGACAATCCTCCACTGTAGGCCATTAGCTTTATGCACCTTGTTGACTATGACAATAATTCTCTTAGAATTCCTTAGGCTACTATAGACTAAATGGACTTTATACTTTAAGACAATTTACTAACCCTAGTTGTATAGTTAGTAAGTTGTCATAATGTGAAAGAAGGCGTTGATTGCTGCCTGCAATTAACGGCGTCGTTTTTAGTGTGACATAAGTACTAATAGGTAATTATAGGTCGTTTATACCACTAACTAAGCTAATATATCTTTGCTTATTATTCCTAAATTCAAGTTCGCTAGGCACCTTATTAGGGCTCCTCTTTTGGCTGCAGTCTTCTAATGATTTCTGTGGACTGCCCCGCCAGCTTTACTATGTTGTTTCAACAATGGCCCTTATACTTATCGGATACGGGGCTAGCGAATTGGACTGTGTAATGGCTGGATATCTTTTCTACTGTTATGAGGTATACTTGGCTCCTACATGGTCGATGTTCTGTGCAACCTTTCCTGTCTTGGCAAGGAATTGTTTCCCTCATTTAACACCGCAGGATCTATATCTGATACCCGGATGACCAGTGTCGCAGTTTGGGTCTAATAACTAGCCGTTATGTGGCGTGGGGTCTATATTAAAACATGTTATCAATAGGCGATTGACGTAAGCCATGGCATTGTGAGACGTAGATGGCAGACGGTAATAGACCTTATCATATGATAAGTAGCTTATGTTCAATAAGCCCTGAGCCAAGAACCGTTGCATCTCTGCACTGGCCATAATCATATATATACCACAATTATTGATCCTCCTCTGATCTTCCGGAAACATTATATGGAACGCTATCATTTGAAGAAAACCTTACATTACAACGAGCCCTTCGCTGCGGCCTTGGCACGCCTTAAGGTCAACCGAAAACTACTGAATCCAGCTTTGATCCTCCTCTCAAATTCGATCTATATGACTCCGTCAGCAAGCGAATGTTCTGCGCTCTCCCCAAGTAGGCGGACTTTCAGCTTAATGATGACTAGATTATTCTGTTGATGCCGTTCCGCCGAATCAAGCTCACGCGGCATCGTGCCAAGGCACAGAGAAGGGAGGCCCCGCTGGACTAAATGAACCACGGATCGTGTAAACCTGACCGCTTGTTCCTGTGTGACCCGGGCGTGTACTCTTTCAGCAAAATATCAAGCCAGTTCACCCAACCATAAATTACCACAAATGTCTCTCACCAAAGAAGTCCGGTCAGCAAGCCCGCGGCTTCCGACCTCCGACCCCGCACACACAAAATATCCGACGAGCTCTATTCCGCAACGGGCCCCCTACGGGTGATCAAACCCCGGATCCCTGCCCTTCCACCCGTGGGCCCAACTCATTGTGCTGTGTAATCGCAGCTCCGTCCAAAACGCCAGACGAACCAGTTTCAAATCGTCAAAAGCAGCATCAGACAATGACTATCTTCTACTAGCACTCTTCTTTCCCCACCCCCTCCCCCCCTTCTCGGCCACGGTTCCGGAACCCGACACGGCATGCTTGTCTTTCTGCAGCCCGCATTCCCTGGGCCCGCGAACTCGTCGGCTGACCGCCGCTTGTTCCTTTACCGGGGCGCAGCACGACTTACGGTCCGACGCTTGAATGACCAAGGAAGGGCCATGCATCGCGTGGAACCACAAGACCACAAAGTGGTCTACTCTGCCGGCGTTGTTCTCGCCCCTCCCCCACCCCCCGATCTCCCGATCTCCCGTCTCCCGTCTCCCATCTCCCGCACTGCCCCCAATCTCGGCCGGGAAGACGCTGATTGTGATTGACTCTCCCAGTCATGCCGACTACCGCGTATCACCATCGTCGAGCCAGGAATTATAAACGAGCGTGGTCTTCTCCTTACTCGCGTTGCCGAGTCACTAGAGATTATAACTATAACATGTGCTCTTCTCTTCCACATAACATGCCACCTCTCCCATCCGCCCCTTTTTCATCGTACTGCCAAGTATCGCGGCCTTCCTTCCCTCAGATTGCGCCCAAAGACGCTGGTATCTCAAACAATAGAAAGTATTGGACAGATGCCTCCCACGAAGTCCCCATCAAGTCGTCAGGATGAACTTCCCCGTCCCTTCTCGGCCGTTTCCATCATTAACATAAACAAAACCCACCCCCTTTCACACGTCACCCTGTCCGCCCCCTTCAGACGGCTACACAGACAACATTTGAAAAATCACCAAAAGCCACACGCCCCTCAGTCCGTGTCGAAGAAGCTCCCCGTCCGCTTCAGCATGCTTAAGTCTACCAGCCCCATCACCCGGCCGTCCAGCCCCTTGACGTAGTCGTCGTACACCCACCAGGCGCCGCACATGATAGCCCCGAAAACGAGCTGCGTCGACCCGAGCCCGACGACGGTCGCCTTGAGCCCCGCCCACACGACGATGGCGTTGGGCACCGCCATGACGAACACGCCCGCGAGCAGGTTCCGCCAGCACGTCACCCCGGCGTCCATGTCGACCACGTTGCGCAGGCACACGTTGAGGTTGGACGAGGTAAACTGCGTCGAGCGCCAGATAATGGGCCGGATCGCGGCGTCGAGCACCGCCACGCCCGCCGCCAGGAGCCCGAGCAGGAACGAGAGCAGCGGGAACGAGAGCGTCGCGCCGGCGCCGCCCGTCCGGAAGGCGTCTGTCCCGGTGGACGACGCGGTCATGACGTCGTGGATCTTCAAGCCGAAAGCGAGGATGCCCGTCGCGGCGAGGGCCGAGCCGCCGCCCAGGATGCAGACGGTGTCAATGTTGGTGTAGTCGGCATGCCGCTTGCGGTAGAGAGCGCACCCCGTGACGGTAGCGACGGAAAGGATAAAGGGCGCCGCCATGAATGAGCCGACGCCGTTGGCATCGAGCATCCACGGCATCGTGGTGAAGAGGAGGGCGAGGGACTCGGATAGACCCCACAGTGTGCAGTACGGCATGAACGTCACCAAGACGAGCAGCAGCGTCGTTGGTGCGATGAAGGCGCGGGGCCCCTGTAGGAGAGTGTGCAGGTCGGGCGTGCCGGAGAAGGAGACGGGCTTCATCGTGCGAAGGTACGCCTTGATATCCTCCACTGACGGCTTGCCCAAGGGTTTCGGCGGCTTCGACGTCCACGAGACCGAGGTCGTGGGGGTCTGCGCGCGGTCGTCGGGGAACCACCGTCTGTAGGCCGTCTCGGGCGCGCCGAAGACGAGCAACGGGATGGCAATGAGCTGGAAGGCGTTAATGATGTCGAACTGCACGGTGAACCGTCCGGCGTTCCGAGAGGCGAGGCCGCCTAGGAGCGGCCCGCCCCAGGTCGTCGCGACGGAAAGGACGTTGAGGGCCGTGATGCGGGCGCTGCGCTCGTGTTCCTAGGTAATGGTTAGCGATGGGGCCAAAGACCGGGAACGGCCCCTCTGGAGACGTACAAAGTAAGTATCGTGGATCGAGCCAAGAATGAGGCTGTCGAACGCTCCCCAGCCCAGGCCTTGGAAGACTCGGGCCCCCATGCACGTGCCGAAACTGTCGCCGCCGCCCATATTCGCCGCGGCACCAATGAAGATGAGCACCATGGAAACAAGGTAGACCGGCCTCTTGCCCCAGACCTTGGATGCCATGAGCGCGAAGAGGCCCGTAAACGCTGAAATGACGAGCGGCACGGCCGTTAGGGACGCGACTGCCGTGTACGAGGCGTTGAACCTCACCGCGAGGACGCTGTTGACGCTCATGTAAGCCGTCTTCATCCCACCGATTAGCCCAACAGTCATCATCAGTGCGAAGAAGTTGAGCTCTTTCTTCCACTGCGGCCAATTCTGAGAGTGGACAGGTTAGCATTTGTTCGGCAGAAAGTCGTTCGTGGGGGCCAAAGCCTACTAGGGGATCGTCAGGGTCGTCAGTGGGCTGGGGACTCAGTTCCGTCTGCGAGTGCTTTCCTGTCCCGTACTTGATCTTCCGCTGGGTCGACGTCGTCGAGATTGTCGAGCTTGTCGGCGGTCGTGACGGTAGATAGTCTTTCGGCGGCGGCGGCGGCGGTCTCGAGAATGAAAACCTCCTAGTTGACTTCTCCGGCGCGACGTGGCTCTCGTCGGGTCTAGTCAACTCCACCACACCCTTTTCCAAATCGCTTTCCATCTTGTCGGTAATATCAATTAGTTGACCTGACGGTTGGCCGTTTCTCTCCTTTTCTGTCGCCTTTCTTTTGGATCCGTACAAATGGAGCCCAGCTCCGATAGAAAAAAAGAACCGAACCAGCAGTGAAGAAAGAAGGGAAAATAAACGTAAGAAAGCCTAAGATGCAAACAAGATGATAAAGAATGTATGATGAATATCGAACAGAACGAATTCCAAGAGAAGAGGATTGTGGGTACTGGGGATAGATATTAGACGGCTCGGGGCTTACGCACCCTGACACTTGGCAACTAACAAGCCCACTGCGGAATGATGAAAGAAGGAATCCCATTTGACCATCTGGCCACCCGACCACCATCGACAAAAACAGCTTACATACCAAACAGGGGCCGCTGCGCTTTTCCAACGGTCGCTACTGACCCGATGCGACCACATGGGCCCCTGGGCATAAAAGCCCCCCGGCAAAGCAGGCATCATCGACGCGGGCGAAGGCCACATGTTCGGCCACCTCCAGTGTCTCCAACGTCTGCAATGGCATCATTGGACGAGGCGTGGCCTGCAAGGGTGACGGCCCCATCAAACGGTTCTCCCGTCCGATGAAATGGATGGGTGATGGGCGGTGCTTGGGCCACCATCGGGCCCAGCAGACAAGATGCTGAAACAGTCCTGATGCCAGGGCCGGCTCTTGGTTATTGCCATGGATGCGTTCAGCGGGTTATGGGAGGCTGCGACTAAGAACGCTATGTGTCGGAAAAAAGGCCGACAGCATTTTGAGGCTCACCACTTACAAGAAAATAAAAAATCGTTAGCCTCGAAGGCTGTGCCTCAAATGCCGTTAATCGTGCCTGATGCATATCGCGGATATGATTGGCCACAACTAATGAAGCCATCCAATGCCTGATGTCAGATGCAGACCATCAAGGCAACACAAAATCGCCGGAAGAGAAGACATGGATACTTCGATGAACTTCGATTTTCTTGACATTTGAATGGAGATTGAAAGGAGGTAGCATCGGTTAATAACTCGCTCACATACGGTACTTTACTACGTGCGAATGCGACGTATCGGTGTAGTCAGTGGCAGACAATGTGATGGAACGTTGGAATATTTATCGATGACGAGTCATCATCTCTGCCAGTCAGTTTACCAGTGGACAGTCGACTCCTTAACAGGACTTGTTCCTGTTCAGAAGGGCGGCTTCTCAACTACCTGCGCCCTTGGATTTGTCGCAAGCCGTGGCATCTCTCCCGTCCACAAGAAAACCATACAGTACTATGTATTGTCCTCATTCTGAGAAAGTAGGTCTCGCCGCGGGTAATCAGTCCTCCCGCTGTGGGCTGGGTGGCCCCTTCGTTGCAGGCCGTTTCGCAGCCCCTCCCTAGCTTGCTCCGGGGGTGTGAATTGACGCTGCCGTAGGTTCCGAGATATTTTCCAGGGAATGCTGGTCAAATAGCTGTGGTTGGGGTCGTTGAAAATCCCTAGATGAACATAGCCTGTTGCTGTCCAACGGCGTTATCTCACTCGCAGTACATAATTGGCGTTGACAACCCATTGATTGACACGAAGAAATGGCGCATGATGGCTACCTGAGAATGACCATCCCCGCATCAAACCAGCACAAAGACGAATTGACAACAGTGGATAGCATTGCCTACGCGTTGATTAGCTGTGAACGAGTGTGTGTGTGTGTGTGTGTGTGTGTGTGTGTGTGTGGAGTTTTCAGGCATTCCTTCATGTTGCCCGGATCCAGCAGCATTAGTCATGCAGGGACGTGTACCTAAACCGTCGATCACACAACGAACGGTCGGAGGTGTATGGAAAGTCCCTGCGAAAGGTAAAGAAAATTGCAAAGTTCATGACGTATTATCTGCGCTAGACGTCCTGGTGCTAGCATGTCGTCCCAGTGTTGAAAAGTGTCAAAGCCTGTCTATTTCTCCCTGTAACTGTGGTCGTTGGTCGCCGTTTTCCATTCGCTGGATCATCAGCAACTCTCCCGAGTTGTAACCCAGTCTAACGTCGGCCAAGTGCCATACTTGGTGCAATGGTATGTATATCTTTCCTGAATATCAATCATCGGTCTAATCGACATCGCTGGCCCTCGTCCATTGTTCTAGTCGCATGATTGTGACGAAGAAATGCCAACGCTCTGCATCTATTCCACGTAATGGCCGGTCTCGGTGCCTTAAGGAGGCACCATGCATGGTGTTTCGTTGGCCGACGTCTACAGACGGCCCATGCCGATTCGGGAGTTGCCTTCTGGTCACAGTCTGTGGACTATGATATAGAACTTTTATATACTTGGATATATATGATCCGCCGGATCCGCTCCAGAGTGTCCTGCCATTTACATGACGGCCAGTGGTTGAGGGAGGAAAGGACTCGGCAGCGCAGTTGTCACCAACACGGTTTCGACCGCACGGACACTCTTTGCGTCGATCTGCATAACGAAACCTATAAAATGGAAGAATAGTAAGTGATATGGCCTTGGCACTGGATAAGTTGTTGTTGTGATTGGAGTTAAGGCTGGATGATCGACACGAAGATGGCGAGTTGGAGTGTGATAACCGCTCCAGCCCATCGATCCACCGTCGGCCGCGGGCAGAGCCGAGCGGATTGATGCGGTCCGTACCATACTAGATCAATACCAAGGCCCTTCAGTGTTTCCTCGAAACTTTTCGGTTCGAGTCCTGCCGGTGAAGGTACTTGATGCCTTGGGTCGCCAAGCGTATATGTGCTATGGGGTATGTGCAAATCCGGCCCAATATAGGCCGAACGGACGGAACGTCCTCAATAGACAGGTATAATAATGGTGGCCTTACCTGAGTTGACCACTTCTTGCACTGCTGCCTTCTCCATGGCTAGCAAGACATGACTTGTACGAACCAGCAACTCTAATGCCTTCGTCAGCTGCTTCGTTTCGAGGCAAAGAAGCACAAGGAACCGAATCAAATTTACCTTGGTAGTGAAGAGAGTATGCAACGGGCGGGTCCTCGTCCGAGCCATGGTAGGGCGGCAAACGTTCCTGGGTGACCTCCGTGAC